TGACTCTGACTGGCATCTGCATCCCACACTAATATCACAGATCTGGATCAGGTTCTGTGGATCTGTTCGTGGCTCGCGAAAACGCACAGTGTCGCCTGTGATTTTCCCTGAGTCCACGGGACCACCCCCCACTCAGAGCAGACGACTTCTCACACCAGACCTGGCCTCAGATGCTCCTGTATGCGTTTCCGCCGGTCCCACTGATTCCCCGACTCCTGGACTGAGTTTGGTTGGAACAGCTCTCGGTGATTCTGGTAGCTCCCAGATGCTTGTCCGCGTCATGGTTTACAGACCTACAATCGCTGGTGTCCAGCTCCCCGTGGATGCTCCCATGGAGGAAGGACGCCCTCCTCCAGGCGGGAGGAATAATCACACATCTTCCAGAAATAGGCCAACGGCTGTGGGTCTGGCCGCTGAGCGGTCATGCTTAGAAGTTTCTGGGCTGCCGCGTGATGTGGTCAACAAGATTCAGAGTGCGTGCACGCCCCCTACCGTTGCATCTTATGCTGCTAAATGGGCAGCTTTCCAAAAACGGTGCACAGAGCGGAATGTTCAAGCGCTCTCCTGTCAGCTGGCGGATGTCCTTTGGTTTCTGCAGATACTGATGGACAGAGGCCTCGCATTCAGCACTGTTAAAACATATGCTGCAGCTATCTCATCCTGTCAGCAAGGTTTTGGAGATGGCTCTGTTTTCAATCATCCCATCACAAAACGTTTTCTAAAAGGTGTCAGAAGGAACAGACTTGTGTCCTTCCCACTATTTCCCCAGTGGGACCTAACGGTGGTTCTGCACGGCTTATCTGAAGCCCCATTTGAGCCCTTGGACCAGATCTCACTAAAGTTCCTGTCACTCAAAACTGCCTTGCTGCTGGCACAGGCATCAGTCAAGAGAGTGAGCGACCTAACCACCCTCTCAGTGACGCCTGCATGCCTCAGGATCCGGGAAGATGGCCGGTCTGCTGTTTTATGCCCCAACCATGCCTTTGTGCCCAAAAACATTAATACTTCCTTCAAATCCAGGTCAATTTCATTGGCTGGACTTTTTCCTCCTCCCCTAATTCTGATGAGGAGGCAGCTTCCCACTTTCTCTGCCCGGTGCGTGCGCTCGCACGATACGTGTCACGTACTTCAGGGATTCGCCGCTCACAAAGCCTGTTTGTGCACTACAGAGACTCTTCCCTTGGGCAAGCGCTGTCGACCCAGCGTCTTTCTCACTGGCTATGTGACGCCATTTCACTCACTTACACATCATCAGGGCGGGATTCTCCTGAGACACTCAGGGCTCATTCAGCCAGAGGTATTTCCTCTTCTATGGCGCTCCACAGTGGTGTGTCAATGGAAGACATCTGTCTAGCTGCTTCATGGGCTTCTCCATGCTCCTTTACTCGTTATTACTTACGAGATGTTTCTTCAGGATCCATCACTCGTTCAGTGATTGGACCCCAACAGGCTGAGTGAAAATATTACGGCCTCACATCAGCCCTACTACAATGATACATATCCAGATGGATATGCTCACAATCACTACCTATGTTCCCCTCATAACGGATCCCATTCAATCCATTGCCCTCTTGTCACCCGGGCTCCTTATTGCCTTATCACCCCTCATATATGAGCCGTGATTACATCAATGGATCATTAAATCCATCTTCTTGTGGATGATCATTTTAGTGGGAACCCCACTCTTCTTTCTGGCTGCCTCAGCCTTCTAAGCCCTTGGGCTTAGGCTGAGCGGCCCTCTATAAGAAGAGAAATGTTGCATGTGTCCATTTGGTTTGAGCTAACCAGTGTGGTGTAAACTTATCCAGCTGTGCATTATTCCAATAGAATGATGGTTAAGACTAGATGAAATAGAACGTTGGTTACGTATTGTAACCCCAGATTCTATGAGTCTAGTCGCAGCCCTTAAGCCAGTGGCCTCGCTGGTTCTGATAGGACCAAGACAAGAGCCATCGGAGGCGAACAGTGGAGTCGCTCCACTTATACACCCACGGGGGTACCCAACATTGGTGGGTGTACATTTAAGCTCTTCATGATTGGCTGATGCTGAGATCACCCTTCCAATAGCAGCTAGCCTAAGGGCTGTGACTAGACTCATAGAATCTGGGGTTACAATACGTAACCAACGTTCTAATGAAGGCAACAGGACCACATCACCTACAAAAAGCAGAGACCCGATCCTTGAGCCGATGAAACAGATAACCTCAACACCAACACAGGTTGTGATTTGTGAAACTTTTATTTATTTGTTAAAGTTTTAAAAAAAAGAGCGATTTCATCTGGTTTGAAGAGTTTTAGTGCTTTTGAGATGGAGCAGTTCCAATATGGTCCAGATGCAATAAAATAAAATTAAAATGCTCTTTTGTAAACTTTCCCAAATCAAATAAAGATTTCAATAACCAAATTGTATTTATGGATATTGCTATTAGTGTAGACCAGGCACGTGCAGGTGGAGGGGGGGGGGGGCTTGAGCACCTGCACTTTTTGTCCGAAGTGCCTTTTACCGGTCGTTTGTCAGATTTTACCGTACAAAACTGTTATACTGTGAAACATATCGGGCACTAGGACCATGCGGAGGCAGTTGCCTCAAGCTGAAGCCTTTTTTCCGTTAGACCCGCCTTCACGCTCACCGATTGGCTCTGCAGCATCATACTAACGTGTGATTGGTTGTCCCTGCTGTCGCTCTACCTTGTAGCCATGGAGACGACAGACCGATGTTTTGCCTGCGGGCAGGAGTCTGCGTTCATCTACCTGTACGTTTTCTTCTGCCTGCTTCACGTCAGCTGGATGGATTTTAATATCAGAGCTTTTGTTTACGTGCGTTTGAGTCCGTGGCTAGTGTGTGTGGTGCAGAGTCGGGTAGCTGCATGTCTGGGACAGAAAATGAGACATGAGAGAAACTTCTCCTGAAGTGTTGAAGAAACTCAACAAAGAATCACAGATGTTGATATTTCTCACTCTAGATTCTCCGGGTCATAACTTCTGAATTACTAATCGAATAAAAATAACTCAAACGGTTTCTAAAAGTACATAAAACGAGCTTTTCAACGAGGTATTACATGAGTTCATGTTCATGTTACTCCAAAAATCGCTATTAGAAGGAAACCAGCTTTGCAGTGTCACAGAAGGTCTCATTGATCAAACATTGCGTAGAATCCTTACTAAAATCGTACTTAAGCTCAGCAAAAAAATGTACTTACGCCAAGTAGGTTTGTGATCTATCAAACATGGAGTACGCACAGCTGCACACAGTCTAACGAGAATGTTTCTCAGCTGCATTTTAGTCACATCCCGCCCTCACCACGCCCACTTACTGCCATAAATAGTCAATGCAAAGTGCCTTGTGGATCTCATGCATGTACATAAGCCGGCTATTGCAGTGCTCCGCCAATGACATGGCGACCATAGATCAAGGCAGATCAAGGAAGCGCAATTTCACAGAAGCAGAAATTGAGGTACCTGTGGGTGAGGTGGAGAAATGCAAAGGAAGTACTTTTGCAAAACAAATAAGACAAAATCCACGGAGTGGCACAGCGTTGCTGAAGCCGTCAATGTTGTGAATTCTTCAGAGAGATCTGTGGCGGATATAAAAAAAATGGTCCAAATGGAATTCAATCCCCAGACTCCCGGATGAAAGTCACGCGCGCTAACATGTCCGCCAAACGGAGATCTCCCCTGTATAAGTAGCCAGGGCACATGATCAATCGAGTCACAGTGGCAGGACACACACGGTCACAGACGCATGACATTCTGTCTCAATCTGTCCCCCTGTCTGTATTCTGCGCTTCAGGCCGTATGTGTGTGCATGTGTGTGAGTGTGCACGTATGTGTGTGTGTGTGTGTGTGTGTGTACGTGTGTGTGTGGGGGGGGTCTTGTTCTGTGTGAAAATGAAGCAGTACAAGTGATAATGCTGCAGGATTTCAGTTCAAATCAATTCAATTTTCTTTATATAGCGCCAAATCACGACAAGAGTCGTCTCAAGGCACTTCACATAATAAACATTCCAATTCAGGTCAGTTCATTAAGCCAATCAGAAATAATGTTTCCTATATAAGGAACCCAGCAAATTGCATCAAGTCACGGACTAGTGTCAGTGACTTTACAGCAATCCTCATACTAAGCAAGCATAAAGCGACAGTAGAGAGGAAAACTCCCTTTTAACAGGAAGAAACCTCCAGAGAATCCTGGCTCAGTATAAGCAGCCATCCTCCACGACACACTGGGGATCGAGAAGACAGAGCAGGCACACACACACACACACACACACACACACACACACACACACACACACACACACACACACACACACACACACACACACAAGACAAAGTAATGTGTCTAGTCTATAGGATACAATTTCATAATTGTATCCTTCTCAGCAGCAGCACTACAGGTGCTCTCCATGTCCAAAATGTGCGTAAGCAAGGTCCTTAGTCAACTTAAAGGTGCGCACAGTTTTCCGCTAAGTTTTCTTTCATAAATCCCAAAGTTTGCATGGAAAGTAGCTCACGCAGTTTTCCAGCCCGTTTTGTGCGTAAGCAAGTTTGATAAATGAGGCCCCTGGTTGCCTTTTTACTCCGTGTATTATTTTATATGTTTTAAATGTGGTATATTTACTTGCATTTTTTAAAATAATGCACATATGTTTTTGTTTTTTGTTATACAGCCTTTCAATCATTATTCGTCTTTATTTTTTTGTATTCTTATTGCTCTGGTTGTCAGTCTGATTTGATGCTATACCAAAATGTCACCATTGAAACAATAAAGGGAAAATCTGTTCTATTCTATTAGTACTAGTTTAAAATTTGAACAAAACTGAACAACTTCGTGTTTTATCTTTCAGCCTTGATTTTATTTTTCATGTGAAAATGATGCACAGCACATAGCGGTCTGTATTTTGTTTAAAATACTGTATTTAAACGAGAAATAAGCTGCAAATTTCGGAGTTAAACATCAGTTTCCAGAATGAAGTACAGCGTGTTCTTCGTGGTAAACTTACACAGAGTGATAATGAAGCGCTTGCACCCATTTCAGCTCAGCGGACTGGGACAGCACCCCTCTCTTGGTTAGCGGCACACAGTTTTTCCTTTCTTCTGGACATTATGCACCACCTGCTGAAGCTTTTTATCAGCATTCTCCTCGCATCCCAACAAAAAGCTCGCATAAAGTCAAAAATACTTTCGGTAAAGTAGCGTTGTTAGCTTTTCTCTAACGCTAGCTTCCCGAGAAAGTTGTTTAGGTTACTAACCACGTGACGCATCTGTAGCCATGACGACCGTGGTGTAGTTTCCAGGAGAAGTGGACTGTTGTGGCAAGCCAGTTTATCATTTAATTTAAAGGCTGCTTTTTGTGCGCACAGATTTTCTTCATAGCAAGAATAAAACTTTTTGCTGTTTAGTGTCATTGTTGGTGCGATTAACGACAGTGGATTTTCCTTTGTGGACACCAGAAGTAGCAGAAAACAAGACATGATTTAAATCACAACAGTGCTTACTAAAATAGAGAAACATTTGCTTACACTTTTGAGTCACTATAAAGTAAAAATTTTATAAATAACTACAAAAACTTAATAGCTGCCAATGACATTCAATAGTCGAAAATGTATGTTTTCAAGTATTCAACAACTGAACATTTCAGTGTTAGCCATATTATTATTATTATTATTATTATTACTATTATTATTATTATTATTATTATTAGTAGTAGTAGTAGTAGTAGTAGTAGTAGTAGTAGTAGTAATTGAAAACTTTGCAGAATTTTCTTTGATAAATATCCCATTATTAAACCTCAATATGGATGTCCTTTAAACTCACCAAATTAGCTGAGTTAGAGCCCAAATGACTAGAAAAGGAGCAACTAATACTGAACACCATTTAACACTCTCACAGTTTACAGAATCAAATCGAAAACTATGATTCAAACATATACTGCTCATTTCATAATAATGTCATTTATTGTTCTGATATTGTTTAACATTCACATTTTCTTTTTCTACTATTCTTAATAGTTCAAACTATGAAATATTTTAATGAAGTCTTCAAGCATCCCCCATATATCAAATGCTTCACATAATGTAGGTTTAAATAAGTGTTTACTGGTCAAATGTTATGATTATAATTGGAATCCAAAGGCTGCAGCCTGAATTAATTAAATTATATTTAATTAATTCAATTTAATATATTTAATTAATTAATTTAATTAATTATATTTAATTAAATTATATATTAATTAATTTTTTTAATTTAATTATTAAAAGAAAACAGTTCTGTGAATTGATGTTCTAGTAGTTAAATTTGGCAAATAAAAGGTTTGATTAGCTGCAATTAGATTTATACATCTTAGAACTTTTTACACCTCTGCAAAAAACTAGACAGGATTGCAGAATGTATATGTGCTATTATGTAATAATGCTCTTATGAACCTAGGTTGATGTTACGTTGAGCCAAAAAAAGGTCCCCACATCCTCCCAAAGTTGTCACATGAACCAAGCTAGTTTAGCCGAAGCCTTTCCATTTGTAGGACAGCTTGCATCTCACTAAACCAGTGCTCAAAATGTGATGGGGTAGCAGATTTCCAAGTCAGTATGATTAGCTTTGTTGCTACCACCATTCCAAGGTGTACTGCCATCTGGACATGGAAAGGCAGCTGATCTAATACTGTGGAGCGTCCAAATATTGCCGGATGTTGGTTTGGGACAATGCCACAAGAATATTCCCCAGAAAACCATAGAAAGATTGCAGTCTAGAACACAGGCCAAGTGGGACAAAACCAGAAGAGGTGGGCAAGAGTGCCCTCAGCTGGCTGGCATCTATCACAAACCGATGATATCAAGAGAAAGTTTTGATTCAGCCAAACTTGAGTAATGGAGCCTGTGAATGTCTTTAAATTGAATTAATCTGTATCGAGTATTGACCGAGCAAGAATGGACTCTTGACATAGCCTTATCCCAAAGCTCTTTAGAAACTTCAGAACCCAAATCCTCTGCTCAGGGCTCCCTTATTGAGGATGGAGGCAGGTGGGTTGAAACAATTTGCAAAGGTTGAAACCAAGTGTCTGGAATCTGGAGAGGATTTTAGGTTCTCTGGTGACCGCTGGGTTTTGCTTGTAGTGATGAAAAATTCCCTTTAAATCAATCTGATTTGTCAAACGATAAGATTTTCAAAGAAACATTTTAGGACCAAGAAACACTCAGTGGTATTATTACAAACGTCTTTATTGTCACAATTTAAATAAATTGGAAAAACATAAATATTACAATAGTGAAATAAAAAACAAAGAATAGCTAACAAGTAGTTTCATTTCTACAGCACAACATCTGCATCCTGAAAATGCCACTCTGAGCATTAAAACGTATCCACTATTGTTCCAGATTTGACTTTCACACCTGACACTACCAAAAAGAGCTGCAGGGTTCTACAAACCATTCACAGGACTAAACACCTGTTGCCATGTTACAAAGATGTTCACAATTATCAACCCAAAGACGATTTTTAACAGTTTTATGGCAAATTTCGTGCACATAAAAGGCACGAGCACATATGCCTTTACAAACTAATAAACTACACAACTAATATAGAAGTTTATAAAACAATCGATACATACAAACATGTGCACACTTGTGGATATGCATGTGCACACATACACAAAACACATACAAATACACACAACATAATACAAAAGAACCATTCAGAAAGAGAGAAAATTCACATCAGCCAGGTGATGATAATCAACGAGCTGCATGTGTAAATACAGTAAGCTCCCGGTGTGTGAATAATGTACACACGTCTCGTTAACAAATAACGTGGAACTCAAGCTGTTGGTAAAAAACAAAATATTGATTTGTTGCACTTACTGTAAAAAAAAAAAAAGAAAAAAAGAAAAATTAAATACAACAAAAAACAAAGAAACCAAGGCTTTCATATTGATACAACAGGCATTATGTGATAACAGGCATTCACTTCTATGGATGCTTTGGTAACATACTTAGTGGCAAGATTGTTTTTAAACAACAAAGTTAAACATAAAAAGATTCATTTTTCATTTAATCAAATGAAAATTGAAATCTATTGCAGTAGAATAAGTGATTTTATGTGCAAATTTCAAATGCTGTTACTGTTTAATCTTGTCATTTGACAGATTTGAGGATATTCTCACTGAAACGAGTAGTACATCTTGTTTTCCAGAACAAACAGTCTTTGGGGTATAACAAAATTGTTCAGCTAACCTCATTATAAAGGAGGTAATATTAATGAGAATAAAGTGAACACAGGCATCAATATCAAACCTCCAAATCAGAGTAGATAGGCTGAACCTGAGAATTGCAGGCGAAGAATGGAGGGAAAGGCCTGTATTTACAAAATATGGCAGTAGGAATAAAGAAAATACCCCCACATTGTCAGAAAAAGAGAGATCCTCCAGGTGGTTGTAAAGGCATAGTTTATAGACAGTTGGTGAGTGGCAGATGAGAAATCTGAGCTGCTGTAAAAGGTGCTCAAATTCAGGCTACTGAGGCAACTTTTTCACAGTCGCTGGTGTACTGGACGTCTAGTTTTTCATTCTCAGATTTCTTCTCCTGCCAGCAGGGAAGGCTGAGAAAAGTGAGGATGAATGCTCCCAACAGCACACACGTCCCACTAAAGTAAAACGCCAAGTCATAGGACTGTGTCCAGTCGAAGAACCATCCTGGAAAGAGACAAGAACAAATGTGGTGAGCATAGTCAGCAGGACTTCTTGGCAAATCAGCTAGTTTGACAAGCTGGGTATTACTTGAGCAAACAATAGTATACTTATGATGAAACACTTAACAAAAACATGGCCTAATAATTGACCTTGTTACCAGTGTACTTGGCTTAAATATGTGAACAAAAGCAAGCCTCTTACCTACAACTGGTGGTCCAAGCATGATCCCAAATCCTCCAAAGAACATAAGGATGCCATGGGCTTGTGTCAGTCTATGCAAGCCAACAATCTGAGTGGTGATGTAAGAGGTGAGGGACCAATTTCCAGAGCAGAGACCAAGGATGGCAGTTAGAATCTGAAGTCCAACATAACTTGTGGTGAGAGGTATTAGCAGTAGTATTGCACCTCCTACAAACATGGTGGAGGTGTACAGGTAGATACTGTTGATCCACTTGATGTCCACCAGGATACCCAGCGCTAGTTTGCCTATGCAAGTGGCGATAGCACCTATTGATACAAGAGGAATGATGCTGACTTCTTCAATGAGTCCTTCACTCTGCGCCACATCCTCAATGAAGAGGAACGGTGGGAACGCACCCAGGCTGAACATAAAAATGGCGATGCAGAAGGCCACCATGGTTTGGTCTTGCAAGATCTCAAATATCAAATTCATGTACTTGGAGTAGGCCTTCTGCTTCTTTTTGATTGCTTTCATGATGGCTAACCCAGCCAGGGGACCAGTTTTGTTCTTTGTCTGAATGGACAAGTCCTTGTTATCGATGGTGATGAGCAACTCCTTGCATGTGAGAGAAGTCTCTGGAGTAGTAGAGCCCGTTGTGATCTTGAGGTCATCCAAAGGTGGCCTCATAAAAAACTGGTCTTCTGCATTACGTTCCAGGGCAGCCTTCTGTTTGAGGTAGTACCCCGGCATGTGAAGGGGCCTCATGAAACCGGCACAGGCCATGAGGTTAAGTGCGATAGCCCCAGTGATGAGCAAGCAGCCATCGAGTCCAAACAGCACAATCAGCTCATTCTGAGCGGTGGCGTAAATGAAGGCGCCAACGCTGGTGCCTGGATGAGAGAATATAATCAAAATCAGTGTTTGTGTAATAAACTCCCATTGGTCATCACCACACACTGGTGAAATTACATCTCCGCATTTGACCCATCCCTGTGGAGAGCGATGAGCTGCAGCTGTGGCTGCAGTTGGGAGTGTCAAGCGGGGGAGAATTGGGTCACATTTTTAAGGTCTTTCGTATGACCCGACCAGTTTTGAACCCCAATCTCCTAGTGCCACCAGGGCGGACACTCATACCACTAGTCCGCTGACAATAATTTACAAAATAAGCAACAAATCAAATTTGAGTTGAATAGTAGCAATGAGAAGACTTATATTTTGCAAGCAGGGATCTTCCCAAGTTTTCAAAACATTCAAATCTGAAATACTTGAGAATAAGCATTCAAAATCCCAAACCATTACGACAGATGCTTTAATTTTAGACCAGGTCAGATCTGCTAAAAGGGCACCAGTCCCAGTGTATACACAATAGACCACTTTACAAATGTTCACCATGGCTCCCTAATGCTCACTGCAGCTCATGCATGAAAGAAGTGAGCATGGACAAAATGAGTGCATCAAAGGATCTCAGGGAGAAGGAGGGCGGAAGTACCTGTGGTGACAATGCCGAGGGCGAGGCCGCGTCTCTTGTCAAAATACTGACAGGTGATTGTCAAAGTTGCTGCGTAGACAAGACCACAACCAAGACCTAAGGGACAGAAAGATGTATGAATTCACAGCAAAATATAACCAGATGCTCATCAGCACACACCAAATAAAGTATGTAACATGATAAGCAGTAAACAAGCACCATGCTTGTTACAAGGACATGATCAAATATAGTCACTGTATTTGAATATGCATGCTTATTCCTCCCCAGCTCTCGTTGCACGATGTCATTGCAGACATCGAGGGGGTTTATTGGGGTTAAGCATGGATAGACAGATATTCAATATTGAGTAACAGGTGGTGCGGGGCCCATGCATAACTACTGACCAAGACAAAAAGGCCGTAAAAGCCCAGACAGTAAACAGGCTTGTTTTCCAGCCAAAACCTGAGTCAGCAATGTAAAACCAATGAACCAATGATTAACAGAATATACTGTCCACATAATGTCACTACCAATGGTATTCATTAACTTGCAATTAATGCTTGTCAACATGTAACATTACATAATAGACACGCTTGTTTCCAGTGATTACACAACACGCTATAGTACACTCCTCACCAACAACAATCCCATATGAAAAGATAAGGAATTGGACGTTTGGAGCAAAGGCACTGAGCATCAGGCCGCCTGCCACCATTAAGCCGCTAAAGATGGTCACGGGACGAGCTCCAAAGTTGTCCACGCAGATGCTGCAGACGGGACCTGAAATGCAGAGTCAAAAGCAAGCGAATCAAAGGCGGCAGTGATACACACAGCTTTGTAATATTCCTTTAGAGCAGTGATCTCCAACTCCCTTCCCCAAGGGTCGGACTCGGTATCCAGCAGTTTTTTGTTGTCTCCCTAATTCCACACACTTGATTCACCTGTTCAGCAGCTCAACAAGCGCTGCAGAAGCCTGTTAATCAGCTGCTGATTAAAATCAGGTGTGTTGAAGCAGGAATAGCAGTAAAACATGCTGGATACCGGCCTTCGGGGAAGGGAGTTGGGGATTGCGCTTTAGTGTTTCTGACAATAGAATAACTCATGACTCATTGTTCTGGCCATCACACAAATTTCATTCTTTCATCCAAATCAGACTGATTTTAAGAATGAAAAATAACTAATTCCTCACCATCAGACTGGGTGCAACAAAAACATCAATGTTTTGTTCTTATACGATTACCTCCATATCCTGAGGCTATTCATGCATGGTGTAATCTTTACTGATCTCTCTCCTCAGACCCTGGAGCCTTACTTCCATGTGGTGTGGGGGGGACTCTGCTGTTGTCTAGCTGGAACTGCAGCCAGCTGACAGCTAGGACACGTGGCCAAGACTTTCCTGAGCCCGAGGCCAGATCGGACCAGTCTTGATTTTCACCTCACCCTTTTTGAAAAGGACACCCGTGGGCTAGCCTAAAAGGCATTCCTCCCCATGCTGCTACACCATGTACACTTTTATGTTTCTTCCACTCATGTAAAAGCAAAAAAAAAAACATTAGATCTATTTTCTTTCTCCTTATCCGTTTCCCTCTCATGAGTCGGTTGGGTCGTAGTGCCTGAATTCACGAGGGAACTTTGTCCGTCTGCTGATGCATAGCAGTAAGCAACCTTTTCTTCAGACTTTGAACAAGCACTATGTCTCCTGTGTTATCAGCTGCATCCTGTCTGATTATGACTTCAAAAGAAAATGTTGAAAAACAGGTGTGAAGGTGGGTGTGTGGATGTCTACTTTAATGACATACATCACATTATAGTGTGTTTTTAGTTTGAATCTACAAATCAAATACTTAAACTGGCAGAATTATTACCACATGATCTAGTTTAGACCATTAAGACCAATGCTAAATGATTTGTTATATTACTTACTGGCTATTAGTCCCACTCCAGCCACCAGAGAGCCCACCCAGGCCGTCATGCCTTTGCTCTCTTGGTAGGTGTGCAGCCACTCAGGGTACAGGACACCCACGGACTGCGGTGATCCATAAGACAGGAGCTGGGCCATAAAGGATGCTGCAACAATCGCCCATCCCCAGCCTCCATCCAGCATTTTAGTGGACAAAGACATGGTACTGGCGTTGTTATTCGTGCCAACTTGGATGTGTTACAACTTTGACCGAGGAGGATCTCCTGGGGGGAAAAAAGCACATACATTTAAATTGTTTGGCAGTTGAATTGTTAAAGTTTAATCTCTAAAGCACAAATCATTATGTTTTTATCTAAAAATCTCACAAACTACTTACTCCTGCCTCAGTGTAAGGTGGGCTGCTGCAGCACCTGGCCTGGCAGTCAGGCAGGTCACCTGGTCTTAGCTCCAGCGACTGCAGTCCACCCTCTTCCTGCACTCCTATTTGTTCCTCTGTCTAACCACACCTCGGAGGAGGAGAAAGAGGGGCAGCCCGATATGCAGAGCTCCCCATCTTTAACCTGCTTTAACCTCGAATCAGCTGTCGTTTGTCGTGTACATCATTTATGGCCCATCACCGCTCATGTATCACTGCAGCGCCATAAACAACGTCGCATCTCATATTTTCCAAGGCTTATTAAAAAGTTGATCCAAATCTCATTTTACTGCAGCTTTGTATGTTTCCTTGCAAAACATTTAAAGAATGGATCGGTGATTAAGAAGGATGTTATTAAAATCTAGAAGAAGCCAGCCTAATGACTAGATAACAGACATCAAGCCGTTTCCTTTGTTTTCTGACATTTAATGTCTAATTTAAAGACACAAACATGTCGTGCTTGTTATTTGGGTTAAAAACAAACGCAGCACTCACCTCAGCATTTACAACAACAGCCTGCGGAGCTGCGCGCTCTGCGGGAACTTTTCATGGACCAAAAACCCAGCAGACATTTAAAATCTTAAAATCGAGACCAACGACAAGGCATCGCGCACGGACGTGTGTCTGGCGGTGGGATCTACCAGGCCCGTATGTGAAGGAGACGCTCTGCATCCACTGGGTTCATTGTGCATTTGGTTTGTTACAGCTTTGCAACCGGTGAGAAAACCGGTTCAAAGCTGTTCTTGCTGGTCCAGCGGCGGAGGAAGCGCGGCTTCCTCCTGCGCGTCAGGAGCGCAGCACAAACAGCAGCATATCTCCGTTAGAGATGCGTCTGCGTTAGTTTGTGTCTACTTTTATCTAAACATCGGAATCTTTTAAAATAATCCACATATTAAAGATGACGTCACGTGCACAGTAAAAAAACGCACACACGTATCTTTTTACCTGGAAAAGGAAAAACGAGTATAAGTTTATCATGTAAACTTTAAATAGCTGTCACAATTTATTAAATATCCTTAATCTGACCTAAAAGTTAAATTAGTGTTTCTAACGGTGGTGCTGGTCGTGGTGACTGAGTTACTCTAGAAACATTGTTAATATCGCCATCATCAGTCCAGTCTGAACCGGCTGATGGATGGAAACACCACCACCAAGAGGGGGGTCCATCTTTGGGGTCAGTTTTATTTATTTTTCATTAAATCATATGCATTTAATACTGACTAAAGATGTGTTTACTATATATATGGAAGCCCATTCCTGTCACTCAGATAAAAATCATGTCAGACCCACAGTGGAACTACTGTAAAAAGGGAAAGGTTGTAAATAAAGAACTTAGTATAAATTATAAAAAACAAAGACTAAAGGTGATACCATGATGAAGGGTGAAATGTTGGTGATGGTTCTCCATCATTCAGTTCATGGTAATCCAAAGGGTTCGAATGAAGGTGACTTCTTTGTTTTCTTGAAGACATTTCGCTTCTCATCCAAGGAGCTTTGTCAGTTCTGACTGGAATATGGGAAAGTAGTACATAGGGTATTGTTAGGTTTAAAGTTTACCGGGATGTTGTGTTTAGGAAAAAATACTTTTCAGATCTTTGAGACTGCTGCCAAACTTTAAAAACAGCAACACCCTCTGACAGAAAGTGGTTCATCCAAGAGAAGACACCCCAACAGAAGCTTAGTGGCATTGTCTATGCAGCCCAGTGAGGAATGTTCAGAACTTTAGGAGAACCTAAACAACCACACAAGCCAATGGCACAATACAGGAGAGACACATCTCGTCAATACTCTGTAGTCCACTTAAAGTGCACATTCTGGACAGAGAAGATGGTTTGAGAGAGGAGTAACGAAAGCCGTCCATGTCAGTTCAGTCCTGCGGTCAGACTCGAATGAATACTTGGTCAGAGTTTGCCATGTGTGCCACAATCTGGGACTTATTATCCTGATTCAGCTCAATAAATGGAAAAAAAAAAAACCTACATTAAACAAAGGAGGCGGCCTCGGGTTTCACCTTTCCAGCACCTACAATGCCCTAACCCTAACCTACAATGCAGCTCTAAACTTTATTCCAAAACAGTCCAGTCTAGGTCACATCCTTCTGCATCTAATCAAAACAACCATTCTACCACAATCGGTCTTAATGACATCAACGATTCATCAGGGGGTAGAGAGGAGAGGTATTCATGCGCAGTTTCTGCTAGTTAAGAACCAACTAACAGCTACAGTTCATAAGCTTGACCCTCCCAGCCAGTCAGAATTGACAAAGCTCTACGGAAAAAAAATTAAAAGAAACCAATGAAGTCCAGCTACCTTCATCTGAACTCTTTGTTTTTTTCTCCACCCATCATGAATTCAAACAGGTTGAAGTGAAAATAGTTATGGAACATGTATACTTTTTTCCCATAACTGGGATAGTCAGAAAAAAGTGTTACTGAAAAGATTTAGGGTCCATAATCCGCAGTTAATTGTACAATAGTTTTGGGATTACTCTGACATGTCACTCGAGACCAGTTACAGCCAGATATGTGGGGAGGAATCAGAGGGGGCTTTTTGGTGGGTGGATTACAAACTGATCCTGGAATTAATGTCAGGTGTGAACTTTTATGGACCAGCAAATCTACAGGATTATCACGGTCTAGACTTTTTCAATGTCAATTCAATTCAATTTTATTTATATAGCGCCACATCACGACAAGAGTCGTCTCAAGGCACTTCACATAATAAACATTCCAATTCAGGTCCGTTCATTAAGCCAATCAGAAATAATGTTTCCTATATAAGGAACCCAGCAAATTGCATCAAGTCACGGACTAGTGTCAGTGACTTTACAGCAATCCTCATACTAAGCAAGCATAAAGCAACAGTGGAGGAAAACTCCCTTTTAACAGGAAGAAACCTCCAGAGGATCCTGGCTCAGTATAAGCAGCCATCCTCCACGACTCACTGGGGATCGAGAAGACAGAGCAGGCGCACACGCACACACACACACACACACACACACACACACACACACACACACACACAGGAAAGCAAAAAGTTATTATCAGGAGAGGGAGAATGTTTAAGTGGTTAGCAGCAGTGTGCTAGACGATGGCCCACTCCATGAGGCCACCGCAGCTCAGCAGAACGTCATTGTAGCTTCTTCTGGGGAGAAAAACACTTACAGAGAAAATAAAGTTAACAGCTGAAATTGCAGAAAATAATACAGTTAAAGAGCAGACTGTAGAAGAAAGTAGTAGAGTGTGAAAAGTGGTCAGTGTATCCTCCAGCAGCAGTCTAAGCCTATAGCAGCATAACTACAGAGATAACTCTGGATAATCTATCCTATTTAGATGGAGGCATGTTGGAGGCAGGGCAAGAGAGAGCCGTCTTTACCGACTGTACACTCCACCTCCCTCTAAAATGGTAAATGGCCTGCATTTGATATAGCGCCTTCTAGAGTCATGGAACCCCCCCAAGGCGCTTTACAACACAATCAGTCATTCACCCATTCACACACACATTCACACACTGGTGGGGATGAGCTACAATGTAGCCACAGCTGCCCTGGGGCGCACTGACAGAGGCGAGGCTGCCGAGCACTGGCGCCACCGGTCCCTCCGACCACCACCAGCAGGCAACGTGGGTTAAGTGTCTTGCCCAAGGACACAACGACATTGACAGACTGAGTGGGGCTCGAACCTGCAACCTTCCGATTACAGGGCGAGCACTTAACTCCTGTGCCACCGTCGCCCACATTACTCCCCCACTTGTCCAGATTTTGGCTAACATCAGATTTTAACCATAGGCCCTATCAAATAAAAATGTTTTCAGCCTAGTCTTAAAAGTAGACAAAGTGTCTGCCTCACGGACTAAAGCTGGTTCCACAGGAGAGGAGCCTAATAACTAAAAGATCTGCCTCCCATCCTAATCTGTATGTGTCATGTGTCTAAACAACAATCATATGTAAGATGCAAACACTAGTGCTGGTTGGACGCACTTGATGCAGAATTCACACGATTTAATATAAGCAGATCATTTTGTTTTGTACATCCAGCTGTTGTTAGGAGCTAGGGTGATATTCTAAAAAGTCTTGTGTGTGTGTGTGTGTGTGTGTGGGAGGGGGGGGGGGGCGGACACCTGAGAAGCAGCAGCCTGCTGTTCTTTTACGTTAAGAGGCTTGGCAGGTGTGCGAGTACAGAGCTGCCCCACACTCTGGAAAAATCTCTCTCGCTTCAGCAACCTTGTTCCAGAGAGCCAGGGGTGAAAAGGTTATGCTGGTACGCTGGGTGGCCACCCGAGCTTCCAGCTTAGATTCCTGCTTGGATTGGGTCAAATTGCTGATAGAACACTGCAGCACAGTAGGAAAAGCCAGGACACACCTCACTAGTATCAGAACTTCATGTAAATACTAGAAATGAGACTGTTTTTATACTGGTGAGTTTCAGCTGATTACGTGGGAGTGGGCTCGAGTTACCTGTAGTGAGTTAATGGAATCCTAATGCGTCTCTCAGGCCTTAATTCTTGTCCCGTTCTCCTCCCAGCTGCTGTGTTTGCACCCACATTACAAAGGTTCAGCATGTTAAATGATCCTGGAATGATTGATTTACGGAAACCACTCCTCTAGTGTCCAGCCAGTTAGAGCCAGTTTAAACCGTCGACTAAATCAAAATTAGATACTGGCACAGAATCAGAGCTCTGTGGAACTGTAGTGAGAGGACATCACATGGTTCAGTTGTGTAACAATAGATTAATATTATTCTGCATTTCAGCTAGGGGCACAACGGGAGATCATCCGGCTGTTGGCCATCTTAGGGCACTACAGGGAAGTAAAGATTTGAAAACCCTTATAAGGTCATTTAACATGTGACCACCGGTGTTAGTTTTCTGCTTCGCATCCCACAAGTGAGCACTCGTATGCAGCTCCATCATTTAAACATTCAATCCTGTGGAAGGAAGACTCCCAATAGCAGAAAGCAAAAGCAAAAGGAAAAGAGCCTGAACACATGAATGGTATTTGATCTGCTGACTTTTACACGGGAACTTTAGAGCTGGGTATTAATTCAAATTTCAAGAATGGATTTGATTCAGATTCTCAAGGGTTAGAACTGATAATCAATCGGAACCTGCTCGACATCGGTCAGTGCTATGAAAACGTTTTTTGAGCCGTTACCTTAATTATATGCTCGTAATTCAATGATGCAACACTGGGCGAGTTAGTTTACCGGGGAAAACTATATTAACCCTTTCAGAGCTAAACCTTAAAATGATCATCTAGACTTTCCTTACAACTTTAGCTGTTAAAAGGGCAAATTAAACTAAACAAATAGAATTTTGGACTTATGAATCCATTCATGGATTGGATATGGATATGAATCCATTTTTACGAGAATCACCGTTTCAATTTTCTCAATACAGCAATAGTGAACTTTAAAATCCAAAATAAGTCACCCATTGTTGTTGATAGTTGCTAGCGTGATGAAAAACAGGATCAGCGTTCATCTGATGAGCTTTAATATCAACAAAATCTGTGCTGACAACAATGTCTAACTCAAAAAATAGAAAAGTCCAAGTGTGAACAAATTCAAAGTACATCATTGGATGACTAGTTCTTAAAAAATAAAAGTTGTTTGTCGAGCTAATGTTCCCAACAGCCTTTGAGATACGACAGCGAAGTCAACGTTCCGCAAATAAACTCTGATTTGGTTTCTTCCGTTTTTTCTTGGTACGGGTTTGTGTTGATTATTTGCATGCGAGACATTAATTGCTCCTTATCAGAATGATTCTTTTTTGTACCACCTCAGGTAGGAACTTCAATGGTGCAGGTTTATTTAAGGCACACACATTTTCCCATCAATTACTGCTGTGTTGTTCTGTACGTGCGATAACGTCCGAAGTTTAACATTACAGTGATGCTAAAATCAAAAACTAAAAAAAAAAAGTACAAGTTAGACTGCATAAAAAAACAAGTCCTTGCATAAATTTCACAGATATATGTACACGAATGACTGTCACTTCTTACGCAGGAGCAACAAACATTCATCAAACTCACAATTAAAAACCAGAGTTGTCATGTCAAGAGCTTTAATGATACATAGAAATTTAGTTGACCAGTACCATTCAGTTAGAATGTTTTAGCAGTATGTATATTTAGTGTGAAAAGCATTGTTTTAATCACTTTTTTCTGATGGAAAGTATCCATTAGGATGATAGAAGCTTTCAGAAATACACTAGAAAGAGAAATCAGAGAAGACCGAGTACATGACTAAGCTGTAACACACCTCAGACTATGTTTTTAAACAGCCCAAAAGGCGATGTTTATCTGTGGTTTATGTACCAGAATCCATCATCAATGCTTTTATTCTTTGAACTGAGAATCAGCACAGCGTTGAATGCTTCCTGAACCTAAAATAACTCTGCTGCAAGCTCGGTTTGGTCGGCGCCCTATAACGGAGAAACTCCGAGCAGTCTCCCATGACACTTAAGTAAACCTAATCAAAGCCACTATCGACCTGGGTACATGAGTTGTTGACACTGCTTAAATGACACAAGGGTGATCTGGAGTGGAGGACATTACTGCTATCAAGTGTCATATTAAAGGCATGAAAAATAAAGACTTTCTATTAGTTCATTCATTTCTGTAGCTGCAGATTCATCCACTGATTCAAACATCCAACCTATAGTAAAACACTAGCATGAAACATACTAACTGTGCTGTTTGTGCTATCTCAGAAGCGCCACAACAACAATTCCAACCAGCTACAGTCCCAAGCCAAAAAACACATGTACAAGACAGAAGGTGGAACAAATAATTATCCTACAAAACCCAGAAACAATTATTTTAAGTCCATCCATTCCATTTAAGAGAAGTTAACGCCACATGTGGATTTGGCAGGCCGCTACCTTCACCAAGGCCCAGTTGCCATCTTGTTTCTTTTTCCTCTAAAACCTTCTGAAGCTGCATCTTTTGTGGACTTTAAGAGTAAGAAACTTCACTTCCAGAGCTGGTAATGACGGAAGTTGCTGCGGTAGCATCGTGGCATTCAGTGCGCACAATCACGCGCAAAGACAGAGACTGTGTGTGTGTGTGCGAGAGTGTGTGGTGCTATGGCTGGGAGGGAGGCTGCTGCGGTGCTGCTGCGTGCTGTGACATGGCTGCTGGGGAGGACATGGACTGAACCATGGGCTGAGCTGGTGGGGGGAGTGGAGGCTGAGCCTGTAGAGCCCCTGAGTGTGTGTTGGGAGAGGGTGGGGGTGTTGGACGCTTGAATTTGTCAGGACTGGCGCTTCTTCTTGGAGATGGCCGCTGTTGAGAAAATGACAGAAAAAAGAAATAAATATTTTCAAAAACAAGATGGCAGAAAAATATTTTTGTTCAATTCTGTTGTTAGCCATCATTTCCTGACTGAACGGAAAAAAGTGTGAATGTCTACAGTACATGTCATCATCAATGTTTCATCCCCAGTGCCAATGGCTAGACTCAAGATTTAGAGGAAAACTAATCTGTCTGTGGGCTTCAACTCAAGAGTTATTCCCAGGTTTAGCTCCTGGGTGGGCCGAGGGGGTGAAAGGACGTGGGTTGTACCACAGAAATGCAAAGATATGGGGTAAAGAAGAATAACTGTGATAGAGGTGTGCTTTATTACTTAATCCTGGGAATAAGATTAATAAAAGACAAAGCACAGCACATCCTGGTGAGATTAGGAGCACATTTCTCTGCTTTAGCATTTTCCAATCACCCCAGCTATAATGTTCCATGGAATATTATTTTATTCTTGCTTTCAGGCTTTTAGCTTTAGATATGAGTCCTCAATGTTCTAATAGAACATTGTTTTTTAAGAGGATTTATTTAAATAACTACAAATGAAAAATGATTTGCCAGTCGTCACCGACAGCCCCATTAGTTCAAAAGCAAAAGAAAGCAACAAAAGAGAAAAATAAATAAATATCTAATTTACTCAATGACTCTCAACTTTAGGTCTTCTCACAACAGGAAAGTAGATAAGGTCAAGGTTTATGAAGCCAGAATGTGGAGGAGGAACGATAACAGAAACAGCGAGCTGAAGTTAATTGGCTTTTTTTTTATCAGCTTTGCAGTTCTTAATCTGACACAGCTCAGCTCACAACTGCAACAGAATAGTTCAGAAAATATCTTAACCCACCCATGGCTGAACTAGAGGAGGGAAACGTTGCCGTGTGCCAGTCCAAAGAATCCCAGTCAGCTTTGAAAGTGTTGCCAGAAAGAAAGCTTGTTTGACCCGAGACACGCAAGACTTTCACAACCTCACCTAAGGAGCCGAGTTGATCTTTTTCTGCTTCAGCCCACATGGTGATCATTAGCAACCACTGATATAAAGTCTGATTAAAGGTCTCATTTACTGGCAAATTGTGTAATACTTGTTCTTTTTGAAAGATGACTGGTCAGTCCCAGTTACATATGCATACTGAATGTGAAACTTTTCTTACCCTCAATGCATACATTAGCTAGGCAGGAATTAGACTGGAAAATGATCAAGTCAGTAAAAGCCATTAATATTCATGGACTCAACCACCTTGGCGTGAGACGGTGGACGGCCGTACTGCTTTTGCATCTCAGCTAATAGAAGCTAACCATTAGCCTTAGAAACTCTAGAATAGGACTGAACGATTCTGGAAAGAAATCTAATTGGGATTTTTTCCCCCTTCTTCAATATTGCAATTGCAATTTAATTCAGGATTATTTTCTGAAGGGGCTTTTCTCAAATTTTTCAACTGAAAAAGAATCCGCGCGTTTTAAGTGTTATCCGTTCTTTAATAATCCGTTGTCAAATTGTGATCGGCAGAAGCTTTTCTGGTTTGCGCCTCACCTTTTTTTACAGCAGCAGCCCAAAACGATCTCCTAACTCATGGATTTTCTACTTCCTGATCACATGATGTGTGACGTACGTGGATGAAGATCGGTTTTAGAGCTGAGATGTTTGTTTTCACTGTGCGGGGGCTTATTCTGACGCCCACACAGTAAAAAAAAAAATGCAAACGACGACTTTAGTCCCACGGTAGGGAAATTCACTTGTTACAGCAGCACCAACGCTGCACCATACTCCTTTATTTTTGTAAAACAATCATTTCACTGCTGCCTAAAACTCTTTAAATTACTTCAGCACACTGAATGATATTAAGTTTCCATGTATACATTTTTAAATGAAACTCTTGGGAAACAATAACTCCACATAACTCCACATTTCTGGGAGATTAAAAAGTCTTCCATTATGGTGCCTCAATAACATCAACATGTCCCCGTTTCCATAAAGATGACAGAGGTTATTTTATAACAAAAGACAAATCAGAGTAGCCTAGAATCTAGACCATCATTTGCCGAAGCAAAATTATTTTGCTTTGCTCATCTGTCTAGGCATGCTCCATTGGAGCTTCCGCAAGCACGGACAGTATTGTGGCTGACCAGTCACAGATTGTTTATTTAGAAAAACTATGTCACATTTTATCAATTTTATTCTGTATGTAATTATTACATAATGTAATGGCGGTCTGCCTCGTTGACGGACATCTGTAGTGGTGAGTACGTCATGTTTGTTATCCAATAGCATGTGGGGACAGTTTGAAAGGCCATCGTAGAAGATCCTGCCTCACAACTGAGAGCTGTTAACGGATCATGGCCAGACTAAATATTCACATATACAGGATGGCTTGCCAGGCTAGAGTCAGAGAGCAGCCAAGCGAAACAAAGTATTTTGCTTGTGAAGGGCTTTTACAATTTCTGGTTTATATTAATATTAAACAGCAACTCAGCATCTTAGTTAAGATACTTTTGCTTACATTCAACAAACGTAAGAATGTTCTTTTTCTGAATAAGGGTGACAAGATGAGTAGAACTAAAAGTTAAAGATTGAAGAGATAACGTTTAATGAAACAACTCTAGTGTGACATAACTTAAGGGTGTAGGAAGTAATAACAGAGTGGTTATGTAAATAGGGTTAATAGATTGTGTTATCTCTGTAATTTAACAGACAAACGTTCAGCCATGTTGACCTGTGGACATTTGTGAGTGAACAATGGTGAGCTCTCCAAGTATCTGTGTCAGTACAACAATAAGAAGAAAAAGGACAATCTTCCAGTCTTCTTTGGCACGTTTAAGTTTCTAAAAAAGTTGATGAGCGTTGGGAACTGACAGGTTCCTGTTTACAGTTGAAGGGCTGTAATTCCACATTAGATGACAACACCCCACACATTTACATTGCAGCTCAAATATCTGGAGGGTATAATACAAGAAGCTTTGCCATTCAAGTTTAGAGGCATGACTTCAGAATCAGTTGTAGTAGTCGGTGCATTTACTTTGGTCGTGCACATTTACAGTTTTCTCATTGTACACATCTCGCTCTGTAAAGGCAGAGCAAAGATCCTGCTGGCAACAAAGTCTTTAGAGGTGAAGATTTTATGTTTTTTGCAGCCATTATCTAGGAGATAACATTTTCTGAAAATGTAATAAGTAGTGGTATCAGTGCACTGTTATAAGGCTTTTTAAGGAATTGTTTTTTTTTTTTTTATCTGAATATGTTACTCTTGTTTTGCACCCAATATTCCACAAAGTCTTAAACCCTAAAGACAACTTTTAGAATTCACCTGAAATTAAGTTCAGGCTAAAAACCTAATTTATTTGAAAAGAAAAAAATACCTATTTACATTTTCTCTGACCACAGATCAGCCACGAACACTTTCTAATAACATATCCTGCAGGTACCATCTTCTACGTTCAACTAGCACAAGTTCTTAAAATAATAATTTAGTGACCAGTTAACAATAGTAAACACAAACATAGCACTCACATATAAAGCTATTAGTAAAATATTAGCTCCATTTCTGAGCTTTACTGTAGGCACAAACTTTTAGATGTTTAGTAGCGTGTCATGCAATTCAAAGTTTGACCGCTAGGTGGCAGCACTTTGTACCGCCTTCATTTTTATGGAACAACGAGATCTCATGAAAACATAGATGTGTTTTTGAAGCATCTGGCTTGACTTTTCCAATTAAACTCAGTCTTAAAAATTGCAAATATCATCTGGCTTTTGTATCTCAATACATCATACCGTATCCCCTCCAACTGTGATGTAAATCATATTGCGATATTCTTGCCAATATACAGCCTTAGTCTTCAGAGCCTAAAGTTAAAAGGTGTTGGTTAAATGGGATAATTAAAAAAAAAAACACATCAACTTGTTGCTTTGGATTTAAAGGGACTTTAAGGAGTTTTGAATTTTTATGATCGCGATTGCCCCCTCAGGCCAAAAGCGTAACGGCAGCTTCAATAGTAGGCTCGTGCACGAGGCGCGCATGCCGTACGTGCACACTCCTTAACGAAAGTAACAGCTGAGACAGTCCTGTGTGTGTGTGTGGGGGGGGGGGGGGGGGGGGGAGGACAGAGGACAGGAGAATGTGCAGCTAATTAATTAAATAATTTGGTTCTGTACCTTTCTCTTCAGCACAGCCGACAAAGGCCTTCCTGCATGCTCAGATCATGCCCTTCCCTTGCTTGAAAAATTGTTCCAAAATGAAAGTTGAACCCACATCTTTTTTATCTGTGAATTCAATGCCGTTCGGCGAGTCTCAAATAAAAATTTAGGTATCTTACTGTAAAAAAATACCATTAATGTAAAAAAAAAAACTCTAAACAAACTATGTTCACATTGAGAATCAAACCCGGGTCTCTTGCACGAGAGTTCATCGTCTTATTAGATGAGCTAAAGCACCAGTGACGTCTTATGTATCTGTAATATTTATATCCTTGATGACAGCTGAAACAACGTTCGGAGAACGGTTCGGAGCGAAAATGGCTATTTTGTTGCTAATTTGCAGGAAATATTTAGAAGAAAGTAGCTAAGGGTCCTCAGAAATGTAGCTAGGTTCATCACTAGGCGTTAGGAACAGCGACAAAGTCGCTGAGTTGGCACTACCTCACTCTCTGCTGCTAAAGCTACTGATAGCAAATGCTACAGGCTATGCCTGAGCGTGAACGCGCATGAAGCAGCCTGCTTGACCGGAGCAGCTCTCTTTTTCTGTGATTTTACAGAAAAACAGGCAATCACAGTAAAAATGCCAGGGCTCATTCTCCAGGACCAGGGCATTGCAGGAGAATGTATGAAGAAGAAATGTATTATTTCTATACATGTTTTGGCTGTCATACTTCCATAATGCCCCTTTAAAGTGACCGTGTGTATTTTCCCTGGCGATAGGGAGCAGTACATACCTAAATCATTGCAAGCATGCAGTATTTTGTGTTCGAGTAAGACATTCCCAACGGATGGCCATTTGGCTCAAAAATCCCTGAACAAATACTTTGTCAAACGTTTAACCACCAGCAAAATGACAAGCACTTCAGATTCCCTCTCACCACCGGCAATGAGCGAAGAGGTAAATGTGTAAAACAACGTTTATGACTAGTGAAAGTTGTTCAACCGTTGTAAGGCTCACGATGAAGGAAACATGGCGACTAATATGGCAATGCCCAAAAAGATCAGAGTTTTATGGTTATATGTTACAAAGCTGTCAATATTTTCAACAACCGGGCATTTATTTCATTTTCAACAACATTTTGATGGATATTTCCAGATATTAAGGGTAAAAACTACACATTGCCACTTTAACGTTATATTCAACACAAACCTTAAAATCTGAATGTAGATGCTAGCCTGGTCAATAGAAATGATGGTGGGTGATACGTACTGCTACGGCATGAGAAGAGCTTCCGTGGATGTGCAGCGCGGGGGTGTTGTAGTGGGAAATGGCAGCTCTGGATAGTGTTGCTGGAGGGGTGAACCCAACTGTGTGAGTTCCATATGAGAGACCTTCAAGGAGAAACAGAAAAGTACAAATAAATAAAAACAAAGAAAGGCTGTCACTGCAAAATTAGGATCAACTCCTGCTGTTCATGTCAACAAGAGCTCCGTATCACCAAAAAGATACTGCCGTAAAGAAAGGAAAATTCCAACAGATTGTATGTGTGCTTCACGTATTTGTGCTTTACACATTAAGTAAACAGTTATTTAGTTCCTCTCCTCTAATGGCATTTTCACATCTGGCCCAGTTCAGTCCTGACCTGGTTAGGTCGTGTCAGCCCGCCACCGCACAGGCAGGTTCACATGGCCTTCCCAGGAATACGGATGTCTCAGAACATGTGGGGACGTTCTTAAATTAGTAAACAAAACAGCTGTGCGCAGCGTTGCTTTTGGAGACTCTGATATGAAGCACATGGCTTTCTACTCTCTCACTGAAACAGCTGTGTGCTCCCCACAGCAGTCTGTCCTCCCACTGCTGAGGCTGGAGCGGTGTTTCCAAGCTGCAGTCAGAAGATATTTAGCCCGTTGCATCAGGACTGATAATGAATCACACATTCTGGAAGCTACCGCTAATTCATTCTACTTGCCAATTGGAGGATCAGTCGGTAGAGGATGTTTAGGGTCAGATCTGCACAAAGCTAACCGCCAGGGACCAGGTCTGAAAAATCCTGTAGCTGAGCATGGATAACACACAGCTTACCCAGATGTGAAAGCCCTATAAGATTTAGCGTGTAGGGCTGGGGGTAAACGATTATTTTTAAAACGATTATTCTGACGATTATTTTATCGAATAGTCGACTATTCTAATGACTATTTATAAAATTAATCTAATGATTATTTTTCTATTGCACAATTAACAAAAACCAGAAAATCTCAAATAAATTCCTCAAAAAAATTGATAAATTGGTACTGTAAGAGAATAAACACTACAGGCCTTCCATTTTGTATAACACTGCGTTTATTGTGTTGGTTGGTTATGTTCTGGTGACGTGTAGAACTTGGGAGTGCAGGCTGCTGCCTGAGAGGTGGTAGAAGATGGAGTGTCTCCATGCTGCTTTGTTTTGGTCACTTATGTGCGTGAGGCGAGTGGTCTTACGGGTTAAACCAAACTCAGGTGGTATTTTACACTAAACCGAAAACCCACAACACTCTAAATGTAATAAAAGGGAGATCTACACCACAAAAAAGATGAACTCTAAACCAAAACGTAACAGCTTATCCCAACGCAAGAAGCTGTTAGCGAAGATGCTAACAGTAGCTTTACCAACATTAAGTTCAAGTTACCAAGTTTAAATAAACCAAAAACACCCAGCAGCAAACAGACCAGCACGGAGGAGAGACTGCTACCACCAAAACAGCTCTCCTAATGTCTGAAAGAAGCTCCTTAATGAAGGGAGAAGCGCTCCCGGTGATGTTCTACATCTGCGATAGACACGAAGCAGCGCATCTGACCCCGGAAGTTGTTGTCCGTTGCCGGAAGACGAAGGGGCAAAACAGGAAAATAATCTAGTAGTGGACGGACGTTGTTCCGGGTCTTCGGTATTTGGCGGAGATGTTAGTGAAGGCGGAGAAGAGGGCGAACTAGAGGAAGAACAGGCAGATTCCTCCTCTATTTACAAACTCCTGGGGATGCAACAAGTGGGCGCGGTGCGTCGACTTCCGGATCTGACGTCGACAAATTTTTGGAATCGAGCCGTCGACTTCGTCGAGGCTTCGCTACAGCCCTATTAGCGAGCGCACGTGTGTGTGTGTGTGTGTGACAAAACTGAAAATGGTAGAAACAAGAGAGGAATGAAGACTATTCTAAAAAAAAAAAACGAATCAACTATTGCTGTGCTGTCACAATCTCAACCTTCCAAGACATAAACAAAATTAAGATAAACGGAAGTCAATTTGTAATTCCTATCAACTGGAAGGAGTTGAGCAAACCAAAGCAATCAATAAGCTAACTTGGATTCCTATCATAACAAGCATAGCAGACTTTTAAAAAATAGAGAAAAATGTGAGCTGCAATATTGGTGGAATATGGCAGAAAAACCTTTAGTATTCATTTGTCCTGCTGCATACAAACTTAGGTAGTTACTTCAATTATTTGTATTAATTCAAAATGTAAAGTAACTCCAAAATAGAACCTGGCATTCAACCAAAGCTAAATCAGCATGAGCATGTTTAGGCTGCAGGCCAGCCAGCTACTATTGAATTAATAAAAGTGTCAACGTGTGAATGAATAAGTCAGAAAGAACAAATATTGTTACCTTTGAAACACAGATAAAGCTTACATCAAAGATAGTCACATTGATTGGCATCAAAGGTGCCTTTTATTGTTGTGCTATACCTACCGGGTGATATAGGACGACTGGAGCTGGGGGAGGGGGTGTAGGGGATGGGGCTGGACACGGTCCTCGCTCGCAGACCCTGCGCAGACATCTCGTTGAAGTACCTGGAGAGAGAATTATATTTTTGTCTCATCTGAAAATCCTACACCTATTATTACAAGATCATGTCAACAAGCACCATTAAATTGTTTGTTATGATTTGTTAAAGAGGATATCTAAAAGTGATCGATCTAGTGGTACAAGAGGTAAACAGGAAGCTCATTATCGATTCCCTCAAGAGAAAAATGTAACTTTTAATCAATCAATCAATCAATCAATCAAACTTTTAATTCAGAGATCAATTATAGAAAAAATACGCTAAATACTGATTTATTTTTGTCCAATATTCAATATAAACCTGCTCTATTTTTGTACTTTTGCCTCTAGTAAAGAGATACCCTTACACCAGAGAACAACAACACCCAAGTCACCCCTTCCTTATGTTACTGTTGTCAGAAATAAAAATGGAAGCATGACCTAGAAATTATTGTTATACTAGTATCAGCATATCAGGTTGATGTGGCACGCTGTGGCGTCGAAAGTACGACACACCCCAGGACGGAAACGCAGGAGACATCTGAAGATGGTACATAAAAGAAAACAAGAGAACCTTGCACACAGGAAGCAGTTTGTTTTACTACTGTTGCTATTTTAAGATCAACAGCCAAAACAACTTGTTTGTTTTTCTACTACTCCCGTTTTTGAGTTTCTGAAGAAATATTGTCTAGCCATCAGAATCAATAAATGATCAGATACATAAAAAAAATAAATGAATAAAAATAAATAAATAAATAAGTAGAAATGACCAACACTAAAGCCCGGTGCATGTGGCAGTCGCTTCTTCCCTTCTGACAGTCTTAAAGTTGAGCATGATTACTGTAACAACTCTAAAGATAATCTTATGAGATAATCCTACCGAGTGTGGTGTGTTACGAGCGCCCGGGTAGGATAGGAAGGAAGTCGGGACCGCTTCCATCATAAACTTTGAAACTCATTGGATTTTCTTGGTCTTATTATTGGGGACAAACACACATGCTGCCTGTTGAATGTGATATCTAACCAATCAGAAAGCAAGGCGACAAAAACATGGAGCACTCTCCTCCTCTGCCGTGTTTTTTTACTTCGCAGTCATGTTTTATCTCGCACCATTTCCTGTCTGAGTAGGAACTGTGTGAAAGCAGGTTGTGAGGTATTTGCGAAGGTACGCTGCAGGACCAAAACGGGTATATATGTGATAAGTCTTCACCATGCATGTGGGTTCTTGTGCTTTAAAAATTGTCAGACAATTTAAAATTTCTGCTGTGAACCAGCAGCTTAGATCAGATTTAAGGCAGGTGAGGAGTGTGTTTGCCATTTACTCAACAGCTGTGCTAAACAAAACTTATAAAGTCACGTAAAAAACACTTAAAAGTCCAAAGAGAGAACTCAAAACAAGTGTAGCGTATTGAAGTAGAACACCAGTCTATTGTTTAAATGCATCTCTTGTACTTTTATTTTTGTCTTGCAGAATCAAAGCTCTTATTTAAAAGCTAACGTCAGCATTATTATCAGGCCTGCTGAGTCAAATGCTGATTCCTAGACACTTACCGTAATACTATCTGTTTTGTATCCCGTCATAAGGATATTGTGATTTTAGTGATCATCTGTGAGAGAGTTTTATGCTCTACCTCTCATCATCCATCTCCAGACTGGATTCACTCTCGGACAGCTGTCTGCACAGGGCCTCCCTGCGCTCCATTTCTCTCTGAAGTTTCCTCTGCAGGCGAATGTTCTCCTCCCTCATCTGTCTCTCCTCCTCTATGTACTGGGCACGCTTCTCCGTATCTGTAGGAACACACAGAATAGTTCTCACTTTTAGATCCTTGACATAAAAGAATTACAAACATCTGAGTCAAACGTGCTACATTTTCTGAAAACTCCAAAATGACGTCTTCTAAAAAAAACTCACTGTATCTCCGTTTTTGTGTTACAGTATTTTGTTTTGTCATCTTTGAATACGCCAAATGAGTCTGAACAATTACAAACTAATGTAACTAGGATGGACTGATAACCTTGTTATTATCAGTAAACGCCTTCGCTCCTTTGATGCCGATACAGATTTAAATTCAGTGTGTCCATCTGCAAAGACAGTTCTACAAGTACATTTGACTTTTCAGAAAGGTGCAAGGAGGACAAAAAAACTAACCAAGAGGAGATTCTGTTGCATCATGTTTAGGCGTAAACTGGTGACGGTCACAATTTTAAATGATTTTCCTGTTTGCTGTTAGTTGTTGTGTGTCTTGTTTGAATTTATTTGCAACAACAGATGTGTTTAATTTCTAGGGCTGTAGCGAAGCCTCGACGAAGTCGACGGCTCGATTCTAAAAATTTGTAGACGTCAGATCCGGAAGTCGACGCACCGCGCCCACTTGTTGCATCCCCAGGAGTTTGTAAATAGAGGAGGAATCTGCCTGTTCTTCCTCTAGTTCGCCCTCTTCTCCGCCTTCACTAACATCTCCGCCAAATACCGAAGACCCGGAACAACGTCCGTCCACTACTAGATTATTTTCCTGTTTTGCCCGCCTTCGTCTCCCGGCAACGGACAACAACTTCCGGGGTCAGATGCGCTGCTTCGTGTCTATCGCAGATGTAGAACATCACCGGGAGCGCTTCTCCCTTCATTAAGGAGCTTCTTTCAGACATGAGGAGAGCTGTTTTGGTGGTAGCAGTCTCTCCTCCGTGCTGGTCTGTTTGCTGCTGGGTGTTTTTGGTTTATTTAAACTTGGTAACTTGAACTTAATGTTGGTAAAGCTACTGTTAGCATCTTCGCTAACAGCTTCTTGCGTTGGGATAAGCTGTTACGTTTTGGTTTAGAGTTCATCTTTTTTGTGGTGTAGATCTCCCTTTTATTACATTTAGAGTGTTGTGGGTTTTCGGTTTAGTGTAAAATACCACCTGAGTTTGGTTTAACCCGTAAGACCACTCGCCTCACGCACATAAGTGACCAAAACAAAGCAGCATGGAGACACTCACTCTTCTACCACCTCTCAGGCAGCAGCCTGCACTCCCAAGTTCTACACGTCATCAGAACATAACCAACCAACACAATAAACGCAGTGTTATACAAAATGGAAGGCCTGTAGTGTTTATTCTCTTACAGTAAGAATTTATCAATTTTTTTTTGAGGAATTTATTTGAGATTTTCTGGTTTTTGTTAATTGTGCAATAGAAAAATAATCATTAGATTAATTTTCTAAATAGTCATTAGAATAGTCGACTATTCGATGAAATAATCGTCAGAATAATCGTTTTAAAAATAATCGTTTACCCCCAGCCCTATTAATTTCCAACCTTTTAAAAACAAAAACACCCAACAGTTTTAACTCCACCCATCAGTCAAACATGTAAAACTTGAACCGTTGTTTCCCTCTAGTGGCAAAAACGGACACTAAAAAATGACTTTGGTAAGCATTTAGTTCAATTTGCATCAGTTACTAAAATATAAATATTTAAAAGTCTGCATTTCTAATACGATGTCCACACATTTCTTTTTACAACACCATACTTTCTGTTATCTAATACACACTAGTCTACAAGACCATAGTGAGTTACTTAAGCTGCACTGAGGCTTCCTGTAATCATAAAGCAACCCAGAGATGGATGCAGGGGTGGATGGCCTTTTACCAACGCTGCACATGACTTTATCAGCCCTGCTGTCACTAAAAGCCCCGTTACTAAACCCTATGATGCATTTGTAGCAATCTTTGCACCAACCATACTCCTTTGAGCTCTCACCTTTTCAACACTTCCAGTGAATGTAAGGTGATGCATTTTAGCCTGTGCACATTTTAGAAGTGCAAACACTTCAGTGGCTTCGCCACAAGAGCTTGATCAGGAAGTAATTCATGTTGACTACTTTCTTGTTACCTTCAAAAAAATGTTTTCATATTTTATTTATTTTCTATTAAATATTCTTGACATGACGATTCCCCGTCGAAGAGTAATATCAGGGTAGAACTTATTTATTAGCATGTTTAGACGAAACAGCAATTATAAAAGAAAGATAAAAGGAAAAAGCTAAAATTGGATGCGCTTAAGAGATGCGACCAGTGAAAACCAAAGGTAAAGCTGTAAAATGTTGGTGCAACATACTATATATTAGGTATATTATACATTAGGCAGAGCTTATCTGAGGATCGGTTTTATTAGTCCCATCTACGTGGCCGCTGAAGACCATCTGCCTCTCTGCAGCCTACATCCATTAGATCCTGAGAAAAGATACTCACGCTGCAGCTCGGTGGTGCGCAGGCTCTTCTTAAGCCTCTCCACCTCATTCTTCAGGAAGCGGATATGCCGCATCATGTTCTCTGGTGAGTCTATCTCCATGGAAACATCTCTAGGGGAGGGAGGAGCAGATACGGGCTGGTCCAACTTTTCTTGCAGGATTCTAGTAAAGAAAAACAACAAGATTGTTTTATAACCATCCATCAGCTCGAGTGACAGACAGGCTTTTAACAGCATTTACTTCAAACTAATTTATATATAAAAGAAAAACATCTGATACAATAAAAATCTAAATACTGCTGTTTTTATTAGCATTAAAACAGCAAAAAAAAATGAAGCTGCTTTGGATAAGATGGAATAGAAGAGCCAACCTTACGCTTTCATTTATAAAATTATATCGTAAAAACCATCTTCAATAAAAATAAGTTAATAATGCGGTTGATGTACATCTGTATCGAGTTCCTCAGTTAATCATAAACCCACTTCCTACCTTTTCTCAGCCTCCAGTTTGTCCATGCGTTTCCACAGCCTGTTGACCAAGGCTTCTTGTTCCTGTTCTAATGTGTTCTCAAGGTCAATCTTCTCCCTCCTCAACTAGGAGAACAAAGAATGTTATCAGCTACAAATAATGTAAACATGGATTCACAAGAATCCACAGAAAACGCAGCAACATCAAGCCCAAGGCCTCCACTCTGATGAGGTGGTTTCTTTCCCTGAGCCACACCTGTGTCACGCCCATGTGGTGAAGACGTACTAATAGATTAAAACTGAGCTAAATGCACAGTGGTGTTGATATGGTGTTACTGATGCAACACGTTAAAATTAAAACTAGGGATGCACCGATCAGGTTTTTTGCTGCCGATCACCGATACCGATATCAAAGAATGCTGATCACCGATACCGATCACCGATCATGTGGATTGGCCAGAAATTTTCTACAACATTATAATGAGTGGTACAAACTACATAATCTGGGAATAAAGGAAATGTAACCTAATCTAAAATGGTCTGTATTAAGGTTGTCACGGTGTGAAAATTTAACCTCACGGTTATTGTGACCAAAATTACCACGGTTTTCGGTATTATCGTGGTATTTTTTTAAACGTGCTACATTTTCACACAATTAAATAAACCCTGTATGTCAGGAAATATTGTCCTCAGTTTGTGTCTAAATTTAGCCTAAAATGTGTTATTTTGTAAATATGTTGTTTATTTGTTTACATTTTTCCCCTTTAGTCTTTAAAATACCAATATCTGCCCATAACTTCTTATTTTTCGTCTGTTTGATGCCATCATTTTAAAAATATTAGATCAGGTGACACTCAGTACTCAAGTAGCCTTCTAATCAGATACTTTTTTTTACCCTTACTTGAGTAATAAACCCTATATCAGGAAAATATTGTCCTCGGTTTGTGTCCTTCCAGTGAGCTTTGCAGATGTGGGAAAATGTCATCAGGCAGTAATCATTGTTAAATTCATAATTATTCTCGGAGAGAGACCAACTCTTATCTGCCCCTGGGAGCCCCGTAATGCATAGCGTCATTTCAACATGGGGGTGTCCGTGACGCAGTTTATATGCAGGTAGCGGCGCTGCGGCTGCTTTATATAGCGACTCGTTACATTCTCCCTCAACCCAAATCCTCGGATCACGCATTTTAGCTAAAACGCTAACGTTAGCTTGCCTTGCGTTGACTGTAGAGTTGTGGGTGATGGTCACGCAGATGTGTCATGAGATTTGAAGCGTCTCCGTCTCCTCCTTTGGCCATTATTTCAGCTTTAGCTTCAAGAAAGTTTTGGTTGTAAACATCAAAGCGCGCATGTGCCGCCGGCAACTTCATCAGATGATACGGTGGCTGGTAAGGGTCACCGCGCCTACACTGCAGCCACGGTAATCCTCCGAGATAATGTAGTTTTTTTTAAAACAAGACGGTTATTATTATTGTCAATTTTTTTTTTTACCGGGGTTTACCGCTACACCGGTTACCGTGACAACCCTACCTGATCGGTCTGCTTTGATCTACTTTGAAAACTCCGATCAAAACCGATAAGGGCGCTATCGGCCGATTGGGATCAAATGCCGATCCATCGGTCCATCCCTAATTAATACACTGATTTCAGAGCTTAAAAAATTTTGCCACCAAGAGGAATACAAAGAATGTTCTCTCTGAATAAAATTCAGCAAGGAAAATGAAGAGTAGCCAAACTCGTGCTGAACACCATGACAGTCGCTATGCACACTCCTACATGTGCTCGAGGATAGGGCGTACCAGCATGAATGTGGTTCAGACATCTGCCAAAACCAACCTACCTGTTCCAGGGTGAGCTGCTTAGAGATGGTTTCATTCTCCATTTTCTTGATCTTCTTCATGAGCTTGTTAACCTGGAACTCCTGCTCTTGCTCCAAGTGCTGCTCCAACTCTGCCTTCTCGTGTTGGAGCTGGGACGGAAAAGGAAGGAAAATCGCATTAGCAAAGAAAGCACGAAGCAAAGGACTGAAATCAAAGCAGATTTTCAGAGTTTCCCCAAAGAAAACAAAAAGAACAATGTTACTGATGTTCTGGTGGAATCGATGGGAAAGAGTTGGTTAATAAAAACAAAAAGGTGCAACTCAGCAGAGATTAAACGACACATTCCTGTCAGGATTTACAGGACATTTGAATTCATTTGAAGGGAAAACAAATGAAAAAATGCAACTATTGATGCCACCCAGAGAAATGGGGAATCTAGTTCATGGTTTTTTTTTCCTATCAGAGGCTGCTCATAAACAAAACCAAAAGGAATGTCGACACAGAGGCAGAGCATTAAAATGTCCTAATTAGCCATCGCCATCTCAACAATCTGCAGCCAAACTTTTTTTTCTTTCTTTCAGTGAATGTTTCTGAGGAAGGTTTGCTCTTAAACCAGGCCAAACTGGGAAATTAAGACATTTCATTCATTGTTTTGCTTGCAGGCTTACAAAGTCCAAACGTTCATACACTAAGCAATGGCCAATTTCCACACCTCTCCACAAATTCTGCATTTTGAATAAGAGCCACATTAGAAGCAGAGAAGACAGATATTCCGCTTCTATTCAAAAGACATTTTACAGTTAGCAGGGTAAATTCTTCATGCAATCAATTAAAATCAAACATTCCAACCAGATGAGAAAAGGAGAAACACTGAAATGACACAATGTAATCAGATTTAACATGGATTCAAATTGTGTCATTTAACAAATGAAAATAATCATTTAAACGTACGATGGACGGCAACACAAGTATATCTGGTCCCACAAAAAAGGCCAGAGTATTTAAACACCTCAGAGAACGAAGGTTTAACTCGGATGCCGTTGTTACAGGAACTCGTGCAACGATGCTTTCATCTAACAGGTATGCCTGTGAAGGCTTTTGGCCAACGAGAAATACAAGTCTGTTTAATGTTCAGAAAAGCCACGAGTGCATTTCTATGACCCTAAAGAGCAAGTAACGCCTAAATTAACTTTTTTTGCCGATAATCTGTATAGATGAGTGTCTAATGGTGCTGTACACACGTGTAATCATCAGTGTGGCAGTTTAGTGCAACTTACTTTAAATGTAATATTTCAGCCCAAAACCATAATTATATCTCCATCTTCAGGTTAAAATCTCTGCTCCACATCTATTTATAATCAGCTGTGGTTGATGGCTAAACTGAAAAACGTGACGTTGTCAGCAAATTACTACGTGGCTGCACTGCACTGGTCTCCAGGTGAGGCAGCCGCACCTCCACCTGGCTCAGCCACTCACCTGCCAATATGACACATTGGCTCTCTGAGCCGCTTGCCTTTTTGAAAAAAATGCCCTCCTCCCCTTTTCATCTAATGATCGTGATCAACAGGAAATCCTCCAGAATGCTGCAGAATATGTCTGCTTTTCTCCTGAGCGGTACGTTTTGTGCGAGTGCGTGCTTTCGTGCATCAAACATGATTTTTACCCTCTACTCACTTGCATAAGTTTCCTAGACAGCTCATTCGTGAGAAATTCCTCCTCCTTCTCATAGTTGACTGCCAAGGTCTCTTTCTCCTTTTGAAGAGCTTGGATTTTCTTGAACAAGGTGTTGCTGATAAATTCCTCCTCCTGCTCTGCTCGTGCTTGCTGTGAGATAAAAAAAAAAAAAAAAAGATCACAAGGGTACAACGCCAGTAGAAACGTCACTAAAACAAGGTCTTTCTACATCCTGGCACAGCAGAATGTTTTGAACCTTGGTCTGATTAAACTGCAGTGAAGAGAGCAAGCCAAAGAGGAAGCATAATTTTCCCAAATGAGTCAAGAACTATTGCAGTGCAGGCTGACCTATGATGAAGGGAAGAGTGAAACATAGGGACAGCTACAGCAGCTAGCATTTCAGTGTGATGACACATCTGTCCTTGCAGATCTCATTTGTCATTATTTACTGAGCTCAAGGATAAAGTATGTTTAACGAGGCGTGGGAACTTGTGAGGAAGCCAGGAACAAAAACTGTAACATAAAATATAATATACTTTAAACGTTTTATGGACTGGGTGGAAAGGATGGAGGAACAGGGGACCTGCACATGTTTGTCAATTTAAGTATTTTTCAACAGATTTCTAAATTTAATTATTTGTCACTGGGATCTAAAACAAATTTTAAGTCATACAGTTAATAATAAACTAAAAGGCAACAGTGGCAAACTTTAGTGTAAAGCAAACGTTTGAAATTCGTATTTCTGTCTTAAGACGTTTGGATTTGAATATGGTTTGCTCAGACATGCAAATTGTTTCCACATATTTTCCTACGACAAAAACCCGCAAGGGAACCATGATAACAGCATGACATTTTGGTATGACTCCCAACAGATCGGTTACACATTTTTATGAAGCTGGGGCTGATTAACCAAGCATGGAGACACATGAGGCGTTACCCTTAGCTACTGCTAAGCGATGTCAGTTGCCATATCGCTGCTTTTAAGATCATGACAACGTCGCAACAGAAAATAAACTGCTGCACTAACAGCAAACCGCGCATAAACACCCCGCACAGACGTAAAAGTCTGTTAGTTTAGATACTAATTATTAGCCAACCTGGCTAAGCTAGCAACGCTAAACAAAACAAAGCAAACTAGCTGCCTATCATTGCCCAACCACCTGGCAAGCGCTACTCTGGCTAAATTAGCAACTAACCCAAGCATCAAACGATAGCAGAGCTAACAAAACGTCAACAAGATGTGTTCGAATACAAGCGATATAACCAGAATGCATTAAAAGTGTGCTGTCGTTCACGGTTTAGCTCTACACGGACAGTACAAACTGAAGCTAACTTGCTGACAAATGTGGTATATTTTGTAGCATGGCAATAGCATTGGAGCTAGTAAGCTAGCAGACGTTACTCACAATGGTGACGCTAGCTTTGCGGAGGTCCCGATTTTCCTCCTGCAGGGCTTTGCACTTAAGTTTAAACGTCTCCAGCTCAATTTTGAGAACTTTATTCTCCTGTTGCAAAGAGGCAAGGCGATTCGTCAGTTCTTCCAAACGGAACTGTGAAATGACTATGCTCGGTTTCCCAGAATTGGAAGCGGAGGACGACATTGGGGTGGCCGAGCTGCTCCCCGCTCCGTCAGTATCGCTCTCGCTCGCGCTGTCCGCCATGGTTGTGATGTAGGGAAGGGAGGAGGACGGCAACTGCAGCGTTCGCTCCTAGTAGAACACGTAGGGTATGGCAACCCGTTGTAACGTATAACGAAACTCAACTGATGGGTTTGAAAGTAGTTTGATTGATTTTTATTTAGACACAGGGTAAGAATAACAACTTTAGAGTCAAGAGGCTACTGTAAAAGGGTTAAACAGTATAAGATAAACATGAATCATTCTGTCTTTGGATCAGCTTTTGAAATAAAAACAGTTTGACCCTTTTCTTGAAAACCAACTTCAATTGGCAGACCCTGATTTCACTTGGTAGTTCACTGAAACATTTGGCTGTAGTCAAGGTAAATGCAGTTGGACCGAAGGAACGAACATGAGGGATGATCAAGGATCTCTGTGACTTACGGGACCTTGTGTTATGTGTGGAAAACCGGCAGGACTGTGGCTAGGACCAGGGTTGCCTACCCCTGCCCTAAGTGAAGAGAAAATGTGTTGTCAATCAACCATTCTCTGTCCGACTTGAGTTCAGGGGACAAGGTTTGCTAGATATCTGCTGGGTTTTTTCCAGAAAATATTAGTGCAGACAGAGTCATCAGCGTATAACAATAGTTTACAGTTTACTGCAGAGGGCATGTCGTTCCCCCCAAAATGACATTATTGTTAGATGGAATTCAGCCGAGGCAAGGCAGCTTTATTTGCATAGCACAGTTCAAACATAAAGGCAATTCAAAGTGCTTTAGAGAAGCAAGAACAGCAGACACAATAAATTAAACAAAAAAAATGTAGATATTAATTTCAGATTCAACAAACAGATAAAAAGCATAGTCAAAAGGTTAACAGTTACAGTGCTGCATAAGAAACATTTATTCAATGGCTTATGAATACATGAAGGTTTTCAATTTTGATTTAAAAGTTACTAGAGTTGGGGCACGTTTGAAGTCATAGGGATGCTGATTCCATCTGTGTGCAGCATGTGATTAAAAGCAGCTTCACCCTGTTTGGTTCTGACCCGGGGTTCTACCAGCTGGCAGTTTCTCAAGGATCTGAGAGCTCTGCTGGGTGTATATACTGGAAGGAGATCTGACATGTTCTTTGGCCCCATGCCATTGAGAGATTTGTAGACTAGTAGAAGCACAGAAGTTGATTCTGTAGTTTACTGGTAACCAGTGTAGAGATTTAAGAATGATGATGAAGGTGATGTGCTCAGTTCTTTTGGTTCTTGTTAGGACTCTAGCAGCAGCATTCTGAATAAGTTGCATTTGTTTTACAGCTGTTTTGGGAAGACCAGTTGGAAGACCACTGCAGTAGTCCAGCCTGCTGGAGTTGAACGCATTAATTTGTTTCTCGGGCTCCACGGGCTACCGTTAGCTGCACACATCAAATTCAAATTGCTAACAGTACAAAGTCCTGGATGGTATGGCTCCCATCTACCTGAATCCTCTTGCAAAGGCTTATATCACGGCTCGGCCGCTCAGGTCATCAAAGGATTGTCGGCTAGCACGCAGTGCCTACACCACGCTCAGGACAATCCAGACTCTTTTCATGTGTGGTTCCACAGATGTGGAATGACCTACCAAGCACTACCAGAACAGTCGATTTTCATGAAACTCCAGAAGACTCTGCTCTTCAGAGAGCATCTTCTAAACTAGGGCTACCCTGCACCCGCCCCCCCACTCTACTGTCCACTCCTTGTTTACTTTATGATTCATTATGCTGCCTCACTGCCACCTAGGATTGACCGATTAGCGGTTTATGTTAGCCTCAAGGGCAACTTGCTGGCTTCACACTTGTAAGTCGTTTTGGACAAAAGCATCTGCTAAATACATACACATTAACAAAGACAGTAACTTCAGTCTTGCCTTTGTTTAACTGAAGGAAACTTGACTGCAGCCATCCAGTCATTAACCTGCTCTAGGCACTGACAGAGTGAGTCTAGGGGACCAGATTCATTAGGCGATAGAACTAGGCAGATCTGGTTGTCATTTGCATAACTGAGGTAGGCAACATCGTTACCGTTTATGACTTGGTCCAATGGGAGCATGTAGAGATTGAAAAGCAATAGTCCAAGAATTGAGCCTTGGGGACACCACATGTCAGAGTGATCTGCTTTGATTTGTGTTCACCAATGGAAACAACATAACTCCTGTCTGCGAGGTATGATTGGAACCAACTATGGATTGTGCCTGAAAGTCCAACCCAGTTTATTAGTCTATCAAAAAGGATGTTGTGGTCCACAGTATCAAAAGCTGCACTGAGATCGAGAATCACTAATTTAAATAGAATACATCTTAACATCCCTCCTGATTAAAAGTAATAATTGTTTACAATTTAGGAAATTATTTATTTAAACATTATTTACATTTTCCCTCTTCAAACAAAAACATTTAGTACACACAGAGTGTAGTATGTTTTTCTGCAATCAGTATTTGAAGTATCTCAATTCCTTTACCGTGACAAATTTGTACATGTTAAGCTTTTTAAATGGGAAACAGGAAAATTTTGCACGTTCGTTTGTAAAAGCCTGCATGATTTTCTGATAAATTGGCTTCCCATACACAACAGAGTCATACTGTGACCATGGTCCTGCATGTTTATATAGCGCCCTCATCTAGATGTCTCCAGTACTGAGTTCTTCAATGCATCCAAAATGCACCCAGGTCTGGTGTCTGGACAACTAATTCAAAACCAGGGGCGGCGTTAGGCCCGGCTACTTGGGCTCAAGCCCCGAATGTTTTATGAAAAGACTAGTGCGTGTTACGTGTGTGTGTGTTACATGTGTGTGTACATGTGTTAAGCCCCTGATCTTTTTCAGTCCTAAATCTGCCCCTGTTCAAAATTATAAAATTTAAAGCATTTTCTGTGAGTACATATTAAGATCCAATGTGTGCTTAGCCAATCATGATGATGGGAAACAGCTGTCCCAAAAGGGCGTTCAATTTAGTTCAAATTCATAACTACTTTATTGATCCCAGAGGGAAATTGAAGTGTTGTTGTTACTCATATTATTCAAAGGCAATGATGAGAACAACTATAACAATATAATAATAGTAATAACATTACTCTCATAGACAAAGTTCGTCCAGGGGGTTATGCTGGTGGCTGTGGACAGGAAGGACCTCCTGAAACATTGTGTTACAGAACGTCTTAAGGAGCCTCCGACTGAAGACACTATGTTGTTGCATGATGGTAGCATGAAGAAGATGCTCAGGGTTGTTCATTGTTTGTTTGATTTCACGAAGAAACTTTCTTTGCACCATCATCACCAGTAGGTCCACAATGGTCCCCATAAAAGAACCAGCCATTTTCATCATTGCTGCAAACCTCAAAGGACCAATGCTTCCTTAACCCTCTGGAGGCAGGCGTTGCAGATTTGCAACAGTTAAAACCTACCTACCTGGTCACTCCGCATACATATTTCATGAGCATTTTTTAACTCAGAAGTACCCCTGAAGGACTTAGTTTGTCCTTTCATCAAAACATTTTGAGCCTGAGAGGGTTAAGAAATGCAGTCTACTCTGTCCCGTCTTGTGGGGCAGAGGAGTGGCTAAAGGTGACTGTGGCTGGGGATGAATGCGAGAGCTGAATGAATGGATCTAAGGAACAGGAAACAAGGAAACCTGGAAGGAGGGAGAACATAGTGAATGGACACAGGGCATAGGGTGATATGGACAGGAGACAAGACCTGACAGTTCCAACACCGTACCACAAAGTGGTCCACCAGCTCTCTTCTTGACCATTTGATGGCAGTTGTCTGAGTTTTTACAGATCTCTGCATTCCTGCACAAAACTCACATTTTAAGGACCTTCCTTAACCCTTTTGCACAAATGTTGGGAGGATTCATACACACATAATGGAGGTGGCTGCATCCCCCTGGAAGCCAGTATAAAAGATGTGCACACTTTGCTAATGGACTGTTTCCATCCATCCATCCATTTTCATCCGCTTATCCGGAGTCGGGTCACGGGGGCAGTAGCCTAAGGCGAGAGGCCCAGACTTCCCTCTCCCCAGCCACTTGGGCCAGCTCCTCTGGGAGAATCCCAAGGCGTTCCATGGCCAGGTGAGAGACATAGTCCCTCCACCGTGTCCTGGGTCTACCTTTAGGTCTCCTCCCAGTTGGACGTGCACAGAAAACCTCACCAGGGAGGCGTTCAGGAGGCATACTGACCAGATGCCCAAGCCACCTCAACTGGCTCCTCTCGATGTGGAGGAGCAGCGGGTCTACTCCGAGCCCCTCCCGAATGAAAACGCTTCTCACCCTATCTCTAAGGGAGAGCCCAGCCACTCTTCGGAGAAAACTCATTTCGGCCACTTGTATCTGCGATCTCGTTCTTTCGGTCACTACCCAAAGCTCATGACCATAGGTGAGGGTAGGAACGTAGATTGACCGGTAAATCGAGAGCTTTGCCTTCTGACTCAGCTCTCTCTTCACCATGACAGACCGATACAACGCCCGCATCACTGCAGATGCAGCACCAATCCGCCGATCGATCTCACGCTCCAGTTTTCCCTCACTCGTGAACAAGACTCCAAGACACTTAAACTCCTCCACTTGGGACAGGACCTCATCCCTGACCTGGAGAAGGCATTCTACCCTTCTCCTAATCAAGACCATGGTCTCAGATTTAGACGAGCTAATTCTCATCCCAGCTGCTTCTTGGCTGCGAACCGCTCCAGCGAAAGTTGAAGATCACGTTCTGATGAAGCCAACAGGACCACATCATCTGCAAAAAATAGAGATCTGATCCTCAGGCCACCAAAACGGTTGCCCTCCACACCTTGGCTGCGCCTAGGAATCCTGTCCATAAAGGTTATGGCCTGTTTCATTTGACTTAAACTGAAAAATATCTCCCATGGAGCTTTTTTATGCCATTGCTTACAAGAATGAAAACACTCGAGGACACAATGATGAGACAAGAAACAGCTGCAGTGCGAAGTCATTGCATTTGTATTTTATTGCATTTTTTTTTTCATTTTTATGTTTATTTGTTTAAAGACATCTGAAACATCTGTTGTGGCATCATTGCTGCTAAAGCCTCTAAAAGACCTTGAATAACCAAAGTGCTAGAATAGGTACATTTCAATGGCTTCACTCTGTTAGTAAGAATTGTACATCAAAAAATCTGCTCAGGTGAAAACACAGAAACTAAATTGACAAAAAAATTGAGTTTTCAACCATATAAAAAAAATCCTCTACCCCCGATTGACATAGAAGGGGATATGATTCTGCACCCTACCTGACTTTCTGTTAAACCCCCTCACCCACCCCAAGAGAAAAAAAAATAGATTACATAGTTTGTGTCCACAGCAGATACCAGCGTACTGAGCCATTGCATCAGTAAAACACCATACATGAACTACATGGGTCTCTAATGAAAACCAATACAAAGATCAGTCCTAATGTAAAGTTTAAATGTTTTCTGTGAGAATAATTCTATTTGACACTGCATATACAGACCCTCAAAAGATCACACCGTTTCAGAGTTAAACAATTTATTTAATGCTTAAATTATTCTCTTCCTCCATCCAGTGTCATGTCATACATTATGCTATTTAGAGCTACAATCAAACAATGTCTTTATGTGACCTTAATATGAGTAGGTTTTTAATTCATGAAGTATTTCACACAAAAATCAAAATAAATAAATAAAGTAAAATGCCCCAATTTTCCATGAACACCACAGCAGCTGTGAAGTAAAAACCTAAATTGACGCTAAAATGATTACAGTGTACAGAGACTTCTACACCTTACAGCCAATACACACAGTACAAGTAGTTTCACAGAGAGCCAGCTTGCAAGCACTTACATTCACATCATTCGTCCTCAGCAGAAGCTGCCCTCCAGTTTTAACACAGACAGACAAGACATTACATCTCAAGAAGCTATAGAACTTTTTATTCATCCCAAACCTGGCATAAAAATGAAATAATGGCATCTTTTATCGGTTTAAAATACAAAATTGGTGACAAACGTTCGGGATAGTTGTGTACAGAGATAAAGGGGTTTATTTGTCACTTGAATACAGTGTTTGCAAACTTGTAAAAATTGTACCTAAAATAATGTGACCAGCATGCATGAAAATATGAGTACCTCTGAAGGGCTGCATTTGTTCTTTTTTTTTTTTTTTTGCAGGATTATTTCAGTTCCCACAATTTTTCTGGAAATTTTTTCTGCTAAAATCAACCGTTATTTTTTCCACGTACAAACATTTTACCTGGTCTAATAATTAATTGTACAAGAAGTTGTGAAGTTACACTCAAATCTTTTAAAAGTCAAACTGTATTGGTAGATTAAGAAAGCACTTGAAAAGGTCATTCAGTGCATTCTCATCCCTAACTTCCCCACCCCATTTTTTAAAAGATTTATACACACGGCCCTTTTGTATACAGAGAAAAAAGCTTTTGTTAGTTTTAAAAAGAAAGGAAAAAAATTCCCCAAACAATTTACATCCGGACAATAACGGGGTCTGAGAAAAAACTATAAGGCGAGTGTTGAAGTTGGGTCAGAAGTGATCCACTTGATTTTTGTTGTGTGTGTTGTTTCTGCTTCCTTCTTTTAACCCTTTCATGTGCATTGAGCTCTTGTGCCATCTTTGGTCACAGTCGTGCCTGTGTGGAGTTTTTGTTGTCTTTTTTTCTACAACGAACGGTGCTCCTCTGAAGGCTCTTGCACCATCAGTGGACCCATGGCACGTATTGTTTCACACAAAAAAACAAACAAACAACAGGAACCAGAATTACTGTCCACTGGTCCACCATGGCCAAAGAGTTAGGAGCCTTCTCTGACCTTTAATGAATCAGGAGTGAGTTTCTCATGCTCATGCGTAAATCAGAAGGGTTGACTCCTCTCACTTCTAAAAAAAAATTGCTTGAAGCAGAAATTTGCAGACTGGACTGCTGCCTTCTGTTCTCACCCTGGAGCTCTGCAGTCGGTCTGAACACTTGTTTCCAGGAAACGTTTCACTTGGTTCCTGTGAGAAATGAAAAGGTGCATCAAATATTTTAAAGGTGTGGGACACTTGTTGCTTGTACTTGTTTCAGGAAATGGCTGAATTCCACATCAAAGGAGAGCATACTTGGCAGTTTTGCATGCTGTTGGCACCCCCTAGTGTTCGTTTAGTAGAACAAAAATAGAAACGTATCTCCTCACTATACGTTCGTCTTTTTAACACCTTAATCTAACTGCTGAAATGTCTCCCCAGCCTTGCATAGTGTCTACAAGAGCGATTCATCTCTCAATTGAACAAATCAGCTGTGTTCATGATCTAAAACGCGCATGAAACGTGCTGGAAGGAGACTGCAGCACTAGGTATGTCAGCTCCAGTTTTCTTCTATGACCAACAAACCAGACTAGCAACTCTGAAATTGCAAAGGCTGCTTTCTGGCCACAGAGAGCGGCGGTGGTCTGAGTGACTTTTCATTAACCATGTAAAAGGTAATTTTAGCACAAACTGGCTCAAGAAAATAATTTCAAAATGTGAAAAGTTGCATGGTATCCCTATAACACGGCAGAATGTGGAATCTTATTTCCTGATATTTGGACATCTCTTCTCTGACTGGATAACAGCAATGCGACACTACCACTGACTAAGTTTGCTCTGCGACACTGATGTTTCATCTCCACAAATAACACTAACCTGGAAGAGTTCTGCTGTGTGGTGGCCTTGCTAATGCTAAGGGTTAGCTTCTACTAGCCGAGATGTTCTCTGCTGTTTGCTGGACGCTAAACCAACAACAACCTTCCCCGTCACGAGCCAAGATGGGTGAGTCCATGAATATTATGTGACAGTGTGACGTAGATCTGTCAGGCAATTCAAATCCTTGAGTTTCACCGTCAATTTTCTATCAAAAGCTAATGCAGCAGATAGGTGCAGGAGACTATTTTCATGTTCAGCCTGCATGTTAAATTCAGAGTGACAGATTGTAATCAGAAATAATCATTAAAACAGTTTTTTCAGTGTTCCACACCTTTGATAGGTTTCTAAATTGCAAATAATTAGAAGTTTTCTTAAAAAAAATTCTAATGAAAAATAAAATAATACATAATTATTATTATTATTATTATTATTATTATTATTATTATTATTGTTGTTGTTATTATATAATATTAATAATAATTATGTTCTGGCTAAACTATTCCTAAACCTCTGCACCCAATTCTGCCACCACCCTCTTTTCCTTTGTATGACATAATGACGTGATGCTGAAACCTGATAATAAGTGGTTGCTATGGTGATCCCTGTTACTGCAGAAACTCTGCCAGATTTCTCAACAGTGCCATTTGATTTTCTAAGCCTGTTGTGCAAAAATGGAATGATTTCCAGCAAACACAACATAAAGGTGATCTGCAGCAGGGATTACCAGTCTGGCCAGAGGGATAACCAACTCTTTTTAGGATGCAATCATGCTGTTGTGAGTCGGGGATTTAGCCGACAAAGGAACAAGTGTGGAGGGCTTCAGCAGGGCAACAGAATGCTGAGGTGTGTGTACCGCCAATCAGCCTTTTTCTCTTTGTATCTCCTCTATTATTTACATAAGCAGGCTCACACTAGTCAGCCCTTTAGAACGCTGCATATATGTGCGTAACAGAACATCGTATTGTCTTGTGCAGGCTGATTTACTAGATGAACATTCTCATGTGGCAAATCTGTAAAATCTGGTTAGATGCTTACCTTATTTTTATTTAATTATTACTAGATTTCTTCTAGAATGACAATGAGCTCAGCCATTAGGAACAATTGCTTCATCACAAGAGGAACTAAAATCTTGAAGCAAACTAAAATTGTTGTTTCTGAAATCAAAGGTGCATTATGTAGAAATGAATTAAAAATTACATCCTGTGGTAAAATCTGGTTACTGCAACAACTTTAAACAACTCTGGAGCTTTTTGCCGGCCGTTGTGAAAAAAACAATTGTCGGCCCTGCAGTATTAGCTCGTAGGAGACACGGCACCCCCCACACTCACTGATGGTAAACAGTTCTGTCCCTCTTTCCTACATTTTGAAAGGAGAAAAACTGACAATCCCCGCAGCCAGCTGGATATGAAATATGTTTAAGTATAACCTTCCTTCCAAAATGACTGAAACGTTAAACTCATTTGGGATTTTCTCACTGTAAAATTCTCACTATATTCTTACATACTGCACCTTTAAATTTAATCTTTGAATATACGAAGAGACACAGAATAAACAAACAACTAAACAAATGAACTGAGGAAATAGCTGCCTTTTAAGGACTCAGAAACATAACACAAATGAACCTATTAGGTTCTAAATGTGTGATCACAGTTTACACTTTTTCAAAAATGCATTTTCAAAGTTATGTAATGCATCTTTATTTTATATTAGAGCCAAAAATACAGTTCTGTATGTCTCTATTGACCGCAGACTTATGGTATTGACAGGTAAAATTTTATACAAAATAAAAAGCCTTTCAAGCATAACAGGGGACCACGTCCAAGGAGGTTGGCTACAGTCCCATGGATCTTAAACTGTAAACATCTTCTGTACGTTCATTCTGTGTATCTCATCAACTTGCATTCCTTAGTTTTTTTTAATGTGTTTAAAAAGAACCAAGAGATGCAGAATGTGCTACTGCAGTCTCAGGAACATCTAGCTGCTTGGAGATGGTCTTATAGCCTACACCTTTCACATTCTTACATACTGCACCTTTAAATTTAATTTATAACCTACACCTTTAACATGCTTGTCTATAGTTTTCTTTCTAATCTCCTGAGACAACTCTTTCCTTCACTTCTGGTCCATGTTGAGTGTGGTCCACACCACGTCACCAAACAACACAGTCACTACCTGGAGCCCTATTTATAGGCCCACTGACCGATTACAAGGTTGTAGACACCTGTGATGCTAGTTAGTGGACACACCTTGAATTCACATGTCCCTTTGGTCTTTTCTAGAGGTACAATCATTTTTGTCCAGACCTGTTCCATGAGTTATTTTTTTTGTTGGTATTTTTTGGTGAAATAAATCGATTGAAGCTTGGTTTAAATGCAATGTCTGACTTTCATTAGTTATATTTCATAGAATTTTTATTTACGATTACTTTTGTAAGATTCAGGCTATTTCTGTGACCATTGTGGGTTTTTGCCCGAAGCGTCCCAACAGTTTTGTCCACGTCTGTATTTGATGAAATTTGGAACTCTGGAAACTAAAAACTGGAATGTGGAATTCAGGGGAAAGGTGAAGTTAGAAAAAGGGGAGAGTAAACTATTTAGGCTACCTGCTACAACAAACCCAACCCATCCGTATTTAGTGGTGCTTCTTATCCCCTGATTTTCTGTCATCTTTCCGCCTGGTTTTCCTTGCTCCTTCTGCCTGCTGGAAAACACACACACAGAAAAAATGTAGTTGAATACACACGTCTTCTTCTCCTATGAGAATGGAAATAAGTTGAAGAACAAGCAACTCTTTCCACACTGTAGGAGCATCAAAGGTTTTATATTGTGAAGGTTAGTAAGAGCTTAAAAACACAACCAAGACACCTGGAGGACAAATGTTATTAAGAGCAGCAAAGATAGATATTTCCACAGCAGAGGCACGGCACTTATTAGTTGTGTGGACTATAATGGTTAAAGACTTTAAAAGATCCATAGAACCATAAAGTCAGGAATAAAGCAGTCTGCATCCTCTTTGGTGTTCACATCATACAGATGCAGCACAAAACACAGCATGCAAAGATGAAATACGACTTGTTTTCCCCTCAGAGATAACAAGGACAGTAGATTCAATACATTCATCAATAAAAAGTAATTACCATAGCACCAAATACAATTCAAAGTATTAGCTTAATGCTGCACTCTCAAACCAAGATTTATTTATATCCTCTCAAATTCACCTCTAAAGATGGGTTTACAATAATTGTAAGGATCGCTTCTGGCTGCATTTCTAAACGGCAGCCAGTTGGCTTTCAGTGCAGCTTTAAGCCAAACGTCTGGTCAGATGTCTCAGTCACGCGAGCCATCACTCCCTCCCAGTAGAAGGAAAAAGATTTCCACATGGATTAAACCTGGCTTGAAGCAACACAGTAAAGGGTGTCTGCATGCCAACCTCTGACTCATATTCCTGCAGAAGGGGGCAGTGCTGAAGGTCACGGCGCCACCTGTCATCGCCTTGGTTTTCTGGTGTGGGAGTTGACACCCGCCGAATGACCTTTCTGATCACCTGCTCAAGTCAGAGGGATGTTGTCAAAGGGAGAAAAGATCTGCAAAATAAAAACCCCTCACCACTCTCTTGATATAGGATCACAGCAGAGCTAAAGGAGGCACAGGAACACGCGTCTACGTTACTTTTCTACTGACGAGGTTCCCATCTTGGTCCATGTAGTGTTCCTCTGTCATAGACTCGCCTGGGACATTTTTTGCTTCTTCCCCCTGCAAGTGTTCATGGTCAGCCCAGGACCAATTGACAATAAATGTACGTATTAAAATAAAGAAACAGATAAAGGTAAGAAATCCTCCACCATCACCACATGGCAAGGAAACCTCGAAAGGAAAGAATGTCCATGTTAGGAAAAGAACGGGTTAGTGTCTGCTCAAAAACGGTGACACGTGCACACAAGTGTATCTGTGGAAACAAATCCAAACACACACACACACACACACACACACACACTCACTCACTCACACTCACACACATATGTACGCGCGCACGCACTCTCACTCAAACACTCACACATGCATGCACATTCACTCACACACGCACACACATATGCATGCACACACTCACTCAAACACACACACACGTATACACACGTGCACGCACACTCACACTCACTCATGCATGCACACATGTACGTGTGCTCGCACACTCACTCAAACACACACACTGACACTCATGCACGTACGTACACTTATTCACTCTCTCTCACACGCACGCGGGCACGCACACACGCACGCACGCACGCACGCACGCACGCACGCACGCACACACACACACACACACACACACACACACACACACACAAAACTACAACTACAGCACAAACTTGGAAAAAGAAGCAGTTTCAACTAAACTAGACCAAACCAAGACCCAGCTCGCCTCCGCTCTAGGGTGTCGGGGTACCTTTAAAATGAGACGACGTCTGAAGATTCTGGTGGTTACAGTCTCTTCCTCCTCTGAACCACACTCTACACTAACTCGCTGTGGAGTGGATCACACATTAACTCACACAACAGGAACACGTACGAGGTACATGAGACATTTTTGTCAGTGTCTGAGTTGTGCTTTAACATCATGGTTGGCTGTTTGGAGGCAAAGAAATACTTGGAACAGCACAAGATCCATGCAGAAAAGTGGCTTCAATCACACTTTAATTTGAGTCCAATAACTGACTGTTTTACCTGAACTCTTTTCTCTGACACCAGAGTTCCATCCTTCCTGCTAGTCGATGATTCTGATGAGACGTCCTGAGGTGAGTGCTTTGAATTATTGCCATTCTGTCGAGACCTCCCTGATTCACCCCGAGACGAGGAAGTGATGGAGTCACTGGAGTTTTCCTGGCTGTTTGACAGGAAACAGAAAGCTATAACTACAGAATCCAATGTTTTAGGAAGAGTTTGTTAAAAGACAGCTTTCGCACCTTTCCTGTTTGTCGAGCAGGTCGGAGCTGACGCTGCGGCCTGGCGTTGGAGGTTCCACATTGACACTGGACGAATCGCTGTGCCAACCTGAAAGTGAACGCATGTTTTTGTCTACACGATCAGGCTCTCCATGATCCCTGGCTTTAGTAATCTCCTCCTCCTCCTCTGAGCCTTCTTCTTTAGTCTCCTCTAACAAAGATCCAAATGTCTCTTCTTGAATTTTGCTGCTTCTCTCCTCCACTTCCTCCTCAGTGGATCCAGACTCACTGGGTTGCCTTTGTTGAAGTGCTTCAGCCCAGGCCTGAGGGGAGAGGTCAGACACAGTCTGGTCCTCTGGTGCCAGATTATCATCTCCATGTGTGTCATTTGCTCTGTCCTTCTCTAGGATTATGTCCTCACAGTCCTCATCAACTTTTTGAATCTCAGATGCTGGATCAATACCTTTTTTGATGGACTCTGCCTCTACTGCACCTTTTTCCACCTCATGCTCTGCTTCAGTTAGACAGTTTTCTTTTGAGACATTCTCTCCATCTCCAATCCTCTCCATCTCAAAACCTTCCCCCTGTCGCCCATCTTGAATGAGGTCATGCTGCTCATTTGTTTCATCTGTTTCCTGGTCAACGGACCACTTCTGTTCCACCAAAAGGATATTTCCATCAGCCATCGAGGACCTGTCTTTGGTAACCATCTCACACTTTCTTTCCACTTTTTTAATCAATTCCCTTTCTAACAACTTTTCCACTAATCTGTTTTCCTCAGCTAACTGTGCTGTGACCCTCTCAACAACCTTCTCCATGTCTTCTCTCACTTCCATTTCCACCGCTTTCAAACCTGCATCCTCTCGTGACTGATTTGTGGCTACCGCCCGTTCTCCATCTCCTAATCGTACTCTGTCAGGGGACGATGGAGTTACTGATGAAACTGAGGACAATGAAGGGGAAGATGTAGAGAACGCCATGTCAACTTCAAATTCACACATCACTGGGAAGGTCGGCGATCTGGGCTTGAAGGTGACCTCGTGAAACGATTTGTCCTCCTCTTCACTCAAAAGCAGCTGGTCGTTCAGCGCAATGTGGGGCTTTCTGACCTTAGAAGGATCGGGGTCAGGAAGATCAAAGGCAGGGAGACACAGGGCAAGCTCACAGGGTCTGGGGGGACTCTTTGGGGGACTGTCGGGTTCTTTGCTACAAAGGTCTACCTCTGGACTCCAAGGTGGGGGCTGAGGCTGGGTGCCCGTGTGGTGGGAGGTGTCTGGTTCTGGGTAATGGTGCTGTTGATGGTGAGCAAGGGAAGGGTTGGGGGTGACAGGGAGTTCAGGCTCCAGGAAGTAGGGGTTGGACTGAAGAGCGGCAGGGGACTGCAGTTCCGCTAGAATGCTGTGATAATCTGTGGGTGACAGGATGACAAATGTACAGACAAACACACATGGAAGCTATGAAACAGCACACACACACACACGCACGCACACACACACACACACACACACACACACACACACACACACACACACACACACACACACACGCACGCACGCACGCACGCACGCACGCACGCACGCACGCACGCACGCACGCACGCACACACACACGCACGCACACACACACACACACAAGCAAAACCTCAACACAAACACCACATAACATCACGAAGTGACCAATGACAGAGACTGAGGTGTGAAGCATGTATCCAGTCAACCACTAGCTAAATTGTAACAGTTTTCCACATAAAAGTGAAACATTTCCAGTAAATTGCAGTTGCCACATACGTTTTACAGCACGTCAGCAAAGTAAATATTCCACACAGAATTATTAATATACACTTTAAACATTCGGTAAAACGATATTTTATATTTAGTGAGATTCATATCTATTTAGTGAGGTTAGACGATTAAAATGAAACGCATTAGTGGCTCTATAATAGCGTGGGGTGTTAAAAGTGTAAGACTAATTTTCTTTTGCCGGGGTGTTCTGTTACATGCTCACATGGTAGAGATGAAAGGTGAGAGATGTATTAGAAGTCGAAGAGAAGGATGGAGGAACTCTAAATGTATATTTCCATTTTGGAAGGATCAATGTGGGTCAGAGCAGGAGATGGGTTGACTGAGGGTGCACATTTGCACTGGCAAACGGGACAAGGAGACAAGGAGCGAATAGGGGGAGAAGGAGGACCAGGGCTAGGACAACGGGATCCTGAAGGGGAGATAGGTGGGAGAGTGCAAATGGAAAGAGGAGAAATGGGGCGGGAGGAGGAGGCCAGCTGGGCCGCTAAAGAATCTTTGCTTGCAGAGGCGGTGACAGAGGGTGAAGCCATGCACGGGGATGAGGGGAGGGTGGGTGACACAAGTGCAGCAATGAGCTGAGATGAGTTGTGATCTTCGCAGCAGGATACAGAAAGGATGCTTGGGGTGGTGGGGGTTTTGATGGAAGGTACAGTTTGGCAGGACAGATCCTCAGAGGAGCCAGATAATGTAAGTGAAAGGGTGACTGTTTCTGCTTGTGAAAGAACTGGGGTGCTTAAAGTGGGGGAGGCTGGACAAGATGCTGGAGATGTTGGAGCAGATGTGGCTGAAAATGGTGAGGAGTAAGGAGCAGGTGAGGAAGGTAAAGGTGAGGTGATCAGGGGTATGGGGGAGGTCAAACACGACATAAAAGGGAAGGCTGGAGACTGCCAAGGGTTTGAAGATGGGTATGGCTGAGTGGAGCATGAGGAACAATGGATGAAAAAGCTGGATTGTGTCTGCTCAAATGGTGCTGAAGGAGCCAGGTCTTTGAGCGAAATGGAGGACTCGTAACTTGGAGAGCGGCGTGAGGAGAAGGGACGAGAGCAAGCTGCTGCAGTAAGTGTGAGGGGAGTGGGTGGAGGAGTAGGTGTTGGTGTTAGGAAAACTGAGGTTGGAGCCTGCATAAAAAAGGCTGTTTCAGTGCCTCTGGGGGTCAGGGGGATAATCACACACACTGTGGACAGATGAAAGGACAAAGGACATGCACAGGAGATAAAACGAAAAGTGAAAAGGGAAGAAGAAAAAACATAAAACACAAAAAATGAGAAACATGCTTGTGAAACAATACATTGAATGCATATTGTGGATAAATAGGAATGAGGCAACTGTGGGTGACTCTTAAACGGGTTAAGAGCTGTTAAATGTTATCAGCATCTCATAGGACTGGAGGGGATGGGATGCAGGAGGAGGAGGAGGAAGCAGTCGGTTTTTACAGGAGAAGAGATTCGGCAATCTATCCAAGGAAGGCTCAGAAGAAATGGAGAACTTAGGAGAGCTAAGCTAAATAAGTGGAGAAAAGCAGACTCTACAACAAAATAGTTAAACAACCGGGAAAATGTACAGCATGCATTTGGAGACATCTTAGTAGTAGGTATTTATTTGTGACAACTGGAATCACCACATTAATTAGTTTTGAATGTATGCCCAAAATATGACACACACACATATGTATATATATATATATATATACATATATATACACATATATATGTATATATATATATATATGTATATATATACATATATATATATATATATATATGTATATATATGTATATATATATACATACATATATATATACATATATATATAATATATATACATACATACATATATATACATACATATATATATGTGTGTATGTATATATATATATATATATATATATATATATATATATATATATATATATATATATATATATATATATATATATATACATACATACATACATACATACATATATATATATATACATAAATATATATATATACATACATATATATACATACATACATATATACATACATATATACACATACATATATATATATATGCATACATACATATATATATATATATATATATATATATATATATATATATGTGTCTCACACCTATTAAAAAAATTACATTTTTTAATTTAACTAAATACTTTAATATCATGAGAGGTTTTCAAAGGGCAGTTGGACCCAGTTGTCCAAATAAAGAACAAGTCTGACTATAAATTAGCAACTACACAGATGTGCATTTGGTCAATACCTATTTGACCCATGTACTGGCATTAAACTGAGACTAAAAGGGCTCAGCTAAGTAGAGCTAAACTTTACCATCAGCCTGATCCCGGAAAACAGCGTTATCATCGGCAAAACATCTCGTGCCTGAAATGTTACCATAGTCAAATATTGGACCCTCCAATAAAGTCACAATATCCATCCGATTGACTTTGGTCAGCACTGTAGATAAGGCATCCGCTGTGAAAAACAAAAAGACACATTTTTTTTCTTACTTACAAAATACCCCCCAACTTGTCACAAAAAACATTTCACGAGATGAATAAACAATTTATCTTCTAAAAGTTGGTGAAAACAAAAGAGTTTTAGAGGTTTAAATAAAGCTAAAAAAAGTAAAAAAGAACAAATTTTTGCTTCAAATTAGGAGCGGAAACTCTGATCAAAGTAGCTGTAAAAATAGACTTACTTGTGGCATTTTTCCCTTCCCGACCAACCCATTTCTTAAGAAGCATGAAGCTCTGAGCTGTCAGGGAGTTTGGGTTCTCGAGTCTAATGTGGTTGATCTCATCCACAGTGAAATTCATCTCTCGAGCCAGCTCTGTCAAATGATGCAAGAAGCAACTCTTACAAAAATGTCACACAATCATAATAGCTAAAATAGACCACAACATCTATGAAATTTGCACCTGACAGTTTCAGCTCTAATGCCTTGTAAAAAAGCATTATTGGCATTAAAGAGGTCCTTCACTCCCATTTTTAACACATTTGCTGTGGTCTCTAATAGGAATGAATGCCTTGTAAGTAATTCGTGGGGGGGGGGGGGGGGGGGGGGGTTGCGGCTCATATGTGCCTGTTTCATGAAGTAAAAGTCAGTTGGAGAAAGCTTCAGACGGTAAGATTTGGACTCTTATATTCCTGATACTTGTACATCTTGCCTCTGATTGGCTCACAGCAGCATGACTCTACCACCGACTGTTTGCTTTGTAACGTTGATGTTTTCTCTCCACAAATAAGTAATGTGGTGGAGTTGCTAATGCTAACAATTAGTCAAGACATTCTCTGCTGTTTACAGGATGCTAAACCAACAACAGCCTTCCCCGTTTTGAGTTAAGATTGGTGACCTGAAAGATGTCCACATCACAGGTGAGCTTCAGACGGCAGGTTTTGGAGTCTTATTTCTTGATATTTGGACATCTCGCACCGGAATGGAAAACAGCAACGCAGCTCTACCACTGACTTGCAATGTTGATGTTTTATCCCCACAAAGCCTGGAGGAACTTCTGCCACATGGGGAAGTTGCTAATGTTAACGGTTAGCTTAAATTAACCGAGATGTTCTCTGCTGATTCCCGGACGTTTAAACAACAGGCTCTTCTGTTGCTAATTCACAGTTTGATGTAGATCTGTCAGGTTTTTCAAATATTAGATTTTCACTGTCTATTATTTGTCAGTAGTTAATGCAGGAGAGAGGTGTAGGAGACTATTTTCAGGTTCAGCCTGCATGACCCAAAGTGACCAATTATAATGAGAAAAAACATTTTACCTCAGAATGACCGATCATTTTCAAGAATAAAAAGTAAAAAACGGTTTCTCAGTGAAGGACCACTTTAACATTTTAAAAATTTAAATAAAGTTTTTTATTGTACGTCAGTTTGGTAATCAAAGTGGACTACTAAAACATTTAAATTGTTTTGTTATTCTGCCTGAAGATGACCGCAAACAACAGTTTGACATGAAGCAGTCAGGGAGAGAGGCAACTTGTTCTTACCTGTCCAACTGAGTCCCAAGTGATCTGCAACAATGGCCATGCGCAAGTCTGTTCGTTCACAAGGACTTTGGGGGCCTGTTGCCAATAGAGGACAATGGTATATTAATATAATAAACAATCTTTATCCCATTTACATTGATGTGATAGAGTAATAAATGAACTATTTCCTTTTCTTGCCACCTTTTCCTTTTTAAACATTTGCAACAGTTATTGTGAAACTGATGAGGTAATCTTAGCAGCATCTCAATGAAATTTGGTTAACTATGTATGTGAAAACAGCTGTTTAAAGGATAATCTATAATGGTTGGAATAGGAAATGAAATAAAATTTATTTAACAATAACTCCAAGATGGAAAGAAAAAGATATTTCATACTACAGACAATATGACCAATTTAAATAGGTTCATATATTAAGTGATGCTCTGTGACTGTTTCTGGTATGTATCCTTTAAGCAGGCAGTAACTGTCATGACAATTGCACAAAACAAAACACGATAGGACTTACAGTTCTACAACTTTAGGATAAACGTGACCATGCAGACACTAGTTTGTGTTAATTTTAAACACTGGTTAGTCCCATTGACAATTACGTGAAAAATTCTACAATAACAAACTATGACAATAAGTCAATAAACATTCGGAACAGACAAATAGACATATAGACCAGGAAAAAAGCAAACAAACGACTGGTTGTGCCAGTGAACAGTCATCTCTACTGGCATGCTTACTCTTCTATGTTCAGGTTTAACAGGGTTGAAAGAGGGAAAAGGGAGGAAAGAGTATCTTGCAACACTGACAGCACAGTACACAGTACATCAATGACAAAAATAAATTTAAATGACAGCTACTGTTTCGAGGAGAATATGTAAACACGCCACAGGCATTCCAGTCAATCCATTAAATGATCACAACAATGTCATGCAACTAAACGTGAAAAATCTAAATATATAGATGTATTTTAAACATAGTGTGAAAGTTTTACAAACTAGGCTTGATCTCCGCGATGGGAGGTGTTCGAGACCCTGTGAGTCCCTGACTGCCCTCCTTCCCACCAGTCCGCCTACTCCTCCTGATCCTCTCACTGCCGGAAGCCCTGTCCGTCGTCGCCACCTTTGCCCTTACGGACGCGGCCCCGGCCTCAGCCCTCAAACCTCTACCAGACCTGGATGAGCGGGAGGGCTGGGAGGGCTGGGAAGGCTGGGAGGCGTCCGACAGAGAGGTGCTTCGGGAGGTGCTGTCTTCCTCCGACTGCTCTGTCTGCGTCTTTTTCTCCTCGTCTGACAGGCGGTCCACCAACTTTAGCGTCTCCCCGCTAATGTCCTTAAAGTATTCGATGGTGCGCTTACAAAGCTCACTAGCATTATCCTGCCTGATCTGTCTGGATGCTCCCTCACTTGTGATGCTGCTGGACTGGTGCCTATCCTTAAGAGGTAACCTCGTAGGCAACTGGATAGCTGCTCTCTGGGTGTTGAGCTTTTTAACTGGCTGTGAGCTAATTCGCTCTGAAACAGGTGAGCTAGCTGTGGCAGCAGGACTACTCTTTTTAACATCTTTGACTGGTATCCTTGATCGAGGCTCTACTTTAGCTATGGCTGGTTCTCCTCTCTTCCTGACCTCAACTGTTACTGCTTCTTTGGGCTTCTGTTTGCCGATGGCTGTTCCTTGTGTATGGAATGACCACCCTGATGCTTTTATTGGAAGCCTGGACTTGGGCTGCTTCACCTCACTTTCCTTAAATGTTTCATTTTTCTGCACCTGACTGCTGTTGTGAACTTCCACTCTCTCTTCTTTCTCCCTACAGCACAATGTTTCTATCCTGCTAGCTTTCTGAAGGATGGGTTCAGAGGAGGACTGCAAATTAAATACCACACTACCACACTGAATAAAGTTGGCCTGAACACTGGAGGACTCAAGGTTATTGTTGTTGTTGCTGTTTTCAGAAGGGTAGTCTCTCTTTTCTTGTCTGGGCTCAGCATGTCTGTTTGGGTGTTTCTCTGTACATTGGCCCTCTATACTTATGTATTCTGGCACCATCTGACCCTCTGATATTTCAGCTTTACAATCGGTGAGATCCCCTGAGTCTTTTTTCACAGTAATAGAGGCTGCAATGCCCATCTTAATAGGAGTTCGTAATTTGGAATCAACCTTAGAGGCTGTGATTGTACATGATGAGGCAGTCTCAGCTATGGCTTCACAGGCAGGGTTATCAGTACCAGCATAGCCAGTTTCACTGCCAGGCTGTGCAGGGCTGCATTTTGCTGTAGTTGCTGCTGGTGTTGTTGATGTAGTGCTGCTGTCTAAGGTAGTATCACTAGTAGCTAGAACCTTCCCTTGCCCATCTACTGGGGTTCTCTCCCCTGTTATTGTCTGAGAGGAAAGTACCCCCAGGATCTTTCCCCCTCTTCCCTTTTCTCCTGTTTTAGGGTCAGAGGAATGCTCACCAATCTGGAAAAATTGAAGCCTCTCTTCAACAAAGTCCCTCTTGCTCATGTCAATAGCACCACTGCGGGTCATCTCAAACATCTTCCCTTCGTGGAAAGGGAAGGGGTTAGGCTCACTAGTCGGTGTGCTCTCATCAGTTGGTGTTCGAGCAGGGGTTGTGTCAGGTGTTGTAGCTTGTGATTTGTCATCCACTGATAAACTGAAGGGCTTCGGGTCCTCCTCTTTTGCTTTGGACTCAAAAACTCCTTCATTATCCACCCCTTTTGTGGACCAAGGGTCAAAGTCTAGACCTTTCGTCGCAACAGTTTTAAAAGTTGTATTCAGCTCCTCTTGAATTTGGTATCCAAAATAGTTTTCTCCAAAGCCCTGCCTATCAGGATGTCTTCCTTCGAGGGTATAGTCTTTGTCATCTCCACTACCTTTTGCTGCAGCTGTGCTGCCTTTAGTCTTTCCATTATCTCCTCCTTCCTCACATTTCTCTTCTTCTATTACTTCAAGCTTAGACTGACTAAATGAGCGGTCAGTTGGTTTTCCATCATTAGATAAACTAGATGTTTTAGGATCCTCGCTCAGTCCATCGTCTTCATCTTGAAGGTCATACCCATCTAAAGAGTCAATTTCAGTGGCATCTGTGTCATGGGAGAACTCAGCTGTTGTTGCTATGGAGCAGTCAGTGATTGACTGGTCATTACCATTTTGGTCAAAGTCAGCATCCTCTCCTTTTACAACACCATTAACCCCAGATTCCTTAGCATTTCCATTTTTCTCTGACCTTTTATGTTTTGGACGCTTCTCTCCATCTTCCTTCATTTTGAAGGTGTATCTTTTGACAGGGATAGGATGGAAGACAGACTCATCATCGCTGGAGTCACTATTATCAGCTCCTGGAGGAATAGGGGATGGCGGCTGAACTCGGATGATAGGCTCCGCTAAGAAGTGCCTGTCATGTTCCTCTTGAAGGTTTACCTCCATCATTTCAGTCTCTGTTTTAGAAGAAGTGCGTGACACTCTTTTCTCAGCACTGGCCTGCTCTGCTTCTACAGGTGGAGGAGGTGGAAACTCTATATAAGCAACTCTTTTGTCTTTCGGCTTTCCCCTTTCGCCATCTTGCTTTTTACTGCGAGTCTCTGGAGGAGTTGACTTGGATTTATCCATTGAGGGCTCTTTGTAGATAAATGTCTTCCCTTCTTCCTCTTCAGACTCCTCTAGGATCGGGCTTGGCATGCCAGTCATGAATCCTATCACAGTGTCTGTAGTTCTGGGTGTCAGGCTCACTTCCTCTGAGCTGGGGGTCTCGGGAGTGACAGGGCTTTTCCCAGAGCTATCCATGAAAGTCACTTGTTCTAGAGTGTCATCTTCTGGACCTCCATGAGAAGGGGATTGCTTCTGTTTGACAGAGCAAAATGCACCTCTAGTTTCATGCACTGTTCTGCTCTCATGACTCACTATCTTCTTGTATGTTCCCAGCTGCCCTGAGGTTGTTTCCTTCTCATACTGCTTTCCTACCTGGATGCTGACATACACAGGTAAGGGTTTAATATCTTTGAAACCCTCAGTGATAACTACAGGAGTTACTTGATCCAAATACTCTACTTGGTCATCATCAACACCGTTACACAACACAGTAGTCTGATTAGTCTCTGAGGGAATAGTGGATTGTCCTAATGATGATCCACAAATGGACTTACTGGATTCAGAACTGCTGTGCAACCGATTTTTATCTAAAGTAGGTGTATGAGACCCAGATTTTTCTTGTGGACCATCTAATTTTAAAGTGGTTGTTTTGTGATTTTCAGTGAAATTAGATGATTTTCTTACAGGAATTTGCGATTCCGAGTTTTTTTTTAGACTATTGTCACTATTTGGACTTTCCCTGACAACAATTTCTGTATAGATTATTTTTTTTGTTGTTTCTTGTCTTTGGATATTGTTACTATCACAATCTTTTGTAGTATCATTGGCTGAAGAATTCAGTTTTTTGGGAAGTTTACAGGATCTATACCCTTGGTTCTCCCAGGTTTTGCACATCTTGTTTTCTTCCTGATCTTTTCCACCAACCTCATGCTTGGGTGAAAACTTATTAGATTCAATCTCTAAGCATTTCCTTTGGTTTCCTGGACTATCTGGTGTTTTTGGTATACTAGAACTGGTAAACACCTGATAAACAGGCAGTTTAGTTTCTTGAAGTTTTCTGATTGGAGGGTTAGAATTTTGGCCACCTTGAGAACCTTGATCTTGCCTTTGAGCCTCTTGCTCGAACTTTTGCCTTACTGCACTAACTTTAGAAGAAGACATTTGAAGAGGTTTAGGGTTATCACCTGCACCTCCCTGTGATTTACCACTTCCTTGTTGTCTTGAGTCTGCATCAGTGAACTGCAATAATACTCTCCTTTCTGGACTACTAGGTAAACTGGCACATTTTCTGTCACTGGAGCCAAACCTATCCCGAAGCCTTTCTCTGTTCCAGTCCTCCCCACTACCCCCACTTCTGTAGGATCTCTCTGGGCTACTCTGAGTTGAACTGGGCCCTGATCGTGATTCTCTAAAGTCTGGTCTGCGAGATTTCTTCTCTGGCGAAGACAGCTCATCATTGAGCTGTTCTGTTCTATCTCGAAAAAACTGAGATACTTCACTGAGTTTCTCCTCTGCCTCTTTAACAGTCCTATCCACTCTGTCCTCATACACAACTTGATCTCTGTCCTTAACCTGTGTGTCGTCTGACACACGCATCCAAACAGACTGCTTTGGGCTGCCAGGCTCAGAGGAATACTGCAGAAGAGTCAGTTTGTCAAAGTTGTCATCAACATTGGCCATCCGTCCAGATTTGTCAAAAACATTTCTTGATGACCTAAATACATACTCTGTTCTGGGCCCAAGTGACCTACCCTTACTTTGACTTCCTCTGTCTGGTGAGTGCATCTGAGACCTATCTCTCAAATATTCCTCTGTGTCTGAATGAGACTGATCCAATTTTTTGGAAAGTAGCATTTTTTCAGCAAAATTGTAAGATTCACCCCTAAGCTCTGATGATCCATCATCATGATACTCTACAGACTGTTGGCTAAGTAGCTTTAATGTTTTATATGAGTCATCTGCCACAAGCTGAGCTGAACTAGGACGACTGTCTTCTTCCTGGGACATGGGTGTGTTTACTCTGGGGGACTCAATGTACACTGGAAGGGATTCCTCTGGCTCTTCATCTTCATTTCTACTCATTGGGTAGTAATACATTTCTTTCTCTGCATGGTTTTTTGTTTCTCTGATAATTACTTCCGTTGGTTCTGCTTTGTTGCCCTTTTCAATGTGAACCTCAATTATTCTTTCAACCTTAGGTTTGGAGTTGATGTCCTCGAGGACCCTTTGTGATGCCTCCTCATTACTAGACTTGTGTTCAAACAGTCCAGCCAGCTCTCTGGATGGGTCCTTTCCAGATTGGAAAGCCTCCATTATGTCCTGCACTGACATTGTTGCCTCGCACCTCTCCGATGGTGTTTCTTTGCCAGTGGGTTTGTGGTACACCATTCTTGTGGTGGTAGTGATGTGAGTTTCCTCCTTTACCCTCATCCCTTTTCCCATTGGATCTTCATCAAGGCTAGCCTTTACTGAATAGCATTTATTCTGCTCCGGGGTTGATGGAGATTGAGACTGGTGTCCTTTATCAACATTTCTGACAGAATTTGCATCTTCCATTGCAGGCTGTTTGTCATCATCTGGCTCATAGCTCCTGATGACATGTACTACTTCAGTTCTAGTCTCAGTGATTACTGGTGGAACTGGAATATCCTGAAAAAGGCCATTGGGACCCAATCCTTCAGCACTTTGAGGGGCAGAAGGTGTCCTCTCGCTCCTCGTTTCAAACCCACTGTCTGAGAGTGGACTTTTATCCTGCTCGTGTGAAATGTCATCTGGAGATTCTGGAACAGTGTCTCCTCCAAAAAGTGCATCTGCTACTTTACTGATTTCTTTGTCTGAAGGAGAAGGCCGCATGCTTGTTGGAGGCATTTTGAGCTTGTGTTCCTGAACTGCTATAGTTGGTTTTAGGACTCGTTTCGGTTTCTCCTTGCTCTCTCCCTCTTTTTTGCCCTCATCACTTTTATACTTGCTATCATGCATTTTGGAAAAAGAACTGTTGCACACATCACTGGCTAAGTAGTCAACCACTTTGGAAAGATTGAAATCTCTGTCAGGTATTGCTTTCGATCTGGCTTCAGAAACCACAGTTTCGTATCTTGGAGGATAGCTCCAGTTGCTTGGTGGTTGTTCAACTTGTACTTTTGAGAAGTGTATGTCATCAAGTAGTCCTCTTGCTGGGGAAGTCCTTCCATCCTTTCCAGCATCTTTTGTCAATATTTCACTTACTTTCACTAAGTCTTGTTTGACTTTCTCCACAATCCGATATGGTTCCTCATCCTCTAGCTTAGCCTCTTTGGGAGAATGTGACTGGAATCCTTTGTTGACTGAAGAATTTGGATCTGTTTGTAAAATGGCTGACATACGTATTAAGTCTTCTTTCATTTCAGCAACATCCTTCAGAATCTCTTGGCTGGATGACAGGGGTGATGCAGTGTTGGATTTAATGCCAGGAGAAAAATGGGGTGCTTTAATAGGAGACAGAGTTCTAGCAAATGAGGACTGAGCATTCACATCAGATGGAATCATTTTTCTTGGTGAAAGAAGAGCAGCAGATGATTTGGACACCTCAGGTAGCTTTCTAAACTGGGGCTCTGGCAGCACATTAATAAGCGAATACACAGGAACAGTCATTGTACTTGATGTTACAGCAGTGGTGGCATTAGGAGGGGATCTTAGGGAAGTGTAAAGGGAACCAGAAGCTGATGACCTAATGGACTGATATGATGAGGATGCAGAAGAGGACATTGACTTGAGAGTGCCATAACCTGCAGAGCAAGAGTTTAATGTTTTTTCAACCTCGTCAAAGGCTGCATTAACACTTGTTGTAGCAGCATTGGTGGTTGCTTGTATTCTCTCTTGCAGGCTGCTGGTTAGAAGAGGTGTTGGAGAGGAAGAGCGGTACTGTGAAGTTGACACAGTTCCATTGATAAGAGCTGCAGCATTTGCGGGATTGTTGGATTTTAGCGGGGATGAAAGGGACGAAAACAAATTTCTTACAGGACAAGTAGCATCTGAAGCAAAGGAACGCACAGCAGAAAGACCAGGGACTGTCTTTATGGGTGAGGACGAAGCTGTTGTACCGGCAGAACTTCCCAATATGGTTTTAAATGGAAGAGGAGAGTTGAACATACTAAGAGAAGATTTGGGAGAGCTTGGTGGGGTTAGGCCCATAGATGTTCTCTCAAGATGAGAGCTTCCTCCTCCAGAGGCAGTAATGGGTGAGGTCCTAGCAGACAAAGCCACTAGTCCTTTCATAGACAAAGGGTCTGGGACACTTTTACCAGGAGAAGCCAGGGGACTAGGGGAGACCTGAACAGGGTACTGAGGTTGACTAATTACAGTTTTAATAGGAGAGGAAATGGTTCTGTAAGATCTGATGGGTGAGGCTGTGTCACTAGCTGACTTTATAGAGGAAGCAGGTGATCCAGGGATGTTTGTCTTGATGGGGGAGGCAGAGTTGATGGACCAGACAGATTTTAGTGGAGAGGCAGAAGGCGTGTTGGATGACGAACTGGAGAGGGAGCCAAACCCAGATTTGGCTTGGCCAGTGATGGCGACAGGAACAGGCGACCACGCCTGATAAGATCTTGTTGAAAAGACAGGTTTGCAAGGGTAGCTAGAAGGCTGTGTTCTCGGCAGGCTTCGATCAGTTGTTTCTTCAATAATAATTCAAATAAAAGCAATAAGGAAGTAAACATAAAATGAACAAAAAATAATTTGAAATTAAACATAAAAACCAGAAAGAGAAATTTGAGTCAGTCAAAAAGGGCATTGCGCACAACAGCAAAGTCAAATTGTTACAAACACATTGTAAGAAAGGTTCATATGCCAAGTAATGATGACTCAAAGACAAAATAAACTTGGTATAGAATGAAGTGTAAATGACAAAAATGGCTCAATAAAAAAACAAAAGTAGAAGAAAAGAAGAAATACAATTCCATTGACTTTTGATGTGCTCAATGTATTTGGCTCCTGGCTGTAGTGCTTTTAACTGCATCTGTTTAAAAAGTGAATCCTTCTATGTGATGTATTTTCAATGCCAGAGGACCCCACAAGTGTATATTACTATCAAAGCAATTATCACCTTATTTGACTGGTTGTGACGATAAAATATATAGTTGCACTTTACAAAAAGGTAACAGTAGGTTAGGCATTCATGCCTGTTCAGAATTTCCAAAAATAATAAATACAACTTCATTTTGAGCTGTACCAACACATCTGAAGTTGGACCTACATAGCCTAATTTCAAACCACAAGAAGCAAAAATACTAATTCTTGCTTAATCACTGTAATCAAGTTCATGTAAAGTGCAACCTGTTAGTTATTAATATACACAGCCGCACACAATCATAAAGCCAATAAAAGAGTGAGATGGCCACTCAGAATGAGGATGTTTTTATTTCACATGAATTAAAACACATATAAAAGATAACTGAACAGACACTGAATCCACGCGTTTCCACAAATGTAAAAATAACAACAGTTCAAACAGATAAATATGTGTCAACATGGAGTGGGTAAGCAAAGCGTAACACAACCATGCAAATGGTCAATGAACATGGGGTGGTATAAGACCATGTGTCTGATTGTGTGAATAAATGATTAATGAACACTTTGTATTGGGTGGATCTCTTTCTGCACTCATATGAATGTGAAACTAAACCTAAAATAAAAACATATTAAAAGGAAAATAGGGCAACTCACTTGCTGCTGGGTCAGTCAGATAGCTGTATCGCTTACGCAAAGCTAAGGAGGCAAAGGTATGACGTCGTTCTGGTTTTTCAGTCTGAAACAAATTTTGAAAAGAACAAAAAAAAACTGCTTTAACATAAAAAAAAATGAACCTGACTAATCTCGCTATCAATATGATCTAAATTCCAGTGCAGGGATTTAGTCCTGTTTTTAGTGATGCGACACATGCTGTTAGTACAGACACAAGGAGGTGCTGCAGATCTACATTTATGTGTCCTCTGAATCTAGAATAATTATTGGGAGGTGAACTGTATCACTGAAATTGGATAGAGAACACATGGCTGCCTTTCCAAACATAAACTCTGACAGAAAACAGCACCATTTATCCAACCCTTGTTGCATGCAGTTGGGAGTGTCAGTATTTTAGTCACACACAAGTCTAGAAGACAACTGGGAAACAAGGGCAACAAAACAGAGTGTGAACAAATGTTAAGAGCTAAGGGTTCATTATTTGTTAATGACCCCCCCCCCCCCCCCCAAACATTGCTAGGGGTTAGGTGCAATCGTGACGTCCACTTCTAAATGTATGGAAAGAAGAGAGATGAAGCACAAGCTGAAATGTGGCACGGAAACTAGATTCTCTGTGATGGGGACAACAATAGATAAAGCTTTGCTGGCTAAAATGTTTGCCATTCTCGCTCTTGCACTAGTTTTAGTTTTTAGTAGTTTTAGTCATTTTGTAGCTATGTGGGGGAGGGAGGGGTGCAGTCAGCAACATATCACAGACGCTGCACAGAGACAAAACATTTGAGACACACAAATCAATCTGTTAAAGAACTTGCAACAAAAGGCAATAAAAAGAAATGGCCAAGAAGAAGCAGCTTCATGTGATGATGAAGAATCTGTTTACCTCATCATCAGGATCAGACTCCATATCCTGTGGTATTCCAAGATGCATTCGCAGGAGAGGAGAGGAGAGATGACACAATGGACAGCAGGGAAGTTATAGTGAGGAGGGGGGTGGTGGCAAAAAAATAAATAAAATCAAAATCAGGGGATGAAAATGGAGCAGCAAAAACAACAAAAGCCATCAGAAAGAGTCTATCGGAGTTAAGACACAAAACAAACAGCAAAATAACAAAAGCAAAACAAATGCAGTTTCTTGTGATCAATCAAAGCCACAACACACAGACTGAGAGAATTTTCTTTTTTTTTAAATTATTATTCTTGTGTGCTCACACTGAGCCAAGCAACGGGTGAAAGCATGACGTGCACGTGTGGCTCCATGTCTACATTGTGGGGTCTTACAGCTGGCACAGGCCTCACCATTAATAAAAGACACAAGCAGCAGGCAGTCATCTCTGGACCAGATGTGCTTTAGTGGCTTCTCTTTATGGCAGGACATTGCTATGTGTCTTGTAACTTTATTACATGTGGATAATATAATATGAGCTAACAGTTTGCAACATTCAAATATGGTGATCCTACCTTCTTGTGGGTTGGCAGTGTGATATTCAAATTGCATACGGCAGTCTGTGGAAGGCCTTTAAAGGTTTTAGGCTCTCTCAGGAAGGAGAGACGGCCACATGGCTCCTGGCCCATATCTCTGATCTGTGGAGGGTGGCAAAAAATGAATAAAAATGAAGACTCCAGAAGCTTTAATGTGTTTTTTTCACCTGAAAGCACAGCTGTGAGTTTATTTTGCAAATCGAAACATACAAAATGCACCCAATATGATTAAAATGGCATATTATCTAATAAATGCCAGAACTCAAAAGCAGTGATGGGAAGGACACATTTTATACCTTCACATCAAAAGGAAGTCGGTTTTCCTTGAAAGAGTAGAAATTAAAAATCAACTGCTGTCCAGTTTTGGTGAGAGGGGAAAGGTTGCCATAGCAGTCCACAAAAATAGGCTTGCCCTCAAGAACCTGAAGAGGATAATTGTAAAAAGAATAAGTCACAAATTGAGCGTCAAGTGAAGATGAGGTTTAAAAAAAAACACTTAATGACATCATGCTGAATGATGTTTTTTTTTATTTGGTGTTCTGGTTCACAAGAACACAACGCCACCTCGATATCTTTGCTCCGAGCCACTTCCTCAAAGTTCTCCTGCTGCTCCAGAGTCTTGTCCACCTTGTCGTCCGTCATGCAGAAGCAGCGCAGCCGAGCCTCGATGACGTCATTCATCTTGGCGAACACCACAAACTTGGCCAGGTACGGCACGCAGATCAGCTCCCGGTATAACTGAGACGCTAAACTCACCGTCTCAGGAATCTGGTGACAGTCTGCGAGCCAGAACCTGGTGCGCAGGACAAGAAGAGGAGTAATTCAAATGACAAATTTCATAAAAAATACATTTTTGTCATAAATTTCAAATGGCTGCAGTTCTCTAGTGTGCAAAAGTACAGAAAGTTATGAGCAGGTTTGGTTGATAATCCAAGGGGAGCCCACAGACACATGACAGCTGTGCAGCAATCATCTAACCAAAGAATGCTGTGTAAAAACCAGGCTGCACATTTCCTATGTGATTCTAATTGACCTATGGGGAGTTGATGACTTTGCATTCTGCAACTAAAAGGTTAGAGGCCTCCCACACAGACAGCAGAAATCATGTTACTAATTTAGTTTAAATAAATTAAAATGATCCAGAAATAAAACAAAAAATCGTGAAACAAGTTAGCTTGACAAATGATGCACTTTAAATATTTGCATTTTCCTTCTCTTTTTTATTGTTCAAGTTTAATATTTAGAACAAGACATAACATGTGATTTTATTTTATTCAAAGTGACTGGAAACGACTTTTTGTCTCCACCTAAAACCGAATGAAAGAAAAGACCAGACTGTGAGAATTAAACTCCATCATGCCATGTTTTAATAGGTTTTTGTTTATACTGTTTCACTGAAAATACACATTTTTGTGCAGGATATTTAAAGTGCTGTTTTAATGTTGTTGGAGAAAATTTAGGAAAAAAAAAGATTCAGTTTCAAAAACAAAGGTGAAATTATCTAGATGAGAACTAATGAAAACAAACAAACCAAAGACATTCTTGGTTAATAGATGACAACAAAAAATTGCAATGAGAAATGATTTAACTATTTCCTAAAAACGTAATGGTTTTTTTTTTGTGCTATTTTGCAGCACAGTGGTCAGCAAATCATAAAAACATTGTTTACACATTTGTTTTCTAGGTTATGTGACTATAAATTAAAAATATTACTTTTTTAAGAACATCTATGGCTTTGGATAAAATGTGTTTGTGGAGGAGTTTCTCACCTGGCCGACACATTTGTGGTGAAGGAGACGCAGTCAGTCACAAAGGACAGAGGCGTGGTTCCTGTGATGTCCTCCCACTGTGCGGGGGACGTTCCTCCTGTTAAAGGTAAGGCCAGAAAAATTAAAACAATATTAATGAGTTTTTTACACTTTAAGCTATTGCTTTCAAACTGTTTTCAATGGTTCTTGAACCAGGAACTTGAGCAACTTAACACTGGACAGCACTCTGCAGCCCTCTGCTGACCAGAAGCTACATTTAAAAGATTTAATAATAATAATGCATTGAACTTATATAGCGCTTTTCTAGACACCCAAAGACGCTTTTCACACACTCTCACATTCAAACACTGCTAGTGATGGTAAGCTACTTGTAGCCACAGCCACCCTGGGGAGGTCTGACAGAGGCGAGGCTGCCATTTGGCGCCGTCGGCCCCTCTGACCACCACTAACACAGGCAAGTTGGGTGAAGTGTCTTGCCCAAGGACACAACAGCAGGATACCCCTGGCGGAAGCTGGAATCAAACCCATGACCCTCCGATCATGAGGCAACCCGCTCTACCACCTGAGCTACTACTGCTTTGTGGTTAAGGTAGTACCTCTAGTGGCAGGTGTCAACCTGTTTTACGGCAATAGCTGGTTACTGTGCCGGTAGATAATATGAAGGCTATCAGTTAACTGTTGCAGGTAAACAGCTGTCAATAAAAAGAACAACAACAAAAAAAAAAAAAATTTGCTTTTTTTGTTGGCAACATTGCAGAAAGTTGAAGTAAAAGTCAGAAAGTAATGTCTTTGGAGGCGAAGTAAAGACGAGAGAGAACCTTGGTGTTTGAAGGGGATAAAGGAGTTAATGAAATCATGGACTGATGGTGACCTAGCTTTGTAGCTAAACTTGTAAGTGATAAAAAAATTTGTCCAACAGTGGGAATCTTCTTACTTTGAGTTTTTTTTAGTATTAGTTGGCTCACGTTAGTGTTAGCTTGTTCTTAGCACTTGCGACTGCAGGCAGCGGCAGGTTGTTTACAACAGTTGTAATTCTGTTTTCAGCCAGTAGGACAGAGAAGCTGGAAACTTAAGAAAAGTCGCTGTAATTTCCTACTCTTCTATTACAATTACAGTGGTCCTTCGCTATAATGGGGTTCACCTTTCACAGCCTCGCAGTTTTGCTGATTTTTTTTCGTGATATTTTGCATGTTTTATTTTACAGTGCATTGTTTTCTGCATCCAAATGTACAAAGGTTTGAACTTTTAGAGTGTTTAAACAAGAGAGAAATGTGTGAAAATGCTAGTGCCTGCCTGAGAAAAGTGTATAAAGCGTGAAGGGTTTTACAGCCTTAAATCATTGTGGCTGCACACTGGGATGAGCACGTCGGCCGAGGAGAGGAGCACACACTGTGCCACGGCTGGAGCGCATAGGTAATCAGCGCTCCTGCATCTTTATATATAGGAGGAGGAGGCATAAGCCTCTACAACGTGACAACAAGAGACTGAAACACTGGAGCGAGTGTGTGCAAACGAAACTGTTCACCCGTGCATGCTTGCTGGAAATAAACCTGTTGAGAAATGGAAATTCTGGAGGGTTTTCATGTGTGACCCTAAAAATATAGCTGCAGAAGCTACAAACATCTGTGAAAATGGTAAAAAATGAAGCTAACTACTTAACTGATTTAGCCTAATGTGGGTTATTTTAGGATGTAATTCCCACAATAAACGAGGGACCACTGTAGTCTCTCAGCTTTCACTTGTTCCATTTTTATTTTCAACTTTTCTTTTTCTGTTATTTAATCATCACAACACACAGTCTTAGGATGGAAGAATTTTTTCAACACATAATTCTGAGCTCAGTTGCTTGTATCTAGTCCAAGCAGAGAGATTTCAGATGGAGCTGCTGCAGCAGTCCTGTTCTGCTCTAATTATCTCACCCGTGATACTGCAGAGCAGACGGAGGCATGGTGCTGCATCGCCTCGCAGGCCGCTGGGATGTCCTTCTGCCGATCTAGGCGGAACAGGGATCGTCATCGTGATCGGCTTGTGGAACTTTCTCCTCCTAGGCTCGACGGTGACGATGGGGCTGAAGGTGGCTCTGTTTCCCAGAACTGCCCTCGCCATGTCGTCTGGCACAGGCTGGGCCTGATCAGAGAAACGGGAAGGCAGGAACCACAGTGGCTGTTAGAAATGCTCAGTCAGAGCTTTCCTGAATTTTCCATCAACTTAAAAAATGTCCAAACATTCCAGGTAGAATGAAATATTCAGCAAAAGCAGGTCGAGTGTAAATAAATAATGAGTCAATGGATGGTACCTCTGCAGAGATAAAACAGGAGAGACTGGAAACATTGAATCAGACCTGATCAAAGGAGTAGCTACGTACCTGCAGACCAACACGGATCCTCTTGGTGAGCGCTCCCTGTGGGAAGGAGGCCTGGACCATGGGCACATTGTTGCAGGTCAAGATGCCTCCATCAGGACCAATGTGGTTAGATTCCTGCTTGATCCTGGACACCACAGCAAAGTACTGCGGGAAATCTCTGGTGACGATGCGGCAAATGCGCTTCTTCTCCAACTCCTCAGGACTATCCATTTCTGTTTTTTATAAAAACATTTTCATGATTGCCATTTTAGGACACAATTAGAGACTGCTGCATCAAAAACATGCAAGATATGACTAAATAAATGCATTTGAAGGATACAAAAGTAAACACAGTCTGTTTCTTTTCTATTTTCACCAACTATATTGGTTTTTGTGTGTTTTACGTAGTAGAGGAAGATTAATTTTGTCTTTACCTTCATCCATCCCAGCGAGCAGTTCAGTTGGATCTTCTGGTCTGGTATCACATTGGTGCTCCTTCCACACGTCACCATTATCACTCCTCAGCACAATCAGCTCCCTCTCTTTCCCTCTCATTGAACCAAAATGAGGAATCTCCACAATCACAGGACTGAAAGACAAAGTGGAACATGACTGTTGGAATAAATCCCAAATTTGTTAATGAGTACTAAATACTAAATGTCTGAAAACAACCTACCCAAGGAACTGAGCACCAGCAGGTCCGACCTCCACCAGCCGGCTGACCAGCCCCTCTCCCTCAACCATAGGTGGGGGGTAGGCCACTTTGTGCCTTTTAACCAAGCGACAGGTGATGCGTGTGGGCGCCGTGCACTTCCTGGGGGGAATGATGATGCGCATGCCGTTGTGGCGGCTGCCTCTCATAGAACCACCGCGGGCATCTACCATGAAGCTGACCAAAAACCTGCAAAAAAGGAAATACAAGTTTCACAAAAGGGAAAAGCGAGTGAAAGAGAAAGACAGAAGCCATGGACATGGGTGAGTAGGACGGTTCCCATGCTGTGATCACCGGACACCCAAATAAATTTAAGATAAAGATAGAAATGAAGGAATACAGAAAAAAGAGCAGGAGAAAAGATAGATTAAAGAAAGAAAAAAAAGTTTTGAGCTCTGAAAATTGGAACTTCTCATCTTTAGCTGCCTCAGTTTGAAACATCAAAAGAATCTGAAACTAAACGACTAATTAATGAAGCGGCGGGAAAGTTTAGTTTCCAGTTCTGAGGCAGAAGGTGAGACTGTTGCCAAAGATTCAGTCCCTCAAAAGCAGTGTTCAGTGATCCAACTTTTTACAATTTTCACATGTTTCACTAAGATTGCCTTTTTTATGTATCCAATCCTAATTATTCATTCAACAAATCACACACAACAAGGGGGGTGAAGATGCGCCTACGCTAGGAGAACCTCCAGTTATTGCCATCAACATTTTAAAAAAAAATTGATAATAAACAGAAGAGATGTTTGCAGGAAAATGTAATAATGTGCACCGCGAGAAAGAGGGAAGGAAGAAAGGCTCCCAACACATTTCTAAAATCTAGTGGGTGAAACATCAGACCACACAGATGAGATGAGAGAAAAGAGACAGAGATGGAAAGGAGGCAGAGGTGGAGGAGTGAGCGACATCACTGCAGCATCATGGGTGTAAGCAGCGAACTCAGTCATCACCTGGAGTCATACTGAGGGAGCGGGGAGGAGAAGCTGTAAAATAAATAAACACATGGAGACAATGTAGGAGGCAAATCCCCAGAAGTCCGTTTTCGCATCAGTTTCACAAGCACTGCTGGGATCTCATGACTACTGAAGAGGAAAGATGACTAGAACGTTTTTAAACAAGACACAAAAGTTTAAAATGACAGCGAGCAAAGTCACACAGGTACACACACACATACACACACACATAGAAAACATCACAAGAAATAATGAGTCAAAAACAGAAACACGACTAAAGTTGGACATGACAGATCCCAGTATTTTATTTTTGAATAACAACCCAAAAAAATAATAAAAATCAGCTAAGCCTTGAGCAAGCAGGATGGCGTGCTTAAAGCAGACCTTTTATGATGACATATATTCAAAGCGTGAGCAGGAGATGAAAGCAGCAATTTATCAGCTTATCCAAATGAGCTCATAGAGCCTGTGGGTTTGTCCAAGTAATGATTAAAATAAATGTGTCAGGCAAAAGGCAAGCACTTCTAGACCACGTCTCCAGACCTCTGGTATGACACCAGCTTTGTTTTTTGCCGTCATGTCATGACTAGTAGCAAATTTTCTGCTGCTTAAGACCGAGTTTATTGTTTTTACTCCTAATGGCTCGTCTTCCTCCGCTCCTGATTTTTCTGCTCTTCCTTTTAAAATTAGTCACACAATTGTTAATCTTGGAATTAAAACGGTTGTGGCTCTAAAAATGGACCCTCATGTTAATCACATGGTTAAATCACGTTTTTATCAGCTGAGACGTCTTTCCAAACTAAAACCCATTCTGAATCGGCGCCACCTCGAGACAACCATTCACGCTTTCATCACCTCAAGGTTGGACTACTCCAACGAAATTCTGTTTGGCATTTCAAAAGCCGCATTATCTCGCCTTCAGCTGATACAGAAGGCAACAGCAAGATTTCTGACTAATACTGGCCGTCGGCAGCACATCACTCCAATTTTAGCAAGACTTCACTGGCTTCCTGTGCACTACCGTATATGTTTTAAAATTTTATTGTTTGTTTTTAAGGCGTTGAATGGCTTAGCACCACCTTATATATCCGAGTTACTCACTCCTTATGTGCCGGGCAGGACTCTCCATTCAGGTGACATTCACCTACTACAGATTCCCCATCTACGCTGCAAAACCCGTGGTGAACGAGCTTTTCCTGTCTGTAATCTAAAACTCTGGAATGATCTCCTGTTGAATATCAGACTCTCCCCCTCTATTGGTTTTTAAGTCTCACTTAAAGACTTACTTTTATTCCCTTACTTTTACTGCCTAGCTATTTAATCTAGGTTTATTTACACTATTCTTTTACCGATTTTATTGACTTCTCTTGTTCGGTTCTTTGTGCTGTGCTCTAGCTGTTTTATTCTTTTATATTATTCTTTTAACCTTATATGTTTTTACCCCTGTACAGCACTTTGGACATGCTGTTTTTAAATGTGCTTTATCGAATAAACGGAATGGAACTCTGCACTCTCAGTGCTGCAGCTGATTGACTCTCGGACAGGAAACTCAAGACTTTTATTAAACTTTGTAATGAATATACCCCAAAAGGTCAGATAAAGCTGTTCTTACCCAGAGTGGATGGGGCTGGACACAGTGTGGCTGTTATCCATGGTGTCCGGGGTCCAGCTGTAGCGCCGCATACACTCCGAACTGTAGTCTCTGGTCACAGCGAGGTGCTGGGTGGGGGGGAGACAATCCAAAAAGGTAAAGGAGATAAACAACAAAACAAATAGACGGAGGGTAATGAAGGACAACAATGTGGACAAAAAGAAAAAAAAGCCTAAATATTGAAAGTAACTGATCGACAGATGATGAACCAGCGATCAGGAAATGGACATTGTTCAAAGTCTCACCACAGTTGGTCAAACATGCCGTTTATGTGGGAAAAACAATAACAAGTAGTTGTTAGGAAGTGAGGAAAGTAATTAAGACTTTGGGTACAAGGTTTGGAAACAGAAAGTTATGTATGAACGAAGAAATTCATGATCTTGTGGAACAACATGGGAGGAGACCAGGCAAGACAAACAGCAGTGATGTCAGGCATGAGAGAGGCAGAGACCCAAGGCATCAAGGGTAAACTGAGTGTCCTTGATGATAATGATTCAAATGTGAATAAAGTGACAAATAAGATGGACATTGGTCATTGTTAGCACCTTATTGAGAGGGTCAACCAGGTAGGAAATGTCTTTACAGACACTCTGAAGCTTAGGAGGAATGGAAAACAAGTTTAGGAGCTGCATTGGGGGCAACATGTGGTCCATCCAAATGAATAATTTATCATTTGCTTCAAAGAAAACTTTCCACTGAATGCCGCAATTGTTCATTCTGGCAAATGGGATTTACGCTCAAACTATCAACGGTCAAAGGTCTTGATTACGATTGCACAGAACTCATATCAAGCTTTAAATTGGTCAGAAGATGTTTATGATTAAATTGGACAGACTTTTGTTTTAGAAAAACAGTTTAAAAGTTCTTTACCGGAAAAGCAAAACATATGTTGATTTACATTTCTTTTCCTTTTGAATATCAACACAGTCCCTCAATAAGCAATGCAAGTTTTTACAGAGAACACTTTTTTATGAGATAGAAAAGTTTTAAAGTTGAAATAAATATTTTATGCTCTCGATTGCAACGCTTTGGCAAGCTAGCACGTCATCAGCATTGCTTCTGTGAGGACAAGTAAAGCTATCCTGCTTCCTGAATCTAATCCAAGCAATTTGTGTTGAGATTAAGCTGCTGGGAGAACAAGTTGTGCTGAGAATTCCCTAAACAAAAAACCTTAAAGTCTGGAAAACAGTGAGACAAAAACACCAGAGAAGGACAACATTGAACACTAGCTTAGAGTAAGATAAAAGATAAAAAAAAAAAAGATTTAAAAAAATTGTATCTTACCGTGTCTTTGGTAGGAGCCAGGATCTCCTCAATCATCATGCTGTCTCTTGCAAAGGAGCTCCGGTTGAGCGTGTTGGACCTATCCGAACTGAATGATCGGAGGCTACATGTTACCATGCAACCCAGCGCCACGGGCAACAACAAGTGACAGGTGGGACCACGTGACATAAAACAAAAGTGAAAAATTTATTATTACATGCAACCTCCAGGGAACCAGAACTTACTGGACAGAGAGTCCAAAAGTCAAAAGGAAAACAGAGAAGCGGAAGAGTCCGCGGGTTAAAAACCGATAAGGTACTGCTAGAGGTTACTCAGAGATGGAAATGAGACTGAGCTCAGTTTGTTTGCCTTTAAAGGTAGAGGGAAAGAGGAAGAAGAGGAGTTGGCAGATGGAAAGGAACCAGTGGGACATATTTCTCTGAGGAGGTGTGGTGGGTGTGGATTGGAAACGTGGACAGAACTAAAATAACTAGGTCGAAATGATGACATATACGAGATTAGATGACTGTACACCTTCACCTGGCTGACGGGTGACACTGGAAAGTTCATACATTGGTGCAGAAACGCAAGATTTACAAATCACAACTGTAAAACCAAGTTTAAGCTCCAAGCCTGACGTGGTTTTGCTGTGGGATTAGCTGACCTGGGCTTGCTTCAGAGGAGTAAAATCCAGAAAGAGAAAGCTCGTATTTCCCATCAGCCTTGCTGCAGTCTTGTTTTATTGCTGCGTGCAGTGATGTGTGCCTATTTTTGCAGCATCAATGCAGTGCTGTAGATCCCTTGAAGCTCCTTTTAGCTAAATCTTTTTTTTTTTTCAGTTTAACTTCAAGGATTTGATGTGGGAAGACACGGAGTGTGTGTGTGTGTGGCTGCACACACGTCAGAGTCGTACACGATTCCAGCTTTTTTCTGCATGTTGACTTGGCAGATGTTTGAAAAGCTGGAAACAAGACTAACATGTCTGTGTTGTATGTTTGTCTGAAAATGTGTGTGTGTGTGTGTGTGTGTATGTGTGTGTGTTAATGCGCCGTAAGCATGTGTCTGTGAGTGTCAGGCGGGGGTGGGGGGGGGGGGGGGTGGGGGGGGGGGGGAGGATGGGAGAGTGACGGGACAAAAATTGCAGAGCTCAGCATGTTTGAGTGGGGACGCTATTCAGCACAGAGAGAAGCCCTTTATTCGGCAGAGCCTGCCTACACCATCGAAGTAACCGAGCAACTATGTACCGACCGAATGGATTCGCTGGCATGGCAACACCATGCACACTCCCCCACCCAATCCCCAATCCCCCCACCCCATCTCACTGGGACTCCGTTTGTTCATCCCAGCTTTTTCCTCTTTCTCATTCTGTACATCCTCCTCCCTCTCCCAAACATCGATCTTCCTCCTCCTGTGTTTCCTTCCTCTTTCATTTACTGGACTGTCAACAGTTTAATTCGGTGTTCTCCTTCACTCAAGTGAAGGCAATTTTAACTTTTTCTCCGGCTTGCCATTTTCTTTCTGACCACGTCTTTCTCTGCCACCTCCCTTCCTCTTCATTTTTACTGCTGACTGTTCATTATGTCTTAAAGCAAACTGTATCTCCTCTTTTTGACTGAGCATCTGCATAAACAGTACTGTGCAAAAGTTGAGTTATTTCACATTTGTGTATTTGTTTCACTCATTTTGGGTGCAGTACCTGAGCATTTATCTCTAATCTGGGATATGTTAGATTTAGGAGGTCTCCTATTTGTTCCTTCTTATTTCTCAGGAGCTGGTCCTCTATTCTTTCACCTCAATTTGTTAATTTTCTTCATTTTAAAAGAGGCAATGAGTAGTTTTTAACCATTAATCTCTGGAAATATCCATCAAAATGTTGTTGAAAATGAAATAAATGATGCCCAGTTGCTGAAAAATATTGGCAGATTTGTAACATGTTTAACCAGCAGAATTAGAATTCTTTGTTTATTCAGGGATCGTAAGACACTTCGTATTAATTCAGAGAGTCAAGTTTATCAAAAGTAAGAAATTTATTTTCAAAACAATTAAAAACTTGACAACTAGGAAACACGTTATGTGATGAATGAAACTAAGTGGATGGAATGTGAGGTGTGATGATGTGTGAATGTGATGTTATCAGAACCTTCATATCTAGAGAATGTGAGTTCTGAGTGGGAGTGAATTTGGTCTGCTATAAAATCACATCAGACGCAATCTGTCGAGTCTACGTTAGGGCCTGAACGACTTTATTTTTTTTAAAGTCGACAGTCAAGTAATGAAAGTCGAGTCGACTTCGACTAGTCGTTGATGACGTCATACGCCGGAAGCGGGGGGGGGGGGGGGGGGGTGTCGGTCGGTAGGTTCGCTGGAGTTTTTGACAATTAAAATTGCGCCCACATTTTCTAAGTTAACACATCTCTTTTAACAACGGTAGTTTCTGCATCCTACTTCAGCCCTCTCCCACCTCCGCCTGCGCAGCAGCCGCAAACTCACTGATGCACCTGCAGCCTTTCCTGCTGCTCTAAACATTAAAATAATTATTTTCTGTTCCTCACTTCTGATTACCTTCAGTGGTGTCTGTTTGTTGCAACCACCAGGTACAAAAACTAACTTGTTTTTATTTGACTATTTTTCTGTCCTGCCTGTCTATTATCTTCCTGCATCTCCTCTCAATCCTAAAGAAAAACTGCTATCTGCGTTCATATATATTCACCTTATGAGTTACCTTTGAACTGCAGTTCTAAAAGATCTACCGACCGCAAAAACAGCGGAGTGCCGCTGCTCGCCGGCCGACTACAACAGGACCGTTTTTGCTGAGGAGTTCATGCCGGAGCGGAGCGGAGTGGAGATAGTGGAATCTTGGGGGCGCGTCACCGGAGGACAACAGGTGATGCGCCTCGCTCTGCAGCAGCGAAATGCATCAGGCACAAATAACAGACAGAAAACATGAAAGGAAATGAGCCGACATGAACGATCGCGTGTTTAATTTGTTTTTGAGGTGGTGACACCTGATTTGGCGGTGCTCAGAACGCAATGTCTGGAGCGCACGTCAACGATCAGAGCTTTGCATGCACAAACTGGTTAAGATTAGGATGGGGGTGAGGGGGAGGTTAAATTGCAAGAGGGAAAAGGCCACAGTTTGGTTAAATGTCCGTTTTACCGCCGGTGTCAGTACCGCGTTGCCTCCGCCTCGATCCAGACGCGCAGGGGCTCATCACCTGCTGTCTTTTCCGAGGACTGCATCTTGTCAGTCATTATCATGTGACAGCGACTAGTTGATGACAGGCATAAAAAGTCACTACAGAGCCGTGAAGTCGACTAGTCGACTAGTTCGTACAACCCCTAGTCTACGTACCCTCTCGGAGACCCCCGTGGTAGATCCGGAATGTATTGAAGTCTGGGGACCCCAAAGGTACCGAAGCCCGTAGGAGAAACCACAGCGCCACCAGACCGGTCTTGAGATCTCTCCAGGTCATGACAGGTAGTTATTTGCGTCTATGGTGGACTCTTAAGGAGTCGGAGCTGATTCAGCTTTATTCTGAAGGAACCATTTGCGGTCAGCTGTAGCACGCAACAGGTTTTGACAGCTTGTCAAAAGATGCAATGGGAGAAGAGGCTTCCTCCGATGGCCAGTCAGAGTTAGGCTCATCTGAATCACTCAGGAAGTGATTCTGTTTTAATAACGACCTTATTTTGGTTTACTGACAAATCAGAACTTGCCCTGTAAAGGGGTTTTGCCAACAAACCTCAGATACACACCTCCCTAAGATATGAAGATGCTGATTTTGTGGATAAGAAAATGTCTATGTGCAGTAGCGTTAACTTCAACTTGCGTCATGAAGATATGGTGAGTGTGTCTTGTCCAGTCACGTACGCTGATTAAATATATGGGTCATATATGCCACTTCATCCTTATTAATCTTTCAATGTAATAATAATATTCATTTCAACTTCAGTAATTTAAGCACAGATTAATCAAAACATGTTATTTAACCATATTGTCCATTTCATTATATGATTAGTTAACTCATATTGTTCATTTCATTGTATGATTTAATTGTGAAAGTTCATCCTTCTTGTTCTGTGAAGCAAAGCAGTCTTAGATAAGAGGAAGCTGGAGAGAGACTTTGGTCAAGCAACAGTATCTTCCTTGCAGATTAAAGGCACCAGTTAAGACGTATGTCTCCATATGACCAGATACTGGAGAGGCCACACTGTAGATGAAAAACTGACCATTTCTGGAGGCTACAACAGTGTGCAATTTACTGTAACAATCAGATACAAAAACCCAAGAAAAATTGAGTGAAAAAGCAGCCAAAGTATTAAAAAAAGATGTTGAAAACTTATATAGTTTAAATTAAAACAGATTCTGTTTAATAACCTTTGCACAAAACTGCTTATATCAGTGAAAATGGTTTGGGGCTACTATGTGGGTATGGATGCACAAAGACAACTGTTGACAGTTGATTCATTGTGCATTTGTGTAAATTGTTTCTGCACAAGTGTGTCCACGTGTGTCACTTGGCGGATGTGCAAATCAAACTTTCCATCTCTGCAAATCGCCAGTTGGTCCTAAAAATCTGTGAGATATATTGAAACATTAATGTGTCCACAGGAATGACAGGTGGACGCTGATCCCTGGAAGTTACATCTCCAAACATATAAAGTGTCACGTGAGGACTTGAGTTAGAGGGATTATGTTACAAAGTGACCAAAAACACATTTTTTCCTGTGTGGGGCCAGGCTCCTCCTCCCCGCACCACCATGACTTTATTTTTAAATTGCAGATATGTTAGAATGATGATGATCTTAAGAACACAACAATACGAGCGATAATGAGGACAGTGATCACAGAGAAAGACTTGAAGACAGCAAAGTGCAATGAATGACTCGTAGGTTTAGTGTGGATGTTTAACACATTAAGATGCCGAAGGGTTAGATTTGGGTACCAACAAAGGCACATGACTCACAGCTTCCTACTTCTACTACTACTACCACTACTCTTTTTCTTACCTGATTCTAGGGCTAGAATGAGAGAATAGGAAAACAAGAAGAAGAACAAAGCAGAAGAGTGAAAAGTAAAGCATTTGGAAAACATTTAAGCATGATATGGCCTTTTTTTGTATCCATATGACACTGATGCTGCGGTTTTGCATGATTGCACTCCGACTCAGCACATTTTTCTTGGTGTACATGAGTGTGTGCTCAGCCCAATAGAAGCAAACCATGCAATGTCATAAAACAGAAAGGTAAGGAAAAGCAAAGAGCTCACTCAGCACCACACATTATCTGGTCAATAAGTTATTTTGTGTATTTCAAAACATTCCAGTTGGGAGAAATAGACATTTTTCATTTTAACTGTCCCATTAAACTGCATCATTCTGTAGAGAAAAAAATAAGAGAACAAAAGCAGCGTAAAGACTTTATTTTTAAGCACCAACATAGGCTATTACATTTAAGCAAAAGTGAGTGTTTTTAACAATAAAATTCTAAATTATTTTATCAGTAATCAAATGTGCTAATTCTACTACAACTCTTTCCATTATTTTCATTCAAAATAAGCTTGTTTACATATAATCTATCTGTCCATCTAACTTGGTATTTCCCTTGTTTGTTGTTCCATGCTGATGTTAGCAGCTTCCTGTTATAGGTGGCTTTAAATAAAAAAAAAAAAACAAGTCAAAACAGCCATCCCATTGCTTCAGCCATCTGTCGCTGTGATCACAATACAACTCTGATGTGTTTTCACCGCAGCCTGCCAAATTTCCACACAACGCGTTTGTCTACTGTTAGAAACCGCCGTCTCTGTGCAGCCGTCCGGCTGATGTCCCTATGGCAGGACAAGATCAACTCATGTCTCACACCATGCGTTTTTTTTAATAATACTGACTTTACAGCTTGTAAAACTTTCATTACGCTGATCAGAAAGGAAATTAAACATAATAAAATAATATTTTAGTAAAAATTGTATTTTAGGGTTGCCACAGTTGACACTGTTAGAAAAACTATATTAAAATGTCTAAAACGCTTTAAAAGTGTTTGTTTTAATGTTTTTGGGAAAACCTTTCATGTATTAAAAATAAGATACATAAATATGATGTTTAAAGTCAAAAAGAGCATTTCACATACAGTAAATGTCTGATTCTATAGGAATAATGTGGAGAAACTCACATTTCAGATTTCTATGTATTTGCTTACATTTTTATTTGATCCGTTGTGTTAAGATGGCGTCCTATTATGTTTTCAAAAGCATATAGATATTTCTAATTATACGGCTGTGCATCATCAATCCAATGGGTCATGTCTTTACATTTGCAATAGTATTAATATTTGACAGGATGGATTACATTATAACAGATTTTTTTAAATTGCTATAATTGTGAAAAAGAAAAAGTTAATTTATGACTAAAAATTGGATTGTAGATCTGAAATGTAGGTTTTCTGCTCATAATTAGTCTGCTTCATTTTCCCACGGTGTTCATTGTTGTTCAAAACAATCTACTTCTAGATATATGGGGCTAAATACGTGTCATGGGAATACAAACATGTGAATTCCCAAATGCTGACAGTGAAAAGGAAACAAATATCAGGATTCCTGAAATGTTCTTTCCAGCCATTTTAAATATCCGGCCTAACTATTATGAAAAATTGGCTTGCCATACATCTATTTGTTACATTATTATCTAGTTTTTGAGTGAGGTCACAAAAACGCTGAATCATTTTATCAGGTTGAATCACCATGGCAACTTTCCAGTAACTTTCCCTGATGATCTTTCAACATGAGTTAGTTTTACAGGCTCGTTTTAAATAACAACAGCTGATCTTCTGTTATTATCTAGTCAACATAAAACATAAAACCTGGACTGGCAGGTGCCTACCTGGCTGAGCGCACCCCTAGGCTGAAACCTTGGTAGCCCTCCTGAGGGAGGGAGTCGTCCCCCAGCTCTTTGAAGTCCTGAGGCCGCAGGTATTTGTCAGTGTCTCCTGTCATCGCATCTTCACCTGGTGGAGGGATGAAACCATAACATCCTCTTGTTAACGTCACAAGGTAATCCGGGCGAGGGAGGGACACCAGAGCAAATAAAAACAAACCCTAAATACATTTTTATTGATTAAAGGAGGCCCCTAATCAGCATCCCTATATCACTGCAGCTACCCACTGCGACTTCTTCTCCTGCTCTATTCATCTGATTCACAGCAGTGAAGCAGTGCAGCTGACACCGGAGCAATGCCAACTGAAGCAGCAGTGAAGCAACTTTGCGGTATATCTGGAGGTCTTCTCCTGCAAAGCCAAACGCATGCTCCATTCACAGCACCCGTTACCCAAAACACAGCACGGGGTTAAACAGCCACCAAGGGACGGGAACAATAAGCAAAGGATGACCAGAAAGTTGAGAAGCGCACCGCACCTCGATCGGCGGACCGGTGGACGATGACGCGCCGATCAACGAAGCCGCCGGAGCGGCTGTAGTGTTTTCCCTTCTCCCGCATGTCCGGCTCTGTCCTGCCCGCAACGCTCGGCTCCTTCACCGCAGCCCCGCCTCTTACCTTCAACACTGCTGCACTCCGATCAGACAAGAAAACCGGCATCAAGGTACAGAAGACGTAGAGAGAAAACGCTTCCGGTGTCAGATTTCAAAATAAAAGCAACGACGTGCGCCTAATTGAATTACTACTGTGAAACAACATCTATTTACTGGCGTGAGAAATAAAAGTGACACGTGGCAGATCCCACAAGAGGCAAATATTTAGCCGTTTTGACTCAAAGAAAAGTTTTCTGGACGACAAAAAGGTAAAAATATAATTTGTCTCATTAAATGCATTTGAATTTAATTGGGGTTAAATAAGATTGACTGCATCATTAACTACATTTTCTTAAATGTTCACGTTTTAAACGTTTTCAAATGAAGTTGCCATTAATGCAAATACACTGTTAATTGTGCATTGAAAAGGCATTCAAGCAAGACTTTTTTATTATTTGTTTTATTGACAGCACACTCCCCTGCCTAACACCCGGTATTATCTCGTCATTTCTGACTTGACACAACTGGGAACGATCCATTTCACCGTCACGTTCGAGTTCAAAGACACACAAATATTCAAGCCTAGTCTCTAAATTATAAAATCAAACACAACACTTTCACAGCTGCTCATGCACAAATTAGGTTTAAATGTGCTTAGGCCTACCCATAAACCATTTATTTGGCACATGAAGAGAACACTTTAAATGTCCCGAATGAAATTATTTTACATAACTTTTTCTCACATTATTATGGCCTGGTCACCATTCTTTTGCGTTTTAACAACGCACGAGTCTCTGCCTCCTTTGATGCCCAACATACCTTGCTCCAACGCAGCCATGTTGATCACTTTAATTTTTCCCAAACCAGCGCAGTTATTTCCAGAAAAGGCCCCAGATGAGAGCAGAAATCCAGAGAGGAGGCTATAATTCACCGTTTCTGCCGCAGATGGAAAAAGTCCCCCCTTCTTCATTCACAGCTCGCACAAAACTCCGCTCTGACCGAACTGCGCACCCAACGCGCGCATTTCTGCCGCATGTGCGCAAAGAAATGAACTCCTCCAAATTTCTGTTGCGCCTCCTTGCTGCCAAAGTGAAGTCGTAGAAGTCAACACCTTCTGACTTTTTTAAATGACCACAGCGGGAGTTAATTCTCTTGCAGGCGGCTCAGAGAAAGCTCCTCTCATTGGATTTAAAGAGAGGGAGAAAAAAGTCTGTGCGTCCCTGGCTCTATAGCAAACAAAAGCTAGGGAGCGTCATCGGACGCGTTTAGGGCTCCGGGGAGAGCGTAGTCAGTCAGCTGACGGCTTCATACTGAAGGAAAACAGGAATATATACTGGAAACTAAATAAGAGATTTAGATTGAATGATGCAACAACATGCACCACTTTTTATAAACTATTTAACTATTTATCCTCCTTAAGCAGCACAAGAACTATTTCTTTCTTAGCAATTATGCAAGAATACAGCTGTAACATATAGACACAATGTGTCCACTTTTATTTCTGCATATGGGTATTTTTAATAAAAGTACAAGATGAGGGAAAGCCACAAGCACACCAGCATAGAACATGCAGTCACTCCAACCTGCAGCGTAATAGGATTTGATTCCCTTATATAGGATTAAAGACAGTTGTGGAAAGTCTCTACTTTCTCCAACTTCTTTAAATAAACACAGAGTAAACACGTAGGATGAATACTAAATCCAGTCACTATCTAATAAGTAGTGTATAGTCCATGAGGCTGATATATGCAGAGAATTTTCAACAAACTTGTCCACCACCACCTGATATGTGTGTAGAGTGTAGGTGTATCACCTGACAAAGAAACCCCACACCCACACAACCATCCCCAAGCAACAGAGCATGAACACACTCATCAATTTTACAAGCATGTTGACCACATGGTTCCAAAACAAACTGCAGGGGACTGGTATAATCAAACAGAGCTGCTAAATAAGCCTCTGAGCTCCACCCACCTTCACAGTCATGAGGAAAATCAGATAGAAAAACTTTAAATTGTTAAAATACAAATTAAAAATAATGTCAGAGAAAAGAGCATCCTATTAGCTTTGAGGCAAAAAAGATGCTGAGTAAAAGATTATCTTAAATTTAAAAAGTAGAATGTTTTTATCCATCTGATTCCCCCCAAACATTTGATTTTCAATATAAAAGCAGGATTTAAAAAGCTATTTTTTTCACCATAACTGCTGAAAAACCACACCACTCAGCTGAAGTGCAAAGTATGAGTTCTATCATTAAAAAAATACAGCTAAACTGAAGAGTAGTACAGCAAAGTGAGTTTTGCTGATGCTACAATAAATAAAAGCAATCAAACAAACCAACGTAATATAAATAAATACCTTCTTCATCATCTGATAAAGAATCTTCTCTGAGAATTTCTGGCACATTGGCCCGAACTGTGGTTTGGATACAGTTAAGCATGCAAACATTAGTAATCCTACAGCTCCGTGGATGAAAATCAAGCTGAGAACATGCAAAAAGTTAAAAAAAAAAAAAAAAAAAAAAAATTAAACCATCTGATGTTATGGATTTGTTTTTGGGGAAGATTTTCTAGAATTGTGACCTACCTTCGTCGTCTGACAAGTCGAGGAACTCATTCATGGTCTCCGGGACGTTGATTTTGTGTTTTTCTGACGTACTCTGCAAAGAAAGGAAATGCACTTTGTAAAAATGAGCAATCATTTTAACTCTTTAATGTTCACACCAAGAAAAAAAGGCATGAACAATGGTCTTTATAGCATTTCCAATAATCTAGTAATAGCAATGCAACAGTGCAGCATTCGTGAACGTGATCTCTGGCTCTCACTGGAGTGGTTCGCAGCCAAGTGTGAAACAGCTGGAATGACAATTGGCTCCTCTTACTCCGAAACCATAGTCTTGAGTCGGAAAATGGTAGAATGACTATTCCAGGTCAGAGATGAGGTCCTTCCCCAAGTGGAGGAGTTTAAGTATCTCAGGGTCTTGTTCATGAGTGAGGGAAAAATGGATCGTAAAATTTACAGGCAGATTGGTGCTGTGTCTGCAGTGATACGGGCGTTGTACCGATCTGTCGTGGTTAAGAGAGAGTTGAGCCGTAAGGTGAAGCTCTCAATTTACCATTTAATCTACGTTCCAACCCTCGCCTATATTCATGAGCTTTGGGTAGTGACTGAAAGAATGAGATCGAGATACAAGGGGCCAAAATGAGTTTTCTCTGCAGGGCTGAGCTCTCCCTTAAAGATAGAGTGGGCATTTTCAACATATGTGGGGCGACGGTGGCACAGGAGTTAAGTGCTCGCCCCATAATCGGAAGGTTGCAGGTTCGAGCCCCACTCAGTCTGTCACTGTCGTTGTGTCCTTGGGCAAGACACTTAACCCACGTTGCCTGCTGGTTTTGGTCGGAGGGACTGGTGGTGCCAGTGCTCGGCAGCCTCGCCTCTGTCAGTGCGCCCCAGGGCAGCTGTGGCTACATCGTAGCTCATCCCCACCAGTGTGTGAATGTGTGTGTGAATGGGTGAATGACTGATTGTGTTGTAAAGCGCCTTGGGAGGGTTCCAGGACTCTAGAGGCGCTATATCAAATACAGGCCATTTACCATTTTTACCATATGTCTTAAGGCTGTGGTTGGCATTAAATGCACTGTGAGTTATTATCGTGTGATTGTTCAGCAAAACAGTGTTGATTTTATATTTCCTCATTAGGTTGACACAGTGATAGCTTGCTCTAGTTGTATTGTTGTGCGTCTCTTTTTTGTTAATTTTTCTCTTTCGGCACGTCTAGAAGCAGACTCGTGTTCATCATTGTTTTTTTGTGTGGAACCCCCCCTCCCCTCCCCTTCCTTTTGTCTCTTCCTTTCTCTTTCACCTCTGTCTCTGTGTCTGGTCAGAATTAAAAAGCATACAAAGAACAATAACAATAAAGTTTTAAGTATCAGGTGTGACATTAAAAGCAGAAGCTTTGATGCTCCACCTGAGAGTAAATCTGTAAGGCTTGAGACCAGCATTCAGACATCAGTTCTGCTTGCTTCACAGCCAAACAGGACACGGGAAAAAAGGAGATAGTATGGGAAGCTCAGTAATCCGGGAGGGGCTTGGAGTAGATTTGCTGCTCCTTCACTTTGAGAAGAGCCAGTTGAGGTGGCTCTGGCATCTAGTCAGGAGACCTCCTGGATGCCTCCCTGGTGAGTTTTTCCTGGCACATCCAACTGGGAGAAGACCTAACGGTAGACCCAGGACACGCTGGAAGGTCTATGTTTCTCAGCTGGCCAGGGAATGCCTTGGGATTTTCCCGGAAGAGCTGGCCCAAGTGCCTCGGGAAAGGGAAGTCTGGGCCTCTCTTCTCAGGCTGCTGCCCATCGCGACCCGACTCCGGATAAGCAGATGCAAATGGGTGGACAGATAGATTTAGTTAATAAAGTAAAACTTCACAATAACAATAATGCAAGGTGAAAAAGCTTCACTTTTTTATTAAAAATGTCAAATATTTTTCAGGTGTTTTATGTTATTTTTATTCATTCTTCAGTTTGTTGTTTTATTTTTTATTTGCTGCAGTAAGACCTAAAATGTTCTCTAGCAGAATGTCATCTACTGCTCAGGTGTCTAATTGACAGGCTTTGCCTTTAAACTATATATGTGTTGCTTACATCAACCCATGGGACCAAGCCCATTACAGTCAAGTGATCTAGATTTTAAAGGGGTTAAAACTGTATGAAGTCTAAAGACCTTGATCCTAAAGACCTCTCTGACGCTGATTCTGCTGGATTGTCAACAACCTTGATCTTCTTCCACAGCTTCCTCGTCCTGATGCCTCATTTTGTGTCCCTTCACCCATTTCTCACCTCATACTCACACACACGTGTTGATAAGATCGCTGGTAGTAACCTCGACTAAATCAGGACAAACGCTAATCTCTAATTTAAGCCGTCTCTCTGTTTCTATATCAGGAGAACATCACACGTGACGCAGCATGAGGGACTGAATCTCTAGCTGACCTGACTGAGGGATTCGTACTCCACTAAGATCTCGCTGACTGACTTGCAAGACGAGTCTCACCATGGCAGTAAGGTTTTCATCCGTCGTGGGTCTCAGAGTGTCCACAACAGATATGTACCCCAGACGGCGTGCGATGGACAGGGCAGTGTTCCCATTCTAATCCACAAAACACAAACAAGGACAGCGCAGAACCAAAACAGTCGGTATTGTGTCTTCAGTTTGAGGATTTTGCGTCAGCGTGTTTGGTCGCTCACCAGGGTGAGGTCGTTGGTCGAGGCGCCGTGTTGAAGCAGCAGGTTGATGATGTGGGTGTGGCCCTGCTGAGCTGCCTGGTGTAATGGAGTGTACCCATTCTAAACACACACAAATACACACAAGTCTATGAGGTGAACATAATTCAATTCAATTCAATTCAAATTCAAAAATACTTTATTAATCCCAGAGGGAAATTGATTAAAAGCTGCTTGAAGGCAGTTGCTGTTGCAGATCTGTGGCGCTACCTTGGTTTTGGCGTCGATTTTGGCATGGTTCTGCAGCAGAAAGTTTGCCATCTTCCCATTGCCGTAGTGACACGCTACATGCAGTGGAGTGTAACCCATCTGCAAGGGCAGTTATGGAAGAAAAGACAAACATGAAAATGCAATAGACAAAGGAGAAAAAGGAGAATTGCACATGCCCTCTGGCCTTAAGCTGTTCATTTCTGGGAATTTAGACATTATTTTCCAGAAAAGATTTTATAAGGAAACAGTTTTCTTTTAATTCCTATCTGGCATTTCTTCTCATTGAAAAAAAAAACTAAAATTTTTCAAGTTCTTGTGGAATTATGTATGCATGAGCACGTCTCAAGATCAGTTTTGTTGTTTGTCAGCACAAACACACCAAACGACCTTCAGCTGCTGCAGATTAGAACCAGGTGACCTACTATTACCAGCTGCATCTTTTATAGCTACAAAAAATACATTCACATTAATAAAGTAATGAAAAACAAAAGGCAGCTGTTGTCAGACCACAGCTAAAAATAAAGATTTATTAACTACATATTTACAAGTGAGAAGGCTTTACCTTCGTTTGTGGATTAACGTCGGCCCCGTGGTTGAGAAGAACTTCTGCAACATTGACCTTGTCTTCCTGAGCTGCTAAGTGCAGCGGCGTGAGACCGCTCTGTAAATAATAAAAACACACAAAACAGTGATCAGATACAAATTAGAGAGGACATTTCTTTAAAAATGACTAGGACTGCAGGTTTTTCATAATAAATCTCTATGTGAGTTCAGTTTGAATAGAAAAAAAAGGGAAATCCTCCACCTTATTGCACACATTGACGTTCGCATTCTTGGTGAGCAGCAGGGACACCAGGTCCACGCTGCCCTCCTGCGCTGCCAGGTGAATAGGACTGATGCCCTGCCGCGTCACTGCATTGGTGTCGGCGCCGTACTCCAGCAGTGTGGTCCCGATGTCCATTTGGTTCTTTTTGGCAGCTATGTGGAGAGGCGTGTAGCCGTTCTGAGGCAGGAAGAGGAGGTTCAGAGGTTAGATGGCATGCTGGTCTGTAGATCTGGTCAGTTAAGTTAGTGAAATTCAGTTTGCAGCGAGGATAAACTTTATACATAAACATAAAAAAATGAGTAAATGCTTTGCAGAGCAAAAGATATGCCACTTTAAAATTAAAATAGCCTTTCCCAAAATTCACTCTCTTTAAAAAACCTCAGCTGTCCGACACGGCTATGTTAAAAGAGTCAGGTAAGTACTATATTAAAAGTTCATTTTGTCTTTGCTATAAACTAAAATGACTTATAGTTACTTAATAAGACAAACTGTGTAGTTTTAAACATGTTTTTTCATATCTGCAGACAGTTGTGACTGAAAAAAGACACGAGCGGAGAAAGTTGGACAACACTCTGAGGAAGACAGACGCTTTCAGTTGAAACTGTCAGCAGGTATAAAACACATCTTTAAAACCACAATGTTTGCCTCATTAAAAGAAAATAAGTAATTTTAGCTTTTTGAGCCGACAAACAATAAGCTCCTGAAAAAGCTGACTCTGACACACCAGATGGAATTTTTGTCTTAATATATGAATAAAAGACCTGAAATAAAGAAGATCTCTTTATGTGTTTTAGCTCTAATACCAGTAGTCTGTGAGCTGACTTTGTTACTTTGAATTGACCCCTTGTTAGGAGGTTTACTGTAAAGAGATTTCAGCTCGAATGAGAAACTAAAAACATGAGGAAACTGTACAAGAGGAAAATCTCACATTATTTATAGCTACTTTGTTGCCACAGCTACTCTGATTTTGCTGCTTGCTCTAAAAATAAACAACTGAAGACTCTTTATTTCCAAAATGTCCTCCTTCTATAAGCTACTCAGTAAAGAAGAACCTGTTTTATAGGTTTAAATGATGGTTTTTGTTCGTCTCATCTGCAACAGCTTTGCTGTATGACGGGACTCTGTGAAAAATCCAAGCTTTCATCTGTGTAAAGTCCTTTTGGACAACACACACACACACACACACACACACACACACACACACACACACACACACACACACACACACACACACACACACACACACACACACACACACACACACACACACACACACACACTCACTCACTCACTCACATACTCACTCTCTCTCTCTCTTTCTCTCTCACTCCCTCTCTCTCTCTCTCTCTCTCTCTCTCTCTCTCTCTCTCTCACTCCCTCTCTCTCTCACTCCCTCTCTCTCTCTCTTTCTATCTGTCTCTCTCTCCCTTTTTTTAAAATCAAGCCAAATGAATAAACAAAAAAGGTAAGAAGGCAGGCGGTGACGGGCAGGGATGGGGGGCAGATAAGCTAAAAGAAAGGAAGACAGTAGGAACAGATAAATTAGCTCCTAAGTTTAAAACTGTTTACACGCTTACTTGAGGCACTTTAGCCCAGAAAGAGGGGAAAATAGGAAGAAAAATCAGCTTTCTTTTTTATTTGCCAGGGTTTTGAAAGATCAGTGCAGGAGAAAAGCTTCTACTTGAATTTAATCACCATTCCTTGTTCTGCTGGCTGCACAAAATTACGGTTTCACAACAGCAAAGTTGATTTACAACACAGACTGACTCTGGTGAAGATTTATCTTAGCTTGATGGAGCTTGGAGATAAAAACGTTGGCTGGTTTGAAAATTTGAAAGACGTGGCTGAGCTCAACAGAAACTCAGAATAAGAGGAGAGGGAATGGGTGAACATCAGAGCCACACACACGTAAACACTACACACACAGAGAGAACATCGAGAATGATCTGAGATGACACGGAAGGCTAGATGACGTCATTTGACTTTAGCGTTTCTGTGCGTTTGTGCGAGTACCTTGGCGGCAGCGTGAGGGGAAGCTCCCTGATCCAGCAGCAGCAGCGCCACTCTCTGATTATCGTAGTGGGCGGCTACATGCAGTGGAGTTAGCCCACTCTAAAACACACACACACACACACACACACACACACACACACACACACACACACACACACACACACACACACACACACATGCAGGAACATATCCACACAACCAAGGCATGCAACAACAGGTTAGAAACCACGTCAGACGCAGAGTCACTGACACTGAGAGAGGTCAAATAAAAGAGGATGAATGTTAAAAGAGGAGGGATGGGAGTCAAACTGATGAAAATAATTATTTCAAGCAGTGACTTTGTGCAAAATCTTTAAAGGGGATGGAGCTGCTAATAGGGATTATTTCCTTGTTGGCAAATAGAAGTTAACTCTAATTTATTAACTTTGTCTTTTGCAATCAATTATTCACAAAATATTCCATAAACAACAAGAAATAAAATATTGCAGCATGAAAAGCTGCTGTAATCAAGAATGCACATTGCACACTGCTATTTAAGACAAATGAGCTAAAACAGAAGTTCCATTATCACACCGGACTGCCATTATGTTGAATGCTCGCAGGTGGCGCTGCAGAAGGTTTATGCTAAGATTACTGTGTCAGTATGTGTGCATGCATATGTTTAAGGGATGAGGAAGATTTTTGCAAAAGCTGCAGCACAAACTCGACCAAGCATGTGTCCACCTGGGGCTGGAAAAATACAAAAAAGGGCTCTCTGTTCTCTAAAATGCAAAGGATTGTTAGAGAAAAAAGAAAAATGATGACTGAATGGTTTTCTCATTTCTTTCCTTGTTCTGTTTACTTTTTTAAACGTATCTGAAACTTTAATAAACTATGGACTAATTGTGGCATATAATGACTTATTTGTTTTTTGTAAGATTATATTTAAATCTTTCTGACAGTAATTACGAAATTTTGAAAGCAATGGCCTCGCTCCTGGTTTTTGTTGCAAATTTTTTAACTCAACATTTATTCCTGTTATTAGAATGAAAGTTGTGTCCCTTTCCTATTCCAGATGGCTCACCTACGACCATTACTAAATGACTGCAAATAATCTATCTTCCCAGATTGTCCTTAAAATAAACCAACTCACTTTTCCAGCAGCGTCGGGCGGAGCTTTCTTCTGCAGGAGCAAACTGGCTACCTCCAACTTGCCATACTTTGCAGCCACGTGCAGTGGAGTGAAGCCTTTCTGCTGAACACGTAAGTAAAAACACATCAATAAAATAAAATGATAATGAAAAGAAATGGAGAATACAGAGAGAAATGTACAGAAAGGACTTTGATTATTGAAATTTAAGGTAATCAAATGTTTAAAAGTTGAAATAATGCTAAAAGTTTAGTGTTTTTATATAAAAGTATCTTTTTTCCTATTATGAAGACCAAAAAAAAGGATCTTCCATGACTAAATGATAAGTGTGCATGAGAAATCTAGCTGTAACAGTAAAGAATGAAGTCACATCTTGGCCTCCTTCTATTTGAAGATATTTAAAGACATTTGCTCATATTTCCCAGAGGAAGGAAGGACTCCCACAGATTCCTATTTGCTTTGAAACACGCGACCTCATTTGTGTGATTGCTTACAGTCAGCGTTCACATGACCTCTACGGGTGAAGGACAGTCAGTTTAAAATCCTTTTTTATTGTGTCTCCTCCAAGGATTGGTTGGTTTCATAAAAATCCCAAATTATTTATGAATCTTATTCTTCCGCTCCCCTTTCCTCATGCTGCTGTGACATAATTATTTTTGCACGTCAGACTCGGGCAATGTCCCAAAAGATTTAGCGTGTAAATGAGTTGGAGAGCACTGTGGGGTTTACCCTTCATTAATCTGCTCCACTGACAGAGGTGACCTTTAAAAACAGCCCCTAGCTTTATATCACGCACGTGCATAGTCCACTTCAGTTAATTATCCCCTACTTTTTTTAAATTTGGGGCTCTGATCTGTGCAAATATTCCGATGTGCAACATTCTTATGCAGGTGCAATAGTGAATGGCGATAAAAAATGCATCAAAATAGAATAAAACAACATTTTCCAGGTTTTATTTGTTCTATTAGACAGAAACCTTTCAGAAACACAAATACAAGGCTTCTCAAGGAGAGGCATGGTGCTGAAGCATGAGATTCTCTATGACACTTACCTTGGTGGAGGATGAAAGTGAGGCTCCGTTCTCCAGCAGCATGGAAGCAACATCTTGATGTCCTTCTCTGGCAGCCAGATGCAAGGGGGTGTAGCCTGAGGTGGTGGCAGCATTGGCAGAGGAACCACACAGCAGCAGCTGCTGGACGATGTCAACTTTTCCCAGCCGACTAGAGATGTGCAAAGCTGTTTGGTCATCCTGCAGACGAGGAGGAGTTGACTTTTGTAATATTTAGTTTTTAGTGGTTGACGTGTTTAATCAATATATTTGCAGTGGTCTCTAGTAGGAATGAATGCCTTGCAGGTCATTCTCTGGGGGAAATTTACTGGTGCATCATTTCTTGGATCTAAAAGTTGCCCACATCATAGCTGAGCTTCAGACAACAGCAACGCGACTCTACTACCGAGTTGCAATGTGGATGTTTATCTCCACAAATAACATAAGCCTGGAGGAGCTTCTGCCAAGTGGTGAAGTTGCTAATGCTAAAGGTTAAACTAGTCGAGGCATTCTCTGCCAATTAAAATTAAAGTCCCATTAGTCATCATCACACACTGGTGATTTGGCGTTTGACACATCTCCGTGGGGAGTGGTGAGCTGCAGCAGTGGCTGCGTTCGGGAACTCGGGAACAGAAGCTAATGCAGGAGGTAGGTGTAGGAGACTATTTTCATGGTCAGCCTGCATGAAAAACTCAGAGTGACTGATTATAACCAGAAACAACACAAAAACAAAGGTTTTTACGTCACCCACACCTTTAAAGGAGCATGAAGTAAGTATGACATCATGTGGTTAAATTTGGGTACTGCAGTCCATGTATCAAAACAAACAAGTCTGGTCTGAGAAATTGTTGCCAGTTACAGATCAGCGCCAGAAGGTTTTAGATGATGAGTAACACAACCACTAAGATGATAAGTAGATAAATACATTTCACTGTAATATCAAGTTTTTGGCAAGTGAAAAAGTAGTTTGAGATATTTTTAGAGCCTGTGCTGAAATACAAATTCTGTTGCAGCAGCATTTGCCAGCACAGAATTGGAAACCCTTTGGGCTCAAATATGAATGGCTCTGAAACTAGGAAGTATGGAGATGAGACTAATTGGAAACAAAGGCTCTTCGGCCTTTTTAAAAAGAGACAAAATGACAACCCCCCAGCTGGCTCAAAAGGAAATCTGTTTTAATATAACCTTCCTTCCAACATGATTGAGACATTAGATCTTTAAGCTCACCTTGGACTTGGTGTCCACCTTGGCACCATTCTTCAGCAGGTATCGAACAACATCTGCCTGGCCTGCCCTGGCTGCCATGTGGAGAGCTGTCTCTCCTCGCTAAAGGACACAAAGACACGCCCATCAAATGTTCAAAAAGTTTAGACATCAATGAAAACTTTTTTCAATAAAACATGGACTTGTAAGATGTTAGAAAGCAATAAACACAATCCACTCACAACATTGGTGGTATTGGGTGATGCTCCATGTCGTGTGAGTACGTGAACAATGTTCTCATGGCCCATGAAAGCCGCCACATGGATAGGCGTCAGGCCAGACTGCACAGAATTAAACTCTGAACTGACTCCAAAACAAAGACTAGGCCCTGTTGGAGCCTGTAAGATTGTTTAAATGTGGTTTAGGTTGGTGTTGCAGTACCTCAGTGACAGCCTGGATAGACGCTCCATGTTTCAGCAGAAGCTCCATCACTTTTACTCTGTTCTTCTTGCAAGCAATGTGAAGTGGAGTGAAACCGTTCTGCACACAGACAGAAGAGAGAAAGATACTGTAAAGCATCGCTGACATCCAGTTAGAGAGGATCGCCACGGTCACAAAACATTAATGTGAGAAGAGAAACAAATTAGCAATAGATTTATGTTATGTGTGCAGAAAAGGTCTGCTGCAAAATGAAAAAAGTAAAATTTCAAAAAAATAAACATTTGCCTCCATCAATATTTTACATTAATAAAAAATGTTTTGATTACTTTAATGATTCTCTTGTTCTTTTACTTCTCAAATTTTCTCTCATACTTCGTTTTGTTGCTCTCAAGGGAAAACTCATAATTTCACCTTATCAGAGATTAATAAGCCTAAATTTCATTTCTGTGTGAACTTAAAATTGTACATATAAAAAATATTTTATTTAATGAAGCAAAATTGAGTTGTAATTTAAAAATAATTTGGGGTGAAGATGTAGTTCCACTTGAAATATTTTAGACTAGAAGAGAATAGTATGGGCTGCCACCTTACCATGGTGGAGGGGTTTGAGTGTCTCAATGACCCTAGGAGCTAAGATGTCTGAGGCTTTCTGCCTCTGGTAGGGTCACCCATGGAAAACAGGCCCTAGCTGAGGGATCAGATAGAGCAGGCTGAAGACCTCTTATCATGAATTATACATGGAAACCATGTTTCCTGGCCCGGACGTGGGTCACCGGGGCCCCCCTCTGGAGCCAGGCCTGGAGGTGGGGCACGTTGGCGAGCGCCTGGTTGCCGGGCTTTCACCCATGGAGCCCGGCCGGGCACAGTCCGAAGAGGAAACGTGGGTCCCCCTTCCCATGGACTCACCACTCGTGGGAGGGGCCAAAGGGGTCGGGTGCAGTGTGTGACGGGTGGTAGTCGAGGGCGGGGACCTTGGCGGTCTGATCCTCGGCTACAGAAGCTGGCTCTTGGCACATGGAATGTCACCTCTCTGGTGGGAAAGGAGCCTGAGTTGGTGTGTGAGGTTGAGAGGTTCCGACTAGATATAGTCAGGCTCACCTCAACGCATGGCTCTGGCTCTAGAACCAGTTTCCTTGAGAGGGGTTGGGCTTTCTACCACTCTGGAGTTGCGTCCACTGAGAGGCGCCGAGCAGGAGTGGGCATACTAGTTGCCCCCCATCTTGGTGCCTGTACGTTGGGGTTTACCCCAGTGAAGGAGAGGGTAGCCTCCCTCTGCCTACGTGTGGGGGACGGGTTCTGACTGTGGTCTGTGCTTCTGCACCAAACTACAGTTCAGACTACCCACCCTTTTTGGAGAACTTGGAGGGGGTGCTGGAAAGCGCTCGTTCTGGTGACTCCCTCGTTCTGCTGGGGGACTTTAACGCTCACGCGGGCAACAACTGTGAGACCTGGAGAGGTGTGGTTGGGAGGAATGGTGTTTTGTTATTGGACTTCTGTGCCAGTCATGGATTGTCCATAATGAACACCATGCTCAGACATAAAGGTGTCCATAATGACTCTTGGCACCAGGATACCTTAGGCCGCAGCTCGATGATCGACTTTGTTTTTGTTTCATCTGACCTGCAGCCACATGTCTTGGACACCCAGGAGAAGGGGGGGGGGGGGGGGGGGGTGTGTCAATATTTTACCCTCCATTAGTAATAAGGTTTTAGATAAATTTGAATGTGTGTCTATACCAGAGGAAACACTGAACAGTTTTGTCCTGGTAGAAGCTGAGACTCTTGATAAAGTTTTCTCCTCAGTGAGACCCACCACATGTGTTCTGGACCCAATTCCAACTTCGTTCTTTAAACAATTTTATGGATCTTTTAGTGATGAGATTTTAACCCTGATGAATTGCTCCCTTCAGACGGGGGCCTTTCCTGCTGCCTTTAAAAGGGCGGTGGTGAGGCCCCTGTTGAAGAAGAGCAATTTAGATTTTAATGAATTAAACAATTATCGACCGGTATCCAACTTACCATTTTTAAGCAAGATTTTAGAAAAGTTGGTTTTAAATCAACTAAATGATTTTATAAACACTAATAATGTCCTAGAGAAATTTCAGTCTGGTTTTAGGGTGAACCACAGCACCGAGACAGCCCTTCTGAAGATTTTAAATGATTTTAGAGTAAATTATGATAAACAGAAGTTGACAGTGTTGGTTCTACTGGATCTAAGTGCTGCCTTCGATACGGTAGACCACACTATTCTTTTAACTCGTTTACAACAGATTGGCCTCTCTGGTGCTGTACATAGATGGTTCACATCCTACCTCACAGACAGGACTTTCATGGTGAGTTTGGATACCTGTTCCTCTAGGGTCCATGGGATTACATGTGGTGTGCCTCAGGGTTCAATTTTAGGCCCAGTGCTTTTTAATCTTTATATGCTCCCTCTTGGCAGTGTCATCAGGAGACACGGGGTCAACTTTCACAGTTATGCTGATGATACACAGTTGTACATCTCCGTGTCTCCGGATGACTCTCGATCAATGGATGCACTTTTTAACTGTATTTTAGACATCGAATCCTGGATGGCAGAGAACTTTCTCCAGCTCAACCAGGACAAAACTGAAGTTTTAGTCATTGGTCCTGAGGCCCAGAGAGAGAAGCTTTTACCGAAATTACAATCTCTGTCTTTTAATCCATCTGAACAAGTGAAGAACCTGGGTGTGATTTTTGACTCTGAGCTGACTTTTATCCCACACATTAAAAATATCACAAAAATAGGTTTTTATCATCTAAAGAACATCGCCAGAGTCCGCCCCATTCTCTCTCGGGCCAATACGGAGACGTTGATGCATGCTTTTATCACCAGTAGGATAGACTACTGCAATGCCCTGCTTTCTGGTCTTCCCAAAAAGAGCATCTCAGGCTTACAAATTTTACAAAATTCGGCAGCACGTGTCCTGATGAAGACCAGGAGGCGGGAGCACATGACACCAGTTTTAGAATCATTGCATTGGCTCCCCGTATGTTTCAGGATCAATTTTAAGGTTCTTCTAATGGTTTTTAAGTGTCTTAACGGTCTTGGGCCTTCTTATCTATCAGAACTGCTTTTACAATATGAACCCTCACGGACTCTGCGCTCCTCTGGCAGGCGTCTCCTGGTCATCCCTAAAGTCAGGACACAAACTCACGGCGAGGTGTCCTTCCAGTGTTATGGCCCTCGCCTCTGGAACGAGCTGCCAGAGGACCTCAGGGCCGCAGAGAACGTTCATGTTTTTAAGTCAAGACTCAAGATCCATCTTTTTAGGTTAGCTTTTATCTAAATATTTACTACAGTTTTATTTCTCGTTTTACATGATTATATTTTATTACTTGCTTTGCATGTTCTATATGATTATATTTTAGCACAGTTTTATTATTTAAATTATTATTTTACTGTCTATGATTTTATTTATTACTTATTTTTTAATTGTTGTCATTTATATTAGCTCTTTTATTATATTTTTACTCATTTTAATCCAGTGTTTCCTCTGTAGGGGCCCTCTGCCCCGGGAGCGGTGGTCGACTGTAGCTTCCTGGGTGCTCTATAGGTGGGGGTCTATGCTCCCCCTCCACTGAGCGCCCTGACTTAGTGTGGAAGACCTGATGCTGCCGGGACAGACGGCTCCTCTGATGGCGTTTCCTTGCGTTACCATACTTGGCTCATCTGGACTCAGCCTAATATAATTTTTACTCGTGTGTGTGTGTGTGAGTCTGTGTGTGTGTGCGTGTGATTGCATATGTTTGTTAATGTTTTTAACCTGTTATGGGAATCTGGGGTCATTTTGTAAAGCACTTTGAATAACACTTTGTTTGAAAAGCACTTTAGAAATAAAATTTGATTGATTGATTGATTGATGTCTTCCAGGGAGGAAGCAGAGTCTGGGGACTTTGGGTTGGCCTCAAATCTCTGGTGCTGAGGTCACTGAGGTGGTTAAAAAGCTCCTCTGTGGCAAGGCTCCAGGGGTGGATGAGATCCGCCCGGAGTTTCTTAAGGCTCTGGATGTTGTGGGGCTGTGTTGGCTGACGCAAGTCTGCAATATCACGTGGACATCAGGGGCAGTCACACTGGACTGGCAGACCGGGGTGGTGGTCCCCTTATTTAAAAGGGGGACAGCAGGGGGATCACACTCCTGAGCCTTCCTGGTAAGGTCTATTCAGGGGTTCTGGAGAGGAGGGTCCATCGGATTGTTGGACCTCAGATTCAGGAGGAGCAATGTGGTTTTCGTCCTGGCTGTGGAACACTGGACCAGCTCTATACCCTTAGGGGGATCCTGGAGGGTGTGTGGGAATTTGCCCCACCAGTCTACCTGTGTTTTGTGGATTTGGAGAAGGTGTTTGACCGCGTCCCTCGGGGGGCCCTGTGGGGGGTACTCCGGGAGTGTGGGGTACCAGGCCCTCTGATACGGGCTGTTAGGTCCCTGTATGACCGGTGTCAGAGCTTGGTCCGCATTGCCGGCAGTAAGTCGGGCTCGTTCCCAGTGAGAGTTGGACTCCGCCAAGGCTGCCCTTTGTCACCGATTCTGTTCATAACATTTATGGACAGGATTTCTGGGTGCAGCCAAGGTGTGGAGGGCATCCGTTTTGGTGGCCTGAGAATCAGGTCTCTGCTTTTTGCAGATGATGTGGTCCTGTTGGCTTCATCAGAACGTGATCTTCAGCTTTCTCTGGAGCGGTTCGCAGCCGAGTGTGAAGCAGCTGGGATGAGAATCAGCTCCTCTAAATCTGAGACCATGGTCTTGATTCGGAAAAGGGTAGAATGCCTTCTCTGGGTCAGGGACGAGGTCCTGACCCAAGTGGAGGAGTTTAAGTATCTCGGGGTCTTGTTCATGAGTGAGGGAAAACTGGAGCGTGAGATCGATAGGTGGATTGGTGCTGCATCTGCAGTGATGCAAGCGTTGTACCGGTCTGTCGTGGTGAAGAGAGAGCTGAGTCAGAAGCCGAAGCTCTCGATTTACCGGTTGATCTACGTTCCTACCCTCACCTATGGTCCTGAGCTTTGGGTAGTGACCGAAAGAACAAGATCGCGGATACAAGCGGCCAAAATGAGTTTTCTCCAAAGAGTGGCTGGGTTCTCCCTTAGAGATAGGGTGAGAAGCTCAGTCATTCAGGAGGGGCTCGGAGTAGAGCCGCTGCTCCTCCACATTGAGAGCAGCCAGTTGAGGTGGCTCGGGCATCTGGTCAGGATGCCTCCTGGACGCCTCCCTGGTGAGGTTTTCCGGGCACGTCCAACCAGGAGGAGGCCTAAAGGTAGACCCAGGACACAGTGGAGCGACTATGTCTCTCATCTGGCCAGGGAACGCCTTGGGATTCCCCCGAGGAGCTGGCCCAAGTGGCTGGGGAGAGGGAAGTCTGGGCCTCTCGCCTTAGGCTACTGCCCCCGCGACCTGACTCCGGATAAGCGGATGAAAATGGATGGATAGAAGAGAATTGAATAAACCTTCATTTATAGGAAGCAATGTCATTTTTCAAAGAAATGTGAATCTAAAAAGCGTATTTTGTGTAATTAAGCACAAGCAAATTCTGTCTAATATAAAACAGAGTTTCGATATCAAAATTTCTGACATGTAAGCACATATTTTGCACCCTTGAAAAACGTTTAGACTTTTGGATTCACAAAACAACCTTCCAAAACCCCCTAACTTTAAGTCTTTCCGCAGAAATAATGCTCCACAAACAAAATGTTTTCAATATTCAATCAGATTAGTTTATATGACAAATTAAAGATAAATTAGAGTGCTGACAATAAGATCTTCACATTATTTTCTCCATCAGAGATGACTGAGATGGTTACCAGAGCCTTTGCATTTGGGTTGGCTTTCTTGTCCACGATGAGCTTGGCCACCTTGTAGTGACCGCAGTGTGCAGCAACATGCAACGCCGTCAGATAATCGTTGGTGACGTCATCCACTGGCACGTCGTGCTGAAGCAGGAGCTGGACGCAATTCAAGTGGTCCCCCTGAGTGGCCATGTGCAGCGGAGACAGGCCGTTCTACAACGGAGGTGGAAGGAAGGATAATAAAGAGAGAAAGAGAGGGAGAGGCAGAGAGAAAGAGAAAGAGAGAGACAAACACACACACACACACACGGACACATAGACAGGTGGACAGATAGACACAGAAAGTTAGGATGTGGTCAAGCGCTGCACAGACAAACTGTAAAGGAAGTTGCGGGGAAGGTTACAGAAGCATTGTTATAACGAGGTCATTACAACAATGTCTATGTTGTTACACTGGTTGTCCTGCGTGGTCAAACTGTAGGGCTACGCAGCGAAGACGGGCTTTTCTGGAGAAGTCGCACAGATGTTATGAAGACAATGCGCCAACACTACAGCAACAACAGATCTGCTCTCTGATTGGATAACAGGTTTAAAATCTCTCTGAGTGATTAGAATGCCCTATTTAAAAAGTATAGATAAAAATATATAAAAGGGACTTTTAACAAAGTGTTGAACCTGAATCAGATTTTTAGTAACCTCCATAAATATGTGATGAGCTCATGAATTCCCCCAGAATGTTGCATCTTGGTAGCTACCTTGGTCTTGGACAAGATGGGAGCTCCTCGGTCCAGCAGGATGTCTACCACCTGTTCGTGTCCGCTTCTCGCTCCACAGTGAAGAGGCGTCAGACCATCCTGAAAAGAAAATAATCATTCCCACATTTTCAAGTTATTAGTAACAAATACATTTCATTTCCGTTTCTCAAACAATATCGCATAAAAATTTCGATCAAGCATGTGTGTCCCAAATGAATGCATAGTTTTCACATGCAAAATTCTTATTTGAAACAATTAAAAAGCTATTTCAGGTTGCTGGTGTGCAGTTATGGGACAAGCATCTTGTCCATGCTCTCACCTTGGTTTTTGCATCAATCTTGGATCCTCTGTCCAGCAGCAACTTGACCATGTTGCTGTTGCCCCTTTTTGCTGCCACATGAAGCGGCGTGATGTCATTCTGAAACATAACCAAACAAAGGACATTGGTACTTTGAATTAACAGGTTTGTCGTTACCTAAAAAGGCTCACAGTCATGTGTGCTTCTTTCAAAAGACCGTAAAACAACAATAATTAAAGGTAGTGGTCTGTGATTAGACTGTTTGTGTTTAAGTGACTGTATACTCTTTGTTTTAAAATCTATTTAAAAAAACATCTGTGAAGCTTCTTCTGTGCTTAATTCCAGCAATCAGAGCTGCTCTGGTCTGTAATCTGTGTCAAAAAGCAGCACTAATACCAACGCTGTTTCTCTGTAATTAGAGGCCACTTTTAATTTGGGTTAGGCTACATCTAGTGTGTTAACACATCTTAATTGGACTCACTCAGATCACAATGCTGCTGTGGTAAATAACCAGCTGTGTATGCAATTAAATTAAATGGTGATGCATTAATCAGGCTGGATGCACAAACAGTGATTCTGACAGAAAACCACTAAAACAGTGGTGTGAGACATTTTTGCTGAGTTACTTGCATTGTCATTAAGATCAGTGCTGCAGAGAACACCTTTGTTTCCTTACAGATTTCTTCTGTTTTCTATTTTGTGACACTTGAACGTTTTAGATCAGGAAACGTATTAGACAAATGTAAACCAATTAAATAACCAGTGCAGTTTTAAAATCTAATTTCATTGAGGGTCAACTTCACTCATATGTTTTACAGATTTTCAGTTGTCTCACGTAGGAAGTTGCTTTCTGAGGGAAAAAGCTCCTATGTTGCTCCCTTGTTAAAACATGAAGTCATTGTGATTAACTACTTTACCTGCAACATGATGTTGGTAAAATGATCTCAAAAACCAGCATGACATGCCCATTCATAAAAATAAAAAAATCAAGATAAGAACATCTAAAGCTCTGCAAACCTCACTTGGTTATGGTCAGAGTTCAAGATTCGACTTTAAAACTGAGTCGGGCATAACATGGCACCCCGGGAGAGCGCCAAAGCTAAAACAGCTGAAAAATCTGTTAATCTGTTAAAAACCATGTTGATGATCCTCAACACCCTTGGTAGAGTATTCTGTGGACTGATGAGACAAAAAAAAAGCTTTTTAGAAAGCGTGTGTTCCATCACATTTAGTGTGAAACTGTTTCAGACAAAGAATGTCAGATCACTCAAACATGGTGGTGGTGGCGTGATGGTCTGGGTCTGCTTTGTTGCTTTATGTTCAGAACCACTTGCTGTAATTGATGGAAGCAGGAATTTTGCTCTTTGGCAGTATAGCATCTGATTTTGACCATAAACAATTCATTCAGGCTGGAATATTCTATGATGTGATTCAATTACCAAAAATGACCAAAGACCAAAGGTGACAGATCATTTGCTGCTGTGGCCCCCAGTCTATGGAACTCTCTCCCCCTGAGCCTGAGATCAGTGGACTCTGTGGTCTCCTTTAAAAAGCAGCTGAAAACTCACCTGTTCAGGCTGGTTTTGGTGTGACCTTCATCACCCTCTCCTTGTTCTGCTCTTTCTACCTATTCCGCCTTTCCCGGGATCCACTGATTACCTCTTTATTATTCATTTTCTCTTTCCCTTTCTCCACATTTTTATCATTCTTTTAAAAACTTTTTCTAAGTTTCATGATATTTAAAAAAATTTTTTTAATCTTATATTTTTTTTATTTTAGCACCTTGTGATTTTTATCTTGAGAGGCGCTACAAAAAAGATTGTTTCTTCTTCTTCATCGTCAAATTAAACCTGAAGAGGGACATATTTTATCCAGAGATAAATGTTCAGTGGTTTAGGGGTCATGAAGATTTAGCTTTTACCCTAGGGTTAGGGTATGTATTACTCACAGAAATTAGGACTAACAAAATACTAACAGTTATAATTGAAAATCAGTTTGTAACAGAGAATTCCTTTAAAATTTCTCTGACAAAAACCTCAAAGAATTTTCCTAACCTGGATTTTCAGTGAAAACAGAAGATATTAGTGGAGAATGATGAGTGCATGAACTTCAAATGCAAATAAAGGTAAAATCATAAAACTTATCACTTTAATTTAAGAAAAGAGAGATTCGACTAAAATATTAAATATAAAAATCTAATTTGACTTTACTTTAAATATCCTTCTGTTTACCTTGCTAACTTATTTATATATCTTTTCAACTTTGGGTTCATATATTTGTACATCCATCTTCAGAGGAGACTGTAATTCACTAGTCATGAACCTCACCACACCGTACCGACATGTTTGCGGATCTAAAACACTTAAACCAATAAAAGCAGGAATCAGAAGTAGAATTGGACCGAATTTGGTTTTTCTGTTGCCGTTACCGATGCCAATATGTTGGGGCCTGGTGACTATTATAAACTACCGATTTTTATGTGCTGATTTTTATGGCCAATATCTAGACATTTTCCACCTTATTTTCATGCTACAGTGTCACTAATAACAACGGTTGATGCACAAAATGTCTGAAGCTGTATCAGTTTTTTTAATTTAACTGTTAAATCTTAACTTTGTGCACCGCTCAGTGTTGAAGTCAAACACCAAAATAAAGTTAATTTAGAGTATTTATTACGCAGATGTTATAAGTGAACGTAAAAATACATTTAAATTAAATGGCACCATGGTTGCCCGACGATGTGCTTGACTTTAAATCGGCTTTACTAAGAACATTTATCGGCCGATGCCAATGTGTAAAAAAATGGTAAATATCGGCCCAGAATATCAGCCAACCAATATACCGATCTACCCCAGTCATGAGTGCCATATTTCAGTTTTATTCTTATTATTACATCTTCTCAGCCAGTTAACATCATTGTTTCAGCATGTAAAAAGGTGACTGTAGTACTTCTAACAGACAGCAGAAGGCAGAATAAACTCACCCGAGCCATGAAGTCCACAGCCGCCCCTCTGTTCAACAACAGCGTGGCCACGTTAATGTTGCCATAATGAGCTGCGATGTGGAGGGGCGTAAAACCGCTCTGAAGGTTAAAGAAATCCAACAAAACACACACGGAGTCAGTCAAAAACACCATTTATGCCAAAATAAACAAAATACATCAAGTCACTACCTCAAGCTTTATAGATGTCTACATGTTTATGGTTGACAAACTATCACACTCCATCAAACAAGGACACATTCTATCCCCTTATTTATTAGACATGGTCTTTAGTGAAGCTTTAGACAAAGGGACAACTACTTGTTTCTCTTTATTATCCTAAAAAGGGACATCTAGTGACATGACGACTGTTACACTTCAAGCAGGAATGAACCATACAGGCTCTCTGGCAGGAAGATGGCATACAGTTATACAGTTATGTTTTTATTGTTTTACACCTTCAAAAGCTTCCTAATGCATTCAGAAATTCTATTACAGAAAATCTGTTTTGAAGCCTTTAAATCCTAGGAATTAGATATTTTAAAACTAAAGATTGGGTGTGAAGTAGGCGTCTTACCCACGTGAGCCCACAATGCTGATATCAAAAGTCCAAAACCATGCTTTAGATGAGTAAGTTTAATAAAATCTGCCTCTGAGGATGAAACTTTATGCTCAAAGTGATCCACCCTCTTCTACATCCTCAATTACAATTATCTGAATGCAAATTTGTTCACGGCAATGCACAAGCTTCAGATCAAAAAAGCCAGGTTTGGGTGAATCATACCAGAAGACCGTTAAACTCGCCGATGCCAAAAACAGAGACAACCAAAACAGGCACACACAGAAGGTGGCCACCTGGCTTTTGGTGTGACATACTAGCCCTTGTTACCACAGCAGGTGGTCCTTGGTTAGCTTGCTGCTTTGGTCCCATGCAAAATGCGTCAGGTGCAAGGGTTAATCCTAAAAGCGACACAAATCTAGAAATGCTTGTTGCCAGAAAGCAGGATGTTCTGCAGCTTGAAGGGGAGTATTGCCATGCAGGTTATAGACAAACGGTTACTTTTCAGTGAATGATAACCATTCTTCATGCGACTGGTGGTTATCATGTTTGGTGTGTTCTTGCTGTGTTGAGTTTCAAATTCCATCTTTCAGTTCTTTTTAAAACACAGAAAAGGTTTATTTACCTGCAACGCCATTTGTGGCTGCAAACAGCCTGATGATGTTTGCAGCCGCAAACGAAACGTTGCAGGTAAATAAACATTTTCTGTGTTTTAAAAATAATTGAAAGATGGAATGCTGGTTATCATGTAGATCAGTTTCATGGACAGACTCTGTCTGCACGCATTGCAGCAATATTTTGACAAAATAATTTGCCAAAAAAAAAAAACGGAACTTTGGACAGATTTGGGAGCCATGAAACCATTTGAATCAAGGAAACCCTTGATACCGAAGCCCCCATCTTTTGCTTAGTTTCAGTGGAAGCATGCGCAATGTCTCTGTTTTCTCCACAAGTATTATTAATTGTTCACTATGAAGCAATGAAGAGGAAGAAGACAAGACTGAGCTAAAATGGAAAAGGGAGGAGTAATAAAGGGCTGCAGAAACACTACTGCATCAAATCAGGGGCTCTGGAGTGAGTGTTGTTGTTTTCAGAGTTTTGATGAACTGCGATGAGGAGACTACATAATGTACAGATATGAGTGTACCTCTGTTGTTCTATTCACCATCATCTACAGAGTCAGCCAAAAGAGGAGAGAACGGGAAGTTAGTGAGAAAAAAGGAGCAGAGAGAGGCCTTCGGTGGTGGGAGATGAGGAGGAGCAGAGAGGAGCTCAGATTTTAATCAGAAATTTTTGTTTAAGATTTGAAAAATACACTCACTGGCCAGTTTACTGGGTACACTTTGCTAGTACCGGGTTGGACCCACTTTTGCCTTCAGAACTGCCTTAATCCTTCATGGCATAGATTCAAAAAGGTACAGGAAACATTCCTCAGACATTTAGGTCCATATTGACATGATAGCAGCGTGCAGTTGCTGCGGATTTGCCGGCTGCACATCCATGATTTGAAACTCCCGTTCCACCACATCCCAACGGTGCTCTGTTGGATGGAGATATGGTGACTGTGAAGACAATCTGAATACAATGAAGTCATTCACATGTTCAAGAAACCAGTCTGAGATGATTTGAGCTTTATGACTTGGGGCATTATCCTGCTGGAAGTAGCCATCAGTAGATGGGTACACTAGTCATAAAAGGATGGACATGGTCAGCAACAATACTCAGGTAGGCTGTGGCATTGCAATGATGAACAATTTGTACTAAAGGGCCCAAAGTGTGCCAAGAAAATGTCCCCCACACCATTACACCACCACCACCTGCCTGAACCGTTGGTACAAGGCAGGATGGATCCATGCTTTCATGTTGTTAGCGCCAAATTCTGACCCTAACAATCTGAATGTCGCAACACAAATCAAGACTCATCAGACCTGGCAACATTGTTCCAATCTTCTATTGTCTAATTTTGGTGAGCCTGTGTGATTTGTTGCCTCAGTTTATTCTTATGAGCTGACAGGAGTGGCACCCGGTGTGGTCTTCTGCTGCTAGAGCCCATCTGCCTCAGGATTCCACGTGTTGTACATTCAGAGATGCTCCTCTGCATAACTTGGTTTGTAACAAGTCTATCAGCTCAAACCAGTCTGGCCTTTCTCCTCTGACCTTCGGCATCAACAAGGCATTTTCGCCAATAGAACTGCCGCTCACTGGATGTTTTCCATTTTTCGGACCATTCTCTGTAAACCATAGAGATGGTTGTGCGAGACGGTCCCAGAAGATCAGCAGTTTCTGAAATACTTAGACCAGCCTGTCTGGCACCAACAACCATGCCACGTTTCTACCCCATTCTGAAGCTCGGTTTGAACTGCAGTGGATCGTCTTGACCACGTCTACATGCCTAAATGCATTGACTTGCCACCATGTGATTGGCTGATTAGTAATTTGCGTTCACGAGCAGTTGGACAGGTGTACCCAACAAATTGGCCAGTGAGTGTATTTGCACATGTGATTTATCTTGGTTTAGTCTTCCGTCTAAAAAAATTACAAATAAAACTAAAAATGCATTGGTGCTTCCTCTTTTCTGCAAGATAAAAAAGCACCAGAAAAAAATTAAAATGAAAGAAGTAGAGAAATAAAGCGAATACATCAAAAGTCATCTGTTTTTAAATAAATCAGCAAGAGATTTTTTTTAAGTAACTAAATGAAGGCCCACCACTATCAGAGCTCACCTTGGACTCAACGTCAGCGTTGTGGTCGTTCTGCAGGAGCAGGGCCGCGGCCTTGGTGTCGTCCTTGCGTGCAGCGATGTGCAGGGCAGGCAGACGCACCTTGCCCTTTGTATCGTTCTCCAGTAGCAGGGAGACCACCTGGTCATGGCCCTGCTGGAGGGCCACCGCCAGCGGCGTGAAGCCATCCTGTGTGTGGGAGAAGAGCGGAGTCATAAAGTGGGACAGCAATAAATCACAAGAGATGGAGCGGACATGGAAGTGGGACTGGATCTGCTTGCTGAGCAAGTTAGCTGCATTTTATAGTTTTATGAAATAGTTTTAAATGCAGGAATAAAATAAAACAACAAAAATATCAAATAGAATAGAAACTGCAGCTATATGAGTGTGAGCTTTCATAAGACAAATACACCTTTAAGACTATCTTGTAACCTTCAGATACCGAAGATTAGCTGGAGTTCTGCATTAGCCACATGGCTGTCTAGCTTCAGTTGTACACGTGCTCATGCGTGCATATGTGTGGTGACGCATGCATGTATGTGAGCGGCGTATATCACAAGAGGCGGTGGTGGAGAGGAAAGAGGCATCGAGGGGAGCAAACCTAATCTGTGACCAGCTCAAGGTCACTTTGCCTCCACCAACATACACTACCAATCAATGAGGCTCTACCCAGGCCCTCCTGAGAAGGGAGACGTGTGGGGAGGGAGCAAGGGAGAAGAAGGAGGAGCAGACAGGCGGAGCAACACAGTGAAAAGGAAAAATAAGGAGAATGACAGTAGGAGGGGGAAAAGGGGAACAAGCAGGTGCAAAAGGGGAGGAGGAGGAGGTGATTATTCTTGAAGAACACACGAGACATGCAAGAGGGAAGGACATGAACACACCTCTGTGGCAATACTCTGGCTGGCGCTGTTCTCCAGAAGGAACCGAACAACCTCCAGGTGATTCTCCTGGGCGGCCATGTAGAGAGGAGTGAAGCCATTCTGTTCATCACACGACAAACACACATTTACAAACGTTTTATAAGGTTTTTAACAAATAATCCACATAAAACACCTCAATAAAACACTTGATTAAAAGGTGCAGCAAAAAGCACTGAAATTAATGTTTTTCTTTTACATTTGAGTTCTCTGAAACATTGCTGTGTACTGTTGACTTTCTTCTTTTTTCTCGTTAATTTTTGTAATTTTCAAAAAGCTGTTGTGTTTTTCTCCTCCGGTCCGCTGCATTTGGGTGAGGCATGAGTGCAATAGCAGCCCAGACTACGAGTTTTGTCCTGCTGTCACATGCTCTTGCACTGTTTTGAACTTCTAACAAAACAACCAGAAAGACAAAGATTTTGACTGAGCTCTCACCTTGATCCGGCAGAGTTAAATAAAACATGCACGAGTAGCAGTTTTGCAGGAGAAGACTAGTAGGAATCACGCCAGGTGCTGTCAGTCTAAGTGATTCCCTCAATGTCACCGACTCCCTGATACGCTATCACTAAATGTGTGCATCGCTGCAGTGTAATTACATGCTGCTTGCCTTCAGTAGACTTCATTTTGGATGCTGTGCACGTACGTGCGTCCATGCTTGACGTAACCCACCTGGGATTGTGCGTTGACATTTGCTCCATTTGTGACCAGCTCTTTGACGACTTCCGTCTGGCCGGCTAGCGAGGCTATGTGCAGAGCAGTGTTTCCTTTCTGGATTACACAGAACAGCCAAAGGAATGCATGTTAAGCCCTGGCCCACCTGTCCCACCCTTTTACTTAGACACGTGTGTGTGTGTGTGTGTGTGTGCGCACGTGTGCGTGCGTGCGTGTGTGTGTGTGTGTGTGTGTGTGTGTGTGTGTGTGTGTGTGTGTGTGTGTGTGTGTGTGTGTGTGTGTGTGTGTGTGTGTGTGACTTTTTGCCTCTAGAGCCTGTGTATAAATATCTATCCATGTCAGTGTCTGTGTGCTCTAGTGACTCCCATCACACAGGTCACATGTTTAAACCTCTGACTCTAGTTCGCCCCTTCCTGCTCTGCCAACAATGTGTCACTTCCGATCCTGAGATGCCATACATAAATGCGCCCAAATCCCAAAATAAAACTGCAGAGGTCTTATTATGAACCTCTTCGAGTTCATTTGAAGGCATAACTGACCCCCAGGATGTCCTCTGGCTGAGTGGGGATTTGTTACAGAGACCTTTTGCACAATAGTGATTTGTCATGTTCACTGGGTTCAGTGGACATGAAATCAGTCAAATCTGCTGACACTCAAAGCAAAGAGGAGCAGAGATAAGATGCAGCCGAACAGGTTCCATAATATGGTGAACTGTTCATGTCTTTCCAAGAAATTCAATTTCTTGCCAAAACACTTGGATGCAACCTGCAAGTCACCTATAAGCAGTGTCTGATGGTATTTATCATTTTATCTAGGAAAAATGTAATCTCCTAAAAGGACCTTAAGGTATAAACGGGACACACAATAACTTCTCTCCATCAGATTTAACTCAATAGGTCACTAAGGCTGTTTTGTGTCATTTCATTTATAGAGCACCTTCCACAACCTTAGCAGAAGCCCAAGGTGTTGAACACAACCATAATAGGCACATTAATCAACAATAACAAAAATCTAATAAAAAGCATTAAAACAGGTATGTTGCAATCCCCAGTGCTGAAGACGCCAGGGTCTTCAGACGGGACTTAAAAAACTGTAGGGAAGGTGCCTGCCTAACAGTCAGAGGCAGCTCGTTCCAAAGTGTTGGAGCCAAAACTGCAAACGCGCGATCTCCCCTCCATCTGCACCTGGAGCGAGGGACCACCAACATTTCCTGCCAAGCTGAGCAAAGAGAGTGGGCGGAGACATGCTTATCTAGTTGTTTGGATTTTCAAATAGTTAATAAACTACCTGATAATAAGACTACCCTTTAAAATCTCTTGTTAATAGAAAAATGAAGTCAATAATTCACCTGCAAACACTTTGTAAACCCCTAATAAGCTGTAGCAAACCAATAAACAACAAAGCCAGTAATTACCTTGCCAAATAGTGAGCCTGTTTCAGTGTATGAACCAATCATTTACCTATTTTATAAAGATGTCTGCAAATTGAAGAATAAACCCTTTATGAAACTGTTGTCAAATACTTTATAAGGGAATTATTATTGTAAAGTGGTACCTAGCTTATAAATTATACATGCACACATCTGTGTTGTCATTTGAAAGATGCTGATGTGACAGTGTGAGAGTCCAGTCACTGTATCCCAATTGATCATGCGCCCTGGCTAGTTGGCCTGCGGGATGTCCCTTTGGCTGACTGGTTAGTACGCATGACTCTCACCCAGGAGTCTGGGGTTCGAATCCCGCCCAGGCCCTCGTTTCTCCACCTTGCCAGCAAGACAGCCAAGAGTTACAACTGAGCAACTAAATAAACATGTATCTTCATAAATTAAATAGCGTTTTAATCCTCAATGGCATTTGAATAAATTAAAATACAATGATAATTCTTCACGTTTTTCAAAAACTAGCATTTTCTTTTCCTGAAAAATAATTTTCTAAGTTTTTATTGAATCACGCAGATCTTTGGAATTTTAATATTTTGGAATTCCAATTGGAATTTTTTTACCTATAAAGCTAACACACACTGAAAACAAAACTTTTTTGAATTATTTAACTTTTATGTCTAAATATAACCCAAAACACTGAAAACAAAACCTTTTGGAGTTACTTCATTTTGTTGTGTACATCGGTTCCACACAAGGCTGGATTAACCATACGGGCAACTGGACAATTGCCCAGGGGTCCACAAACTCTAAAGGGCCCAGGCCCAGGGCAGCAAGGGCACGAGCAAAATACTGTATCTGTAATCTCCCGCTACAAACTGTCCACCCGGGCTTTTGCGCTGCACAGAGATGCTTCGCTGTCTATGACTTTGAACGTCAGTTGAGAGCAGTTGAGAGTCAGTCTCATGCAGACTGGCCAATAAAGAGGGGGCCTCAAGTTAAGACCCTCTCCTCATTGATCAGTCCACACGAGGTGGGTCAAAGGTTACCCTGAGTGGGTTACGTGATGTCAGACATTCAAGTATTGAGTATATTTACTGCATATTACAGTAAAATATTCTGTATGTGACCACATTATGGTGATCCTTGGGTCGTGATGATGGGGCCCTTGAATATTGTTGCCCAGGGTACAACAAAAAGGTAATCTGGCCCTGGTTCCACGTGATTAAAATAAGTTTAACCAACAGACTATTTCTCTTTCCTTCTACTAATGAACTCTCGACAAACCAAAGTATTTCATTCACAGGAAACTGGTTAAAAAATCATGTCAACTCAACATGATTTTTATGAACTAAAATGACTTGAGATTTCTATAGGTGTCATTTGGAGACACTGCTGACTGCTTTTAAGTTAGCATTACACAGGTTAATCATATTCGTCTTACAAACTTGATCCAAGAAACTAAAGAAGGAATAAAAGACTTGAACAAACAGAGGATTTCCATTTTTTCTGTGCTGTGAGTATTCCTTGCCGTTTAAAAAAAAAAGACAAATGAGAGCAAAAATGCTTCAAATCTGCATGTCAGTCACAATATTTCAGGCCTAATGAAACAAAAACAAGTTTAGCTGTTTCTGGGATCCATACAAACAGATTTTACTACATCAACCAACAGCCTCAGCTCCAGCTCCAAAAGATAACAATGCTTGGTGACATAAAAATGGAGTCTGTCTCAGACTAATCCCCCAGTATCCTCAGGATCACGGCACAGGGAGACTTTAATTGGGGCGTGTTTCTCCTTGATCTTAAATATTTCATTGTGTTTATGTCAGCATGCATGTGGCCCAGGGCAGACAGGCTGAACCAAACATTTAAATGAGACCAAAAGCCTTAAAGATACTAAATGTGAATAATGTTTCAAATCAAAGTACTTCTCAACTCTCTTTAGGATTAGAAAAAAGAGATTTGTCCTCATTCTAACAGATCTGATTACGCAGCAGATTAAATATCCTTCCTGTCTGGAAGTTTCTTGTTTATTTCTTCTATTTCACATAAATAAAACCACACATTTCACTTGATTATGATAATATATTTAACATTTTTCAAAAGCAGTCCCTGAAGGGGTTATTAATTATGCATCTGGTCTTATACTCTAACAAAGGTTGCACTCTTAGCTGCAGCTGCGAACCGCTTAATCCAAGACACAGCAGCCATAATTTGTTCTGAATCTAAATATAGTCTTTTGTAACATCAGGAGGTTATTACTGTAGGTGTGCCTTACCTTTGTTGCTGCATCTACTGTGGCTCCAAGCTTCAGCAACTCAGCAACAACCTCTGCATGCCCCTCTTTGGAGGCCAGATGAAGAGCGTTCAAGCCATTCTGAAGAGGCAATGTGTTTAGAGACTTTAATCATCAAATTAGGACTTTTGGAAGAAGAATACAAGTTAATTGTTCCCAGAGAAAAGTAGATGCAAATATCACACATTTGTGGTGGCGAGTTAAAGGAAGTTACCTGATTGCAAATGTTAATCTCAACTCCAGACTTGAGGTAGTCAAGGACTTTTTCAAGGTTCCCTGCCCGGGCAGCTCGCAGGTAACTGGCGTTACTGTCAGACTGGAAACAGGAAGACACCAAAAGAGGGAAGAAGAAGAGATGGAGAAGAAGGAGGGGAAAAGCAAAATATGTGAGTCAAATATTTGAATACATGGAGACACGCAGGTGGACAAAAGCATCACTATACCAGGTAGAACTCTGTCATCATTTCTCAGACGCCTAAAAACATCTCGTCAAGGAGGAAAACAAATTAAAGTAAGTCCACCAAAGAGCCATGAGATCCATTGCAAATCATTAAAAAAAAATAGCGCCCATCACATCCATCACATCCGTTATTTCAGCTTTATTAAATCCAAATGTCTCCTATTCCCCAGTGTGGGAAGTTGAGTGAGCGGGTGGTCCCCTCAGCTGCCACAGAGCCCTCCTCTTTTCCACAGAAACCTCGGCTCCGGTGAAACCGTCGGTGAGACCATGTTGCTGCACCGTGAGAAGCAGCACACCCTGCGTTCTGCCTGGTTGTCCTTTATTCCTCTACAGAAATAGGGCTTTGCACACCAAAATAAAATGATGAGGTAAGCATGTTTTCCCCGCTGTATCAAATGTGGGGAGCATGTGCGTGCACCAGAGAGGAGGAAGAAGAGAGGAGAAGAGTGGAAAAGACAAAAGGAGAAGAGAAGGCAGAGATGTTGTGTCTTTTTTTGCGTTAAGACTTTGGATTTGACACGGAATGACACCCAGCCAGCTCTGCACATTTCTGTCCTGCTTCTTTGCAGCTGCATGAGGAGCGTTTTGTAAAATTCACCACTAGATCAGCTGAGAACAGGAGGGAGGAAAGCTTCATAACAGAAGAACTAAACCCACATTCCCCCCAGCAGATCAAACAACCAGACCTGCAAAATTTTAACACTTAGAAGAAACTCTGCAGGGACAAAAATCTCCGTCCACCATGACATCAGATAACAAAGCCTGAAGAAGACATCCGATTGTCCCACTGATAACTTACACATAAAAGTGAGGGAGAAAATATGTGTGTGTGTTCATGTGTGTGTGTGTGTACAATCAAATTATTGACTAATTAATCCATGCTAACTGGAAGCAGAGGCATTTCCTGACTTAAGAAACCATTAAGCTAATCGGCTCATATCTGAATATTTCTTTGTCCTTTTTCCATATCCTCAGCTCTCAGAGGATGGCCTGATGGAGCTGAGCCACTAATGATATCTGGCCTTTATGGACTTGAGGAAACAACAAAAGTAACCTGTGGGCCTTGAACACTTCACAATATTCAGCTATTGCAATTAATGAGATTAGGAGCTGAAATAACTAATTTAACCCAATTGAGTCTCTGAGAGTGTGACAGAGTTCTTACCATCTGTTTTTTCAGTTTTTCTATAAGTATGCACTGCTGAAAACTCAATAACATCAAACACAAGTGTTCTGTTCTGCAAAAAAGTATGAATAATCATGTTCTGCAGGAAAAGTCCAAATATCATAGAAACAACATCCAGCTAAGATGCAAAAACCTGATCTTAAGGACGCGGTCTTCTACAGTTAGGACACATAATCAGTCTCCTGTCCAAATGCTTTGCTGTCACCACTCTGGACCACATAGAGTCCCTGAACATCAAAAAGACATTAGTTGAGTCATGCCTACGGGACAAATTGCTCCCCGTCAGAAGGGGGAAAATCTCTTTGTTGACTCATTTCAACTTAATAAACTTTCCATTACTTTTAAGTTGGAGCTGACACGGAGAAATGCAAAAGCAGCAGCAGCCTGTCAGCATATCTGACAAAAAATACGACTGTCAAAACTCAGGAGCATGGAAACATTTTGTTGTGGAGTCACTTGGTCTGGAGGAAGGAAGAACTCTCTAAATGTGCCTTTTTCATTTATTTCTATCAAATAGGATACAGAGCTAGCTGATTACATCTAAGGTAACGGCAGCGATGCGTGTAGGTGAAATCTGTACATTTATTTGACTTTTTGTGACTTTTAAAACTTCCAGAACTGGTTTTAGTCTTATCTAATAAATCCTGACATCCATGCTATTTAGGTCTATTCTTCTACTAACATAGTCCTGCAACATTGGCTGTCAAACCAGAACAGATGTTTCTTACACAACAATTATTGTGATGTACTCTGGTTTTGCCATGATAGTGTGACCTATTTGTTGCTGTGTGACCAGTCTGAACCCTACAGCTCAACTCGGTTTGTTATAGATACTGAAGGCTGTTGACAACAGGCTGTTTATGAGCTATAAAGTTGTGGGATGAGCTGCCTGAGAAGGTTATTATACTTTATATGTACAACACTGTTTCAGTTGAGCTAAATCTTTGTATTCACTCAGATTCACACTTAAATAAATGAAACAAAAAAAATAGCAAGTTGGAACTAGCCCCCGCACCGTGAGAAATAACATCACGTCTCTAAAGCTGATCTTCATTTGCATACGTCACACGTCACGTGATCAGGAAGCAGAAAATCCTTGAATTAGGAGATCGTTTTGGGCTGCTGCTGCGAAAAAGTGAGGTGCGACCCGGAAAGGTTTCTGCCGTTTACATTTCAACAACGGGTTATGAAAGAATGGATAACGCAAGAAATGTACTGATTCTTCCTGATGTAAAAAGTGAGCAGTCAACTCTTTCTTTTGGTAGTTATGGCATTTATATCATCATAGGGCACAATGTTCTGTGATTCTTCAAAAAACAGTTAAAACACTCAAAAATGCTGGCAGCCATGTTCAGGGGCCATGAAAAACTCACAGTGACTGAACAGAACAGAAATAAATATTTTCAAGTGGCTTTTCAGTGTTCCACACCTTTCAACTAAAGACTCACATTAGTTAAAATGGAATCATAAAAATATTAAAAAGTGTGGATCAACATCAACAGCATGCTGAAGGTCAAAATACCTCCAGGCTAGAAATATAATTTGGAGGCCACATAAAATCCCACTGAGGGCCAAAACTGGCCCCCGGGCCACGCTTTGGGCACGCCGACCCACTAAATGTTGTTTTACCAACATAAACATGAATGTGTACTATACCATACCACACCATATACCATACCCCACCATATACCACACCATACCACACCATATACCACACCATACCATACCACACCATATACCACACCATACCACACCATATACCACACCATACCACACCACACCATACCATACCACACCATACCACACCATATACCACACCATACCACACCATACCACACCACACCATACCACACCATATACCACACCATACCATACCATACCATACCATACCATACCACACCATGTACCACACCATACCATACCACACCACACCATACCACACCATATACCACACCATACCACACCACACCATACCACACCATATACCACACCATACCACACCATACCATACCATACCATACCATATACCACACCATACCATACCATACCACACCATACCACACCATACCATACCACACCATACCATACGATACCACACCATATACCACACCATACCATACCATACCATACCATACCATACCATACCATACCACACCATACCATACCATACCACACCACACCATACCATACCATATACCACACCATACCACACCACACCATACCACACCATATACCACACCATACCACACCATACCATACCATACCATACCATATACCACACCATACCATACCATACCACACCATACCACACCATACCATACCACACCACACCATACCATACCATCACATATACCACAACACACCACACCATACCATACCATACCATACCATACCATACCATACCATACCATACCATACCACACCATGTACCACACCATACCATACCACACCACACCATACCACACCATATACCACACCATACCACACCACACCATACCACACCATATACCACACCATACCACACCATACCATACCATACCATACCATACCATATACCACACCATACCATACCATACCACACCATACCACACCATACCATACCACACCATACCATACGATACCACACCATATACCACACCATACCATACCATACCATACCATACCATATACCACACCATACCATACCATACCACACCATACCACACCATACCATACCATACCATACCATACGATACCACACCATATACCACACCATACCATACCATACCATACCATACCATACCACACCATACCATACCATACCACACCACACCATACCATACCACACCACACCACACCACACCATACCATACCATACCACACCACACCATACCATACCATCACATATACCACAACACACCACACCACACCATACCATACCATACCATACCATACCATACCATACCACACCACACCATACCGCACCAAACCATACCATCTTTATTTGTATAGCACTTATAACACCCACAAGACCAAAGTGCTGTACACAGAGCAAACTCAAAAACAACATAACTTGTGTTGATGTCACTAACTGATGGAGCTTACAGGAGAAGAGTCAGACCAGCAGCAGCTGTATCGTTGAACTTTATCCCCGTCTCTCTTGACAGCACAAAACTCAGAGCTCCACAGAGCTGGCAGTACAAAGGCCAAGGCATGAGGTAACAATCCCCAACATTACATGTTTTTCTCTCATCTCCAAAGTGGGGGATTCCCTCAGCTATTTGACCTGCTAAGTTTCTCACATTATCAAGATGGGCCTGCTTCTCTTGAGGCTCAAAATACTGAAGCTTAAGGAACTGCAATCTGTGGCTCTGGGGGCTCCATGTGCTCTTTGGTCCCTTTTCAGGGGCTCTACTCAAAATAATAGAAATTATGAAAACCTCAGCTAGTCAACATGCTCCCACTGACATTTCAAAGGAATAGATAAAAAGCATATAACTAGCAAAGGGATGTAGGAGTGATCTTTATATGCCAGAGCCTCATTTAATTTCATGTATAAAACTTTTGTAAGGCTTTTCAGTCCTGCTCCTTGATGGCCACTGCCTGCACATTTTCTGGCACTAACGCACCTGATTGGAATGAGAGGGTGATCAACAGACTTCTGCAGAACTTAAGGACGTGCTACAGATGT